TTCCATAAGCAAGATGGAGAGCCTCATGAAAACTACAGTTGATTCATACAGACCTTGGAGGACCTCAACCTAAATTGTCTTTACAAGGGATATTATATTGCTTTTATTGATGATTTTACAAGAATATGCTAGATTTATTTTTTGAGATTCAAGTTTGAAGTTGCAGGAGTGTTTTTGAGGTTCAAGGCTTGGATTGAAAATCAAGCTGGCTGTAAAATTCAAGTTCTAAGGTCTGATAATGAAAAAGAGTACACCTCAGAGCAATTTAATTCCTTCTGTGAAGAGGCTGGGATTGAGCACCAACTTACTACTCCTTACACTCCTCAACAAAATGGAGTGAGTGAAAGGAAAAATAGAATAATAATGGAGATGGCTAGATGCATGATGCATGATGCATGAGAAAGAACTTCCAAAGAAGTTATAGACTGAAGTTGCAAATACAGCAGTGTTTCTATTAAACAGGCTTCCTACAAAAGCAATGAAAGAAAAAACTCCTTATGAAGCATGGTATGACTATAAACCTTTTATTCAAAACTTTAAAATCTTTGGATGTATTTATTTTACTTATGTGCCAAAGGTGAAAAGAGATAAGTTGGACAAAAAGACAGAAGCTAGAGTTTTCATTGGCTATAGCACAACTTTAAAAGCTTATAAAGTCTTCCAACCACAAACTGGTAAGATTCTAATAAGCAGAGATGTTTAGTTTGCTGAAGATAAACAATGGAGCTGGGAGAAAGATGAATGGAAACATATTCCTAATTTTTCTTTTAAAGAAGAAAATGAAAATGTTGATGATCCACCAGTAAGAGGAACCAGATTACTTTCTGAAATTTATGAAAAATGTAATGTTGTTGTATTAGAACCTGTAGATTTTTCTGAAGTTGAAAAGGATCCAAAGTGGATTGTTGCAATGCAGGAGGAGCTTAAAATGATTGAGAAGAACCAGACATGGGAATTGGTTTCTAGACCTCAACACAAAAATGTTATTGGTATTAAATGGGTGTTTAGGACCAAACACAATGTAGATGGTTCTATTAACAAGCACAAAGCTAGACTTGTAGTGAAGGGATATGCTCGAGTATTTAGAGTTGATTTCTCTAAAACATTTGCTCTAGTTGCTCGACTTGATACAATCAGGTTGGTTCTTGCTTTTGCAACTCAAAAAGGATGGAAGGATGTAAAATATGTTTTTCTGAATGGTTATTTGTAGGAGGAGATATATGTTGAGTAGCCTGAAGGTTTTGCACTTAAAGGACAAGAAGACAGTTTATTTGCTAAAGAAGGCCTTGTATGGGTTAAAGCAAGCACTAAGGGTTTCGTACAGTAGGATTGATGAGTACTTACTGAGTATTGATTTCTCAAAAAGTCTTAGTGAGTCAACTTTTTATGTGCAATGCTTGAATGCTAAGATTTTAATTGTTTCTTTGTATATGGATGATCTCTTGGTGATAGGAAATAATATTGCATTTGTTGAGGAGTTCAAGCAAAATATGATGAAAGTCTTTGAGATGACAGACTTTGGAGAAATGGCTTTCTTTCTTGGAATGGAAGTCAAATAAGATGAAAAAGAAATTTTTATTAGTCAGAAGAAATATGCAAAAGAAATTCTTAAGAAGTTTCAAATGGAGAACTCTAAGCCTATGAGTACTCTAATGTTTCAAAAGCTAAAGCTTTGCAAAGAGGATGGTGCAAAAAAAGTTAACGAGACTAATTTTAGAAGTCTTGTTAGTAGTCTCATGTATCTTACAACAACAAAACCTGATAATCAAGCCTTATGGCTGAGAAAAATTCTTCCTGATCTACAAGTCAATCAAACAGATTCAACTAAAGTGTTTATTGAAATCAACCAACAATTGCAATTTCTAGTAATTCAGTTTTTCATGGAAAGACTAAATACTTCAACATTAAGTTGTATTTACTCAGAGAAGTTCAAAGAGAAAGTGAAGTTTTATTGGAATATTGCAAGCCAGAAGACCAACTTGCAGACATATTCACAAAGGCGCTTCCAAAAGGACAGTTAGAGAACATGAGAAAGAAACTTGGAGTTGATAGTTATTGATGCAAGGAGGAATGTTAAGAATCTGAATCAATAGCTATTATTAGTGTTTATTCATACTTTATGAGTTTTGATTATAGAAATTATGAGAATAAATGGACTGTTACATATTTATGAATAGCTTTATTTGTAATTTATATTTAGATTAATGAGTAGAATTAGAATCAACTTTAAGTTATGAGTTTCTTGTATTTAAAAGCTGTTAGTATGAACAAAGGTGTGAGTTTCCACTTTCAAGTTGATATATTTCTGAATTTCTCTTAGTTTCAACAGCCTTCTAGGTGCTGCCATTTTGGCTTGCAAGCCACTGACACAACATTCTACTAGAGGCTATGATTGGGATGTATAGGAAACTAATGCAATGTTCTAACTCTGGTTTTCATCAACCTTTATGCTATAATTTGGTTGGATTAATCTCATGTAAGTATGCACCATGTACTGAACCGAAAACTTGGGTATTACACACAAGTTCTCTTTCTTCTTTAATAAAACTTTATTTGCTTATAGAAAAAAAATTGAGCAGCATATAATCAAGTACTTATTGAGCAGCATATAATCAAGTACTTATGATCAACCATCTGCATTCTGTGTCTGTGATTGGGGGTTAAATCTTTGGTGAAATAGTTAAAATAGTATCATTTTGGTGTGTACATTTACGATAATGCTTATAAAACCTGTGATCTTTTACACTAAAATAATTGTTGTGAGAACTTTGGCTGATATGAATATAAGTATAATGCAACAATTTCATTGAGACAGGATATTGTTCTTCATTTGAATTTTTTTTTTTTTCCTCTGACACTACAGTGTAAAACAGAATGCAAACACGCATAATGCTATTAAAGGTGCACGGTTAAACCTCAAATATGATGAGAAAGCTTGGATACTGACTAACAAAATTTCAGGTATTGGATATATAAAGCTTGGATAAAAATACACGCATGCATCATCCAATTCCAAATAAATAATCATATAACATGTACAGGGCTAGCAATGTACCAATATCTTAAGTAGTAAAGTTACCAACGCTGAAATTTTCTTTCCTTCTTTACTTCCTTTAAAGGTATCTATCTGCATTGGAAAAAATATAAGACATACATGGCTACACTTTACCCCCATATAATTTCACGTTTTCCCAATTTATCCCCTACACTTTATTTATGTCATTAAACCCCCCTTATACTTCTTTTTTATCTCACTTAAGTCCCTCGGTAGTGTTACTTTTCTTGTATTACTCGGAAAAAGGAAAAAAAAAGGGTAAATTTTAAAAAAAATGAAACTATAATCCAAAGGTACATATTGAATAATTAAAATAATAATTCTAAAAGTAGTAAAAGTACAAAGTGTAACAAAAATAAAAAGAAACTGCCTTAACAATGGTGGCCTACCAATAGAAAATTATACTGAAATGGACTGCAATTTCTAGTTGCATGTAACTTAGTTATTGGATGATCTAAAACTAAGGAAAAAGAAAATGGTCAGTTATAAATACTTAATACGAACATAAGCATAATGAAAAAGAAAAAAAAGTAGTACATGAGTGGTTTACAATTATAGAATTTACTTATAGCATTTTAGTTTAATAAAAAAAGTTTGTAAATCTTTATAATAAATGTTAATAGAATAATTTTAAAAGAAAAAGGAACTACATCAAATGCATAATTGAGTTATCAAATGCATAATTGAGTTAGTAAATATTGTAGCACCATTTATTGGAATTGAATATAGTAAATAACGTGTAAATGAATGGAAAATTAAGATATTAAATTCTGGAAAATTAATAAATAATTAAATAAGAATTATGAACTAAATAATAATTAATAAATCAATTAGGAAAAATTTTAGATACATCGACTAATGTTTTCGCATATATTGTGTGTTAAATACATCTCATTAAATAATTACAGCAACTTATTATGTTATTATTTGACTATACAGGAATATCTTATTCTGTAATTACAGCTGTCTTTAGATGTCTACATCTCATTAAATAATTAAAAAAACTCCGAACAATATCTGTATTTGATTTTTTTTTTATCTTAATAGAAATTAAAAAAGGAAAACGTGAAGCACGAGTACCAAACACGTTGCCAAAATAATACCACATGGATACGATAATGTATATACATTGCACTTTGCAATATGTCAAACTTACTATTATCTGTCATCATTTAACTAATGTAATCCCATTTAGAATTATAGTATTAAACTGAGCTAAGTCAAGGGCATCATCACATGTTCTTGCATGTCTCTCCCGATCATGTCTTTGACTAGGCCAACTACCATGTATTATTGGTAACCCCTCAACCCAAAGTGATGACTATATTTGTATTTTAATAACTCGTTACATATATGTTAAAGTAAAGTAATGCAATGATTTATTTATTAATTTTGTTTTTATACGATACTTTACAAACTTGATCTACTTAATAAAAACTTTTAAATCATGAGTTGAATCAGTGAATTTTACATCATTTTATGATTATGAAATGTTATTAAATGAGGTAAGTGTGTAACTATTCAACTTTTTCAGTAAAATCAAAAGAGCTTATCTTTCCTCTTTTTCTTAATTAACAATTAAGGATACTGGCATATCACATGCTTCCACCTGGTTCTGCAATTAGCGCGGATCATGTCTGTGAGTTAGTCAAATTCCCATGCATCATTGGATTAGTGAATGAACAAACACGATCTTTTCACTTTATCCTTCTACTAACATTGACGAGCATGATTTTCTTAAGTAATTTGAAGAATGAACCTGTTCAGTCATAATTATATAACATTAGCTAAACACAACTTGCACAATAAATATTAAACAATGACTGAGGAGAATTCAATGTCTACTTCTCACCATGGACTTTGTGTTATATAAAAGTTGTAGGACATGAAGTTCCATGTATCTCACCATATAGCAATAGAAGAAATCAGATATAGCTAAACTCAAATGGCAGAAACCATATGGTCCTTGGCCCGTCATCATTTGTGTCCATACTTAATAGAAGTTGCCAATATGATCAAGGGTGTCCCCAAAGATGTTGAAGACATGAAAAAGGAACTAGAAAAGATTCAAGACATCATTCATAATGCAGATAGAGTGGCGGCAGCTGGAGAAAACACCACACAAGAAGAAATCAAAGCAAAGGTGAAGCTGCTGATAGAAGCATATTTTCGCATGGAAGATGTAATTGATGAATACATGATCCATGAGGAACAAGATCAGCCTCATGATCCTGTATGTGCAGCTTTACCCTGTGAGCCCGCTGACTACTTCATCAAAACTATCATCCTTCGTCTTCAGATAGCATATAAGATTCAAGGCGTTAAATCACGAGTTCGTGCATTCAACAAAAGCAGTGAAAGTAAGAGTGACTTCCACATCCAACCTTTTCTGGAACAAGTACCAAGCAGCTCTACAGGAAATCAAAACATGCATTGGAAGAATCTTCGAGAGGCTCCACTTTACATGGAGGAGGACGAAATTGTGGGCTTTGAAGCACCTAAAGATGAATTGATTGGTTGGTTAGTAAAGGGAAGAGAAGAGCGCACTGTCATCTGTGTGGTAGGAATGGGAGGGCTGGGAAAGACCACTCTTGCCAAGAAAGTTTTTGATAACAAAGAGGTGATTGGACACTTTGATTGCCATGCATGGACCACGGTGTCTCAATCCTATACTGTAGATGGCGTGCTGAGGGACATGTTGCAGAAGTTTTACAAACAAAGAAACACGAATCTTCCTGAGGAAATTTCTAAAATGGATCGAAAGGCATTGATAGATGAAGTGAGAACCTTCTTGCAACAAAAGAGGTACGTTGTTATCTTTGATGATGTGTGGGATGAACAGTTTTGGAATGACATTGAATGTGCTGTGATCAATAAAAAAACTAAGAGTAGAATAATTATCACAACTAGGCACATGAAAGTTGCGGAGTCTTGTAAAAAATCTTCTTTTGTTAAAATACATGAATTAAAACCCCTATCTCCAGAAAAGTCATGGCAACTCTTCTGCAAGAAGGCATTCCAATTTGAATTCAATGGGAATTGTCCGGCAGAATTAGAGCACATATCTTCTCAGATTGTTGAAAAATGTAATGGTTTACCACTAGCCTTAGTGGTCATTGCTGGTCTTTTCTCTTCCAAAGGTAAGACTAGTGTTGATGAGTGGGAAGAGTTTGGTAAAAATCTAAATTTAGAGCTGCAGAGAGATAAACAATTAGGTAGTATAACAAAGATTTTGATGTTCAGTTATAATGATTTGCCTTCCCATCTTAAACCATGCTTTTTGTATTTTGGAATATATCCCGAAGACAGTGAAATTAAATCGAAAAGACTTATTCGACAATGGATAGCTGAAGGGTTTGTAAAATATAAGGAGGGGAAAACATTGGAGAAGGTTGCAGAAGGATATTTAAAAGAGTTGACTGATAGAAGTTTGGTGCAAGCATCTTCACTTACAATTGATGGGAAAGTTAGAAGTTGCCGTGTTCATGACCTCACACGTGAGATGATCCTTCGAAAATGTGAGGATTTGAGATTCTGTCATCATGTACGCGATAAGTCAACATTAAGTGGGATAACACGACGCCTATCCGTAGCAGCGAGTTTCAATGATTTAATGAGTATTAGTGAAAGTTCAATTCGATCAGTTTTCGCTTTCACATATCTAGTTTCTGAACAACATGTGAGAAGAATACCTACCTTATACATGTTATTGAAGGTACTTGATTTTGAATACGTTGGGTTGAGTTATATTCCTGAAAATTTGGGGAATTTGATCCACTTGAAGTATTTAAGCATCGGGCCTAAATTGATAAGAAGTATTCCAAAATCAATTGCTATGTTGCAGAACTTGGAGACCTTGATTTTAAGGGGAGCATTCAAAGTTGAGATGCCACAAGAGATTAGCAAGCTTAGAAAGCTACGACATTTTCAAGCCCTCTATATGTCTTTGAGTCAATTGAAGCATAGTATAGGAGGCATGACATCCCTACAAACGCTAACTGTTGTGAAAATAAATAAGGATGGAGTAGAGCTAATTAGAGAGCTTGGAAGGCTAACACAAATGAGGAAGTTGAGTTTGGTTGGAGTAAGGGATTATCAGGAAACCACTCTATGTTCCTCAATAAGTAAGATGCAATACTTGGAAAGCCTACGTGTGGGGTTAAAATATGGAGATGACACCTTAAATTGGCAGTTTAATTCACCCCTACCAATGCTTAGGAAGCTTAGCCTATTGTCACTCTCTGAAAGATTACCAGAATGGATTGCAAAGCATCAAAAGCTTGTTAAGTTGACCTTGAAATGTCCCCTGTCAACTGAGGATCCAATGAAATCACTGAAAGATATGCCATATTTGTTGTACCTTGAGCTTGACTTTTATAAAGGTGTAAGCTTGCATTTTGAAGATGGAGGATTTAAGGAACTAAAGGAACTAATGCTCTCCAATATGGATAACTTGAATTCCATCTGTATTGACAAAGTAGCACTGCGATCTCTCAAATCCCTCACATTAAGTTCTATCCCTAAACTTGAGGTTGTACCCTCTGGCATCCAACACTTGAACGAACTTGAAGTTTTCAAAGTAACAGGGATGTCAGAAGAATTTAAGCAAACATTGCTCCAGTTGAAGGACCAGGGCACCCTGCCATCAAGCATGTGCCTCTTGTAAAAATTATTGGCCCCTTCAGAAACCACATCATTCACCACTCAAGGGGATAGAAATCATAAAGCATCCAATTTCAAAAATATAAGGTATCTTTTTTCCTTTGAACAAAACTTAGGTACAGTTCTTTAGATGCTTTTGGAGTTGTTTTCTAATCAAAATTAGAATCTCACCCAAGTAACCCATAACAACTTTATTTTCAATTGAAAAACAACACCAAAAGTACCTAAAAAAATTGCATCTTAGTTTTGTCATTTTTTTCCTATTCCTTACCGTACAACATTCTTGGTTATATTTTTGGTTAATCAGTCAAGTTGTCTTAATCTACTCTTGCCTCCGTTTTCATCCAGGAGTACGTTTTATTATTTACTTGAAGTTACTCACTAAAAAATTATTGATGAGAATTTCTAAGCAACATATTGTTTTAGATATCTGTTTAGTCGCAATTTTATTTTATTTTTTGTTATAATTATCTCACTAATGCAATGCACTACACTAATGTTTTAGGAATTGAGTGGAACTGGTTTGAAATCATGTTTGCCTTCACAAGAATGTCATTGTATTATTCAATCTCAGATTTTACATTTCAGTCCCCAAATAAAGAGAACTAGGTTAATAAAATTCGATTTAAATCTTGTTTAACTGTAAAACATGCTTTAATTTTTATGTAATATACATTGTATGTCTTCAACTTTCTCTTCTAAAATAAATTATTTTAAAATTGTGAATAACCAATCTTAATAACTAATAAAACATCTCCTTGTACTGGTATCAACAACCAATAGGGAATGCAACTTTATGATGCGTTTAAATAGTAAACTAGTAAATTAAATTTCTTGGTATATTTTCTGTTCCTTTATAGCTTAAAAAGGCTTCGGGCAATAATAAGGAACAACTTGTAGCTATAGCACCAAATCTGGAAGAGTTATGGAAGAAAAAGGAAGAAAGGATAAAGGAGTCTTCAGTTGTACATTCATAGATCCTTTATAGTCACAGAATAAAGGACTTGAACAGGATCATTTCCAGTTGATGAGTCTGACCTGTCCCTAAAGAAGTTGGATGAATATCAGTGCTTCAACTTTAAGGACTTCAAACTGAAAAGGTAACTCTGCTATATATCTTTAAATAATGCATCAATTGCCAAAAGGAAATTGATAAGTTTGTTTAATTCACTAATGAACATATTCATAGTTTTGTTATTTTTATCTTTGCTTGAAGAATGAGAAGTTGCACAAGAATCTTAAATTTGTCAATTATGATTCATCTTTATGTTTTCATATATATATATATGGACTTGTTTATTATTGTGACTGAGGTACATCCAAGTTTAAATGTTTCCATTTGTGTCCTTTTTAAATGCATAAGCAATGGCACACTAGCTAAACTAGCTACGACAGCAACAACACTGAAAGAATATAAAACTCTGAGGTTGCACAAGGTAATGCATTTAAAATGTTGTATATATGTTGGTTCAGTTTTTTTATTCCTTCTTTGATGTTGTTACTTATACTGTGGCTATGGTTCATAAGGTTCCAGGGATTTTATTATTGCTCACATAAGGAATTTCCTTAATTTCTAACTTTACCACCTAACTAAGAAGTGATGATATCAGCTGCAAACATGGTGTTTTCAATTCTGCTTGACTTTCATTCTGCTGTGCATGTGTGTATGTGTGGGTAAATATATGAATTTGACTTTAAGTTCTATGTCCTTTACAACACCAACAATTAGCTTCCAAGTTAACTGATCGTAGTGACCTTCTGAAGTTTTCAAGTTGTGTTCCATAAACAATGCTAACTGAGTTTTTCTTATTCTGTGTTATGAAGGCTGAAGCAGAAGCCAAAGGATTTAAAAGCCAGCCGGATGAAAGATATTGCTTTCAAGAAGCAACAGCTTAAAAAAATATATGCCATGCCCATATAGAAGAAATTAATCTAGAAGCTGCTTGAGAGAAGATTTTTGGCACTGATTGACTCTTGAAATGTTGAACCAGCTGAATTACAGGTTGACAGACAAACTGATAGCAAAAGAGAATGTCTTAAGTTGAAAAGAAATATTGGATCAGGTTGTGAAATGAATCTTAGCATATGAAGAACAGAGCTGGCTTGAAGACAATAATTAAGTACTTATGATCAACCATCTTCATTCTGTATGTCTGTGGTTGGGAGTTACATCTTTGGTGGGAGAGTTAAAAGAGTATCATTTTGATATGTACATTTAGGATAATGCAAATAAAACCTTTGATCCTTTAAACTAACATCATCGTTGCAACAACTTTGATTGATATGAATATAACTATAATGCAGCAATTTCACTATGACATATAATAATGTTACTTGAGTGATAGGTAGATATCAACATATCAAAGAAACGAAAAATGTTAACCATATTAATCATTTTCATGTTATAATCTTTTTTCCATGTTTGAATCTAATGTCATGTGTCATCATCATAATAATTCTTTTCCATCAGAAATACTTATTTTTTAATTATCTTTCATCAATTTAAATTATAATAATAAATAAATAATATTGTTAACATGAATCAAATTAAGTTCTAATCATATTATTTTATTCTCAAAATATCACACCCTAATTGTAAAGCTTACACAAATAAAGATAAAAAATAATCAAATAATAAATTAAAATAACAAAAAAAATTATTAGTAAATTATCTATTTTTTAAGAATAAATATGCCTTAAATTTAATCAAATTCAAATTGCTTAAGTAATACAAAAACTGTATAAATTAAATTAATATTTGATTTAAGAATCTTAGCATTTTAAATTTAGTTTAACCTGTGATTGATTCAGGTTATATAGACTCATTTACAAAAATAAAACTCTTCCTATTTTTTAAAAAAATTCATGAGACACAAACATGAATCTTACTTCAGTGAAATGCTCAAACGAAACTTTTTGTCACTTACACCAATATACATTATTTAATATAAATTGAATTATGCATGAAAATTATTATTTAATTTATATTTACTATTTTATAAGGAGAATTACCAATTTAACATTTCTTTCTTTTTTTTATTTTTAAAACTTCATTATTAATTGCTTATTACAACGACGGTTAAAGACTTATATGAAATAGATAAAAGAGAAATGCTACATACATATTTTAACACAATCTTTATTATTATTTGAAATTTATTAAAAATTATATGAATCTCAGTTATAATTTTATGAATCTCATTTTAAAGAAATGGTACTTGGCATCTCAGTAACTCCTCTCAGCTATTATTATAGAACATAGATAGAAATGACATTGATGTATAAGATAAGAGTTATTAAAGTCATTAATTTATATTCACATATAAGATTGAGTTACCAAAAGAAAAACTAAAAAGTAACTCAACCCCAACAAGAAAGTGTGAAATTTGCATACATGGGTAAATGATAGATGGCATCTCAAGAACTTGTGCCTCATCTTTATATATTATAATAGATAATATATAGATACATAGATATGTATACTTATTATTCTCTAATTACAACTATCTTTAAATTCATCCTATTAAATAATTGCAACAACTCTAAACAATATCTATAAACGTGAAGCATGCCTGCATGAGATCAAGCACGATACAAAAATATATAAGATATATATATTTCAATAAGACATACATATTATCTGTCATCGTCTTTTTTATTATTATTATTATTTATCTGTCATCATCTGACAAAAGCATGAGCATCACATGTCTGTGATTAAAAATATGAGGATCATTTGACAAATATATAAAATATACATTGCAATATAATCCCATTTACATTCTTGAAGTTATTGGCATCACATGTTCCCGCCTGTATAGGATCATGTCTTTGATTAAAGCTAAATTACCATGAATTATTCGTGATGCCTCAAAGTCATGACTAACTCCGTGTGTTATATTATTAATTTTTTATCTTAATTAAAGATTAAGGATACTGACATATCACATTCTTCTACCTGTTTCTGCAGTTGACACTGATCATGTCTGTAAGTCAAACTCATGTCATTGTTGGATTAGTGAATTAACAAACACTATCTTTTTCTGTTGATAAAATTAATAACAACGATCATGGTCTTTGTTAGATAATAAAATGTCCCACGTCCCACACTCTTTGATAGGGCCCATATTTAAATTCTTAGTAGTCTCTTCAAATAAGGTTCAATCATTGTTAAAACAGTAGTTAATCCAACTTGCACAGTAAATATTAAACAATGACAAAAGGAAACACAAATCCTCCTCTAACCATGGACTTTGTGCTCTATAAATATTAATAAACATTAAGTTTTCCCTAATCTCGCCATATAAGTAATATAGCAGAACTCTGAGCTAGACTCAAATGGAGCAAGTTGCAATGTCCTTCGCTCGTGATCAGGTGCTTCCATACTTAATGGAATTAGCAAATATGATGAGGGGCGTTCCAAAAGATGTTGCAGACATGAAAAATGCACTAGAAAGGATTCAAGCCATCATTCACGATGCAGATAGAGTGGCTGCAGCTGCAGACGACACCACACGGGAAGAAATCAAAGCAAAGATGAAGCTGCTAATAGAAGCTGCTTTCCGCATGGAAGATGCAATTGATGAATATGTGATCCGTGAGGAACAAGAGCCTCGTGATCCTGGATGTGCAGGCTTACCCTGTGAGCCTGCTGACCTCATCAAAACCATGATCCGTCGTTTTCAAATTGCATATAAGATTCAGGATGTTAAATCACGAGTTCGTGCAATCAATGAGAGCAGTCAAAGTAAGAGTGCCTTCCATGTCCAACCTTTTCTAGAACAAGGAACAAGCAGTTCTAGAGGAAACCAAAACACCACTTTGGAGAAGATTCGAAAGGCTCCCCTTTACATGGATGAAGCTCAAATTGTGGGTTTTGAAGCACCCAGAGATGAATTGGTTGGTTGGTTGATAAAGGGAAGAGCAGAGCGCACTGTAATCTCTGTGGTAGGAATGGGAGGACTAGGAAAGACCACTCTTGCCAAGAAAGTTTTTGACAACAAAGAGGTGATTGGACACTTCGATTGCCATGCATGGATCACAGTGTCTCAGTCCTACACTGTGGATGGCCTGTTGAGGGACATGATGCAGATGTTTAACAAAGAAGGAAATGTGGATCCACCTCAGAATATTTCTACAATGCTAGGAAATTTGTTGATAGATGAAGTGAGAAAGTACTTGAGCCAGAAGAGGTATGTTGTTGTCTTTGATGATGTATGGGCTGAAAATTTTTGGGATGAGATTGAATGTGCTACACTTGATAATAAAATTGGAAGTAGGATACTTATCACAACTAGGTACATGAAAGTTGCGGAGTCTTGTAAAGAATTTTCTTATGTTAAAATACATGAATTAAAACCCCTACCTCCAAAACAGTCGTGGGAACTCTTCTGCAAGAGGGCTTTCCAATTTGAATCTAATGGGAATTGTCCAGAAGAATTAGAGCATATATCTTCTGAAATTGTTGAAAAATGTAATGGTTTACCACTAGCATTAGTGGTCATTGCTGGCGTTTTATCTTGCAAAGGATCTAAAGTTGATGAGTGGGAAGAGTTCAGAAAAAATCTAAATTTAGAGCTGCAGAGGAATGAACAATTAGGTAGTATAACAAAGATTTTGAGTTTCAGTTATAACGATTTGCCTTACCATCTTAAATCACCCTTTTTGTATTTTGGAATGTATCCTGAAGACAGCAAAATTAAATCAAAAAGACTAATTTGGCAATGGATTGCTGAAGGGTTTGTAAAATCTGAGGAGGGGAAAACCTTAGAGAAGGTTGCAGAAGGATATTTAAAAGAGTTGATCAGTAGAAGTTTGGTGCAAGTATCTTCACTTACCATTGATGGAAAAGTTAGAGGTTGTCAAGTTCATGACCTAACACGTGAGATGATCCTTAAAAAATGTGAGGATTTGAGATTTTGTCATAGTGTACATGACCTAACTCGACGCCTAGCAATTACAACCAGTTTCAATGATCTAAGAAGTAGTAGTGAAAGCTCACCCATTCGGTCACTTTTTGTTTTCACAGATGAAGAATTATCTGAAGAATTTGTGAGGAGAATACCCACCAAATACATGTTGTTGAAGGTGCTTGATTTTGAAAAAGCTGCATTGCCTTCTGTTCCTGAAAATTTGGGTAATTTAATCCACTTGAAGTATTTAAACCTTGGACTTACAAAGGGAGCAAGTATTCCAAAATCCATTGCTAAGTTGCAGAATTTGGAGACCTTGATTCTAGACGGAGAGAATGGACATGAAATGCCACAGGAGATTAGCAAGCTCAGAAAGCTACGACATCTTAGAGGCTATGCCATATCTTTGATTCAATTGAAGCATAGTATTGGAGGCATGACATCTCTACAAACGCTAGTTTTGGTGAAAATAAATGAGGATGAAGTAGAGCTGATTAAAGAGCTAGGAAGGCTAACACAAATGAGGAAGTTGGGGTTGGTTGGAGTTATCAATGATAATGAAAGCACTCTATGTTCCTCAATAAGTAAGATGCAATACTTGGAAACCCTACTTGTGATATTAAAATGTGGGAATGACATGTTTAATTTGCAGTTTAATTCACCCCCACCTATGCTTAGGAAGCTCTTCCTACACTCACCTTCTGTGAATTTTCCAAAGTGGATTCCAAAGCTTCTAAGGCTTGTGAAGTTGGCCTTTAGAGGCACCAATTTAATTGAGGATCCAATGAAATCACTAGAAAATTTGCCAAATTTGTTGTCCCTTGAGCTTGAATATTATGAAGGTACAAGCTTGCATTTTCAAAATGGGGGGTTTCAGAAACTAAAGGATCTAACACTCTCAGCTATGTGCAACTTGAATTCCATTTGTATTGACAAAGGAGCATTGTGTTCTCTCAAAACATTCAAGTTAGAAGACATCTTGTATCTTAAGGAGGTACCCTCTGGCATCCAATACTTGAAGGAACTTGAAGTGTTACATGAATCAAAAATGTCAGTTGAATTTAATCATAACATTGCTCCCTTTAAAGGACAAAAACACCCAGCCATTCAGCACGTTCCTCTCGTAAAAATTAACAGCAATGGGAGAACCCGTGTTATTCGACACAAAAGGAGACAGAAGGCATAAAGCATCAAGTGTCAAAAATAAAAGGTGTGTTTTTGTTTCTATTTGATACACAGTGACATTGTTTGTTTGCTCAATCAAAATGTTCAATATTTATCTACTCTTGCTTTGCCTCCCTTTTCTTCCAGAACATGTTTTATTGTTTATTTTATTCTAAGTTACCAACTAAAATATTTAATCTTAAAAATTTCTAATCAACAGCATAAAAACCTATGAAATTTTGTTTTATAAATCTATTTAGATGCAATTTTGTTGTTATATTCAACAGTCTCACTAATGTAATTACTAATATTTTGCTTTGAATTTGTAGGATTTGAGTGGCATTGCTTTGAAATCATGTTTGGCTCACAAGAATGTCATTGTATTCTTTCATTTCAAATTTGGAATTTAAGTCCCCAAATAGAGAAAAGTAGGCAAATAAAATTTATTTAAATTTTGTTTAGATGTAAAACATGCTCTTAACTTTTATATAATAAACATAGAACATCTTCAACTTTAACTGGGTGCACACATAAACCTTAAATGTGCTGAGAATGCTCGAATACTGGCTAACAAAATTTCAGGTATTGGACATTAAAGCAATTGATGTCATCAATGCTCACATCCACTATCAATAATGTCATCCTTGATGTAACTTAGCACGTGGGTGCTATTGAACATTGATGATCCTCACAGTTTAACAGTGCCAATGCAATGTATTTTGGCACATGAGACACCATTTGTCGGGGCACCTGTACTGTAGAGATATTTGCTACAGTTGCAGGACATACTGCTTGGCCATATTGAAGAGTTTTATATGTGCTCCACAAAAATCTACCTAGTTTTTAAATTGTTGGTGTTGATTTCATTTAATGTCTTTTTTACATTAATTTAGATGTAAAACTTTGGTAGATAAATAGGTAGTTTGTGAAAATTAAATTGCATTCTAAATTGTTTAGGTTTAAATAGAAACACTCACATCTTTTGCTTTTTTTCTATTTCAGGTTGTCAGCTTGAGCAATGATTAGTGACAGCTCAAGCGTGGTGTGACAAGCTAAAATGATGTTATGAATTCTATTTGAATGTGAGACCAAGCATCCTAGGTTTTTGTGCCCTAAGAGCAAAACAACACTTGGAGGGTGGAGGCTACCATCCATGAAGCAATATTCATCATCATCCAACTTGGATCTTTCTTTGTTTATGATGTGTAGCTAAATATCATTTTGTTAGGGAATTTGATGCAGTACTTGGATTTTCTAAATGTTTGATAGTTAATGTGAAGTAATTTCAATTATTTCTTGTGTTCTTGCTCCATTCTTCATGCTCCATTGATAAATGGATGTTCTTTAAGTGCCTTACAAAATTCAGAGTTGCTCATGTTTGGAGTAGAACAAGTTAGGTTTTGTCTTTTTTGAAAATTAAGGCATGCTTGATTGGGTATTATGAGATGATTATGATAGCTTCATCCTCTATTTAAGTGCCTTGTACTGCATATTTTATAATTTATCTCTTATTACTTTAATATTAATTAATAAGCTGATACTTTATAAAATCAAGAATTTAAATTAAATGCACTATCATCCAATTATCTTAATTCATATCATGTATTTTAATTAGTTGACAATGTAAAAGTCTATACATAAATAATGCATCAAAATTAAACTCCATAATTAATCCATAATTAGACTTCTCAGAGGAGGAGAATTGTCCTATTCTATCTCTATTCCTAACTAATGTGAAACATTTTGATAGGGTCCTAAAAGTTAACAAGAGGTAGACTATTCTAACCTTTATAAAAAATTTCTAACTAAATTCCTAGCTAATACGGAACATCTTAACAAGTTGCTTACGTGCATTGTTAAATTATTATCCTTGCTAATTTCTCCTCTAATAGAACAATAAAAACAAAAACACTAAAGGAACAATTCACTATGTATTACCATAAGCTATGGCAAATTATCACAAATAGGACATCTAGTTTTAATAATAATAAATTCTATCAGTGATTTGTCCCCGATAGATATCAAGATTATAGTGATCTATTAATAGAAACACTTTTGGAATTGCAGGAATTCTATATCTTGTCTACATTTTGAAATTCATCTAGATGCAAAATATCTGCCTACACAAAATGGACAAAATGGAGGTTCAGATGATGGAGAAAGATTAATCTTACTTATCATTCAAACTCGCTAGAATTAGTCCTTTCAACTAAAGAGACAAGTGAGAATTCACAACACAAAGACTATACAAAAAATACATGCGTACATCATTCAATTGAATAATCACATAGCATGTACAAGGCAAGCAATGTACCAATATCTTGATAGTTACACATGATGCAATTTCCATTCCTTTTTTTCTTCTTTTTAAGGTATCTGCATTTGAATCAATTAAAGACATATTATATTTATGCTACTAGAAACAGAACTAGTCTTTCTAAATCATAAGTCCTAACTAAAACTTGAGCCATCTCTTCTCTTTTTCCTTGCTAACAACTGCACTTGAGGCAGAGGCATGAGCTGCTTCAGCCTCTGCCAAAGCCTTGCGAGTTTCAATTAATTTCCTCATTGCAGCCTCATAAACAGCCTTCTCTTTTTGGTTCGCATTTACAATGTGTTCAAGTTTTTCAACCCGCATCTTCAAATCCTTCACCTCATCCTCATAAGCAATCAATGCCCGTCTATCCACTCTTTTACCTTCCTCTGAACCTTTACTTTGCTGCTTCTTCATTGAACCGCTGTTGAAATGTTCACCATGCATTGCCAGCTGATTGTTTATCAATGCAAATACATCTGATACTGATTCTTCTTCCTCCTTTGCTGCACGAACCGCTTCTGCAAATTTCTTATCACGTTTTCTCTTACCGCCCCTGCTCCGTTTCTTGCCTTGCTTCTCTCGGTTATCTTCTTTATGAAATTCAAGTGCATGATCCAAGGACTGCTTTGGTGGTAGCACCTTCACTGGTATGGGGTCCAGCATTCCCTGACCAGTTGCCCCTAAACCCATTCCTTCTCTGTATCCCATACTAGCCATCATTTTGGAAGCTACACCTCTAGTGTGGTTCTCCCACTTGGCAAATATAGCTGTTTCAGTTTGAATACCTCTCTGCAGGTTGGTACTCTCCAGAAATCCTAAACCTTGCAATTCCTCTTCCTCATAGTCACTAGAATCAGTTTGCTCTAAGCTGGAATCACTCTCTAAGTCACTTACTTCAGCATACTCAGATAGTGCCATTTCTTCTGCACCAATTTTGACAGAACTTCCATCATCACGGAAAACAACTTGTCCAATGCCAGCTTTTTCGTTCCAGGACTCGAGCTCAGCTTCCCTCCAAGTGCCTGCATTTGCATTTGAGACTGCCCATATACTTGATCCCACAAGAGATGGTTTCCACAGAGTAGGGACATATTTCTTAAGAGAGGACAATTGAACATCAACTCCTGCAGTGTAGATGTAGATAGTACATAAGGTATGATGTGCTAAACAGAATATGTAAGAACAGAAATGAAAAACAAAACCCCAGGAAGCTGATGGTATAAAGCAGCAATCGCATATATTTGAAAATAGGCTTGAGATTTTATAGGGCCTCCACCCCTTCAAATTCCATGAGTTAAAGGATGAACCAATTGCTTTAACACTAACAGTGTTAAGTCTGCATTTTCTTTTCTTGGCCTGGTCCCCCCAATGTTCTTGTGTGTTAAAACATGTACTCAAGAACTTAGTAAGGTATCTGGAAATGATTCAATGAGTAAAGCTGTGAATAATTTCACCCAAGAAGCCATAGTTGTGATTCAATCCAAAAAGGACTGCTATTTTTATCCCAAAAAAATAAATTAAACACAAAATGCGGAATAAATCTTAAGTGAATTTAGATGAAAATCAGAAAAATTATATCAGCCTACTCTAGGTGAAAGTACACAAATTGCCTACATATTTTAATGTCATACAAAATGAATACCTCATTATAGAAAAACATCATAAGCAAAAATTACAATTAAATAACTGTGTTTCCCATAATATGCCAATTGCTAACTCATGTCTAACACTCAAATAACTAGACTTAGATCCCCTAGTTTATACATATCAACTACCCCCCAAACTTAACAAGTTATCAAATACGCCAGGGTCCAAATGCTGATTTAATCTGCACTTACAAGTGAAAGTGCACTAAAGCTTAGTGACAAAGTCAAATACAAAGAGGTCCATGTGATTGCACCTCTATCCAATTTTAGTTCAATTTGCTCAATAACAGCATCTTACCATGTGATAGGCGACAGTTACTACCAAATCGACATCGTTGTTGCAAAAAGAACTTGCACATCTGCACTTTGGTGTTCTAGCATTAGTACAATGACATGAGAAATAATTGATTTTATTGAATAATCTAGAAACCTAAATCAACACTGAAGTAAACTTCCCCAAATATGTAGCAACATCATATCACTAATCACTTCAATCACAAACATACACATATGATGTTCAATCAGAACGATCTTTTTCAAATTACATCATGTAAGGCTATGGATGGAGGTTGGTGAAATCCTTCAAACGGCATGTGATTAAGATGGTGAGATAGGAAAGACACAGAGAAAAAGTGGAAAAATGAATGTGCCACATTTAAAAGCTTTGTAACTTCCAATTATTACTAGTTAGGAATATTTCATTACAGTGTGATTGAACCTCTTAAAAATAATTTTTCATATATAAAAAGATTGTTGATGAAACTTGTTTGGAATTATTATTATTATTTAATAACTGAATTGATTTTAAAATGGTGTTAAATGTATTAATATTTAATTATGAGTAAAAGGTAAAATATATCACTTTTAATGCAATTTGTAAATCATTCAATCAAAATGATTTCTTAAATATAGCACTTAAATTTTCGCATCATAAAGAAAAAAGTAGAAAGCCGACTATAACATAAAACACCTAGTGTTAGGCATTTATACTACCATTAACTCAAACAATCATACATGATATAAACAATATGTCAAACGCATTGCTAAGGAATAAATTTGAAACAAGAACAGAAGAACCTATGTCTACATCATCATCATCATCATTATAGAAGTTGTATTTGAATTGAAAAGAGAAAACATCACAAAAAGATGGAGGATAAGAAATACTTGGACTAGAAAAAGAGAACCAAAACAAATACACAGAAACAAAAGTCCTAGCTATATGGTATTGGAATTGGAATAATATAATACAGGAAAGTCCATTTAAAAGAAAAATTGCCAATTGTCTGATTTTTCTGTATTGTTGGTTTCGGTATTTGAATTCAGGGACTCACATGCTAGAAGAAATATATTGTATACAGACAAAGACTTAACATGTACTTGCTGCAAATATAATTCTTTTTCACTTTCTGCTTTTTTTCAAGGGGGGCAGGGAGGGGCAGAGTGTAAGAGATGTTGGAGACAGCATATATAACCTCATTGTTTGACTTTGTCCCTATAACTATTTATCACCAATAAATCCAAGATAAATTGGAAACAGACCTTACTATAACTGTCCCAATTGAATTCTGATAGAATCTGGTATTTCATTATAATATAGTGGGAAATAATGAGAAATAATGAGCTGATAACAAACAAGAAAAGAATAAAGAGGAGAACACTTGCTCTCCCTGTCCCAATTGGCATCAGCCAATTCTCTCCTCTAATATAATTTCTCCCCTACTTCTTTAACTGAATTTTTTTTTCCCCTTTATGTTCATATTCCCCTTCTTCTCTTATAGACATGGATTTGAGGCCCATTTGCATTGGCCCATTCTTGGCAAGCTGTTGTTATTTCGAACTCCCTTAATTTCTTAGAATAAGTTACCATATAGGAAAAATAGGGCAAAGAAAAACTGTTCTAGTTAAGAACTAAAAATAGAATAGAATAGCACATGTTTTGTCACCAAAGCAAAAGAAAAATGGCCAAACTTGACCCAAGATAATCAAACATACCAGCATATTCTCAGATGTAGGAGTAAGGAACGAAACTTTTGCCACTGAATTATCCAACTGCACCACTTGACCATTGTACCAACGCCCATCTTTGTGACGGAATCTACATTTAGATCCAACAGAATAACATTTTTCCTCCAGTGGCTCTGGTTCAACATCTGTTGGATCCAGGGGCTCCACTTTCTCTTCTTCAGTGAAAATATTAGTGCTATGCAGCGCTGAATCTGCTTCCTGTAACAATCGTGCACGTTTTAGGTGAAGGAGTCCTTCTTCTGCATCCCTAATTGCCTGAACAAGCTCCTCGTGAACCTGCGATATCAAACAAAGTTAGGATATTTAAAACATGAAATTAGCCTTTGAAATATTCTATTGGTTGTCATAATAATGATAGTCAAATCCTGCTCTAAATCTTAGAATCATTTGCACCAGCATCTGTGAACCTGATCCCAGGTAAGAACACTGCTTGCTGGGATTGGAGGTGAATAACATGCTTAATTGTAGAAGCGCACTGAATCATGCATTTCCAGCTATTCTCAAAATTCCAACAAAAGCACGAAAAAAAAAATCCACATCACTAGATTTCAACCTCCTAGTCCAGTGAACTCAAACCTAATTTCACCCCTCTCCCTTTGAAATCACAGTAGCAGGTTAGATGAGTCGACATTTTGGGGTTTTTACAGTTAATACCGTTCATTAATAAAGCACTCTGTAAAGGCTAAACTAAACCAGAAAGTTGTGCATAAGGCACCAGAGGCTGCATGCACCTCACTGAAGGGGCAGTGCCTCAACGAGCAAGGGGTGTTGCCCCCTTCCTCCAGCAACTTCCTTCAGCGCCCTTGCGTACATTGTTCCAACCAAATTTTAATTCTAAGAAAGACTCCCTATCTTGATTGAGTAACATATAAGCAGTTGTAGCACACATTAGACAGCACACCAATCAATCTTACACACATAAACATCAATGAACTCAACATAATTCTCTAACTGTCCACAACTAGAAAATATAAGTCTGAGAGATATTAATATATTCAATTAACACCACAACCATTGAAGTTTTAAGATTTACAATCTACATGTGATAAGGATTCAAAACAGCACACATCCCAATCCTCATATTTCGGCATTTTTGGCCAACAACATAATCAAATTCAATAAACCAGTAAATAAAATCATAAACATCTACACTCATTAGCATTGCAAAGAGGCTAAGTAAAATGTCTAGAATTTTTCTTTTATGAAAAAAAATTATTGAAACCCAACATATTGGGGTGCATTTGATTCCCACATTACCCCATAAAGATTCAAACTTTGAAACAGAAACAAATTGCCCACGACCCAGAATCCAACAAAATTGTTGACTTTGAACCCAATAAATAAATGGGAATTGGATTGAAAAGTGAGAGAGATTGTTACCGCGAGAAGCTCAGGGTTGGTTGGATCAGAGAGGAGTGCTTGATCGATGGCAGAAAGGGAATCCCTTTGCTCTTGCAATTGAAGTTCGAGTTGGTTCTCCAGAACCCTCTCTTCTTCGCTACCCATTGCCATCATCAAACCCAACCACGAGACACAACACAACTACGTTATTAATTTCGCACCCTTTTCGTTCTCCGTTCCACCAAAGTTTTTGTTTTTAAATATATTCCCAAACTTTTTGTGGATTTTTTATCTTAGTGGTGATTAATTAAAAATTACCATATATTATTTTTTCACAATCATGTTAATAGAAGAACCAGAACTGAAAATCCATAAAATATAGAAATTAAAATTTAAAAAAAATTCATAAAAATATAAAAATATAAAATGCATTTCAATTTTTTTATTTTTCTAGTAAGACAAAAACAAAATCAAATACAAATAAATTAATATTTTTATAGATTAAAACATTAAATTGTAAAACTATAAGTTGCACATAAATTTTATGTTTATATTTTTCGTAAAAACGATATCCATGTGTTGTTTCATTTATGTAAATTTTATCTGTAAGTATTTTTTATAAAAAGTAATCTTGTTTGGTAAGATTATAATAAGCAATAATTTTTTGAAAAATTATTTAACATAGTTATATATTCAAAATTCAAATCTAAAACTATTAGTTAAATTAAAATTACGTAGGTTAAATTATTAAAGTTCTTATTACTAAAAATTTATCAAAATGTAGAAATCTAACCAATCCAACATAAACGTGTGTTGATAAATTTTATTCATCAAATATTAAAATAGCTTACCTCATTCTGGTAAAAATGTTTCATGAAATAGATTCTTTATCAATATGCAAATTAAAGCTCTAACATTGAAATTTTTTTTTACATTCAAGGAATACTAACAAAGAACCAAATTCACAATAAAAGGCAAAAAGGAAAAGAACATCTAAAGAATCTCCTAAAAAGAGCAGTTTTCTATGTTTGGTAAAAAAAATCTTCTTTACTGATTTGTCATGCAAACAAATGCATTTGTTCAACATTGTTTAGGAAACATCTATTTTTATTTATCACTTTTTTTTAATAAAAAAAATTAGTAACATATTTTTTAACAAACTCTTAATTATTAGTTAAAATTTATTAAAAACTATAAAAGTATAAAAAATATTAAATTAGAAGTTTTAAAAAAAGTGAAATTTACATAATTTTTAAGGTTTTCAATAAATTTTAATTAATAATAAAGAACATATTAAAAAGAGTGTATTCAAAAGTGTAGCATTTCATTTTTCCAATACATGAAATTCATTGATAGATTTGTATGCACTCCTTATGATAGAAACATCTTGATTAACATTTAATCATTTTGGTAAACCTTACCCACTAAATTGTAAAGGAGGAAGAATAACATGCATACAAGGAAGGATGTTATCAATTAATTCTATTGTTTCCTAATCATCAACCATGCCATACATTTATGGCTCTTCCATCCTTAAAGATAGAATTTTATTAAAATAAAATAAGCACACATTTCTCCTATTTTACTTTTAATTTGGCATCAAATATTTGACCATAATCAAATTAATTAAACTGCTCTTATTAAGGTAAGAATTACTGTGAAAATAAATCATCAAATATTAAACCAAATTTTTTATGACTTAGTCGTTAAATTATTTCTTGTAATAAATCATCCCTTTGAGACTATTGGAGTAGCCTAAAAAAATTTCTTTAACCTTCATCATTATGACCAAGTGTTCAAACGGCCTTTAATACTTAGATATTAACTAACTCTTATATCTTATCTTTTGGTGCAACAATATGTTATTATTTTAATCTCAACTAAAATAAAAAAATATTTAAGTAATGTTAATATTTAAGATTTTATCAACTCATGTACTTTTATCATAATTTTAACCTTACTCTACATTTTATACTTTAGAATGTATATTTTAAGTTTAAATGAATCAAATTTTGTGTATAAAAGACTGCAATCGTCTCTCTCTATTTAAAAAATAAAAATTTATAATTTATAAAATTAAATAATTATCAAATTAAATTAAAATAATTTATTAATATTTATATATAAAAACTTGATTAATGTTTAAACAATAATTTGTTTATAAAAATATATTTTAAAATACAAACAAAATATTAAAATACAAATACTGTAAAATATTTTAATTATTTTATATGTAATCGGGTTGGGTCGAATCGAAAGAAGGACCCATAAATAATCATATTTGTATCTACAAGACTTATTACGCTACTCGATTAGTTTAATTTTACTGGAATTAAGTTGGATCGGTGAAGTTAATTGGGTTTATTTACCCGACCATAAATACATATGGGCTTACAGGCCCATGGAATAAGAGGCCCGTGGAAAATATTGAGCCTACTAGGCCCAACACAACCCTCCATCTGTTGGGCTCATCGACAACAACAAATCCAAACCGTCCACAACGAACGAATATGAGCCGTCCAAATCCGAATCCTATAAGAGACCCTTTCACAGTTCCTCAGAGAACGCAGCATTTGTCGGCGGTGACATAAAACGAAGCAGAAGCGTTCGATCGGAGAGTTTGAAGATGTCAGGTGTCACCAACAACAACGAGGAAGACAAGAAGCCAAGCGAACAAGGCGCACACATCAACCTCAAGGTCAAGGGCCAGGTTCGTTCCTCCTTCTTTCTTTCAATTTCTAGGGTTTTGATCGCTTGTTCAATTGTGATATTCACGTGCCGTTGATACTCGATTTTTAATTTTGCTGGAAGGTTGGTGGATTTTTTTATCGTGTTGTGGGATTTATGATCATGTCACGAAGCATTAGGGTTTCTTAAGTTTAAAAAATGGGATTTTTTTACATGGTGGATTTGTTAAAGGTTTAATTTTGGTTTGGATTCATGGGCTTGGATAAAAATTAAAACCTTGACAATTTCGCTTTTAAAAATACAGGATCTTATTTTACTTTACGTTTTCCTTCTTTTTTCTAATGCTTTCGAAGATATATCTGTATTCCATTATTTCGCTAATTATGCACTTCTTCTGGTAATTTATCTTTAAAATATGGTTTGATTATTTCTTGCCCCTGTCATGAAATTCCTGCTGTCTGAATGTTTTTTAACATCAGGAGAAATTGAATTTGATAATGTGATTTTCTGGCTTTATTTGTGTACATCGTTGATGTGTTTTAGATTTCATTTTCTTTTTTAAGTTTTAGCTTTCTTTGGATTGAGTTTGTTTTTAATTTGCTTGTATAATTGCTTATACAACATCAAATAACATTATGTGTCTGGATGGATGGATGGATAAATTTAGGTAAGAAGGTTTGAAATGCCCTGTTTGCGTGTTTTCAATGTTATTTTTATGTCAATAGTTTGGATCTATGGAGCTTTTGTGTTTCTTTAGCTGGTTTAGTTTGGCTTAGAAAGGGGAGAAGATGTTTATCTGGAATTTATGTGTATTTGAATTAGTAATGTTGGTTCTCCAAATATCAAAACCTCACTCAGAGGAACAATTTTTCTGGTAGAGGATGCTCATTGAGATGTTTATCTATTTTTCAGTGTATGAAACCTTCTTCCACTCCCGTCTTCTGTATTGGCTTTGCTTTTGGTTGGATGATTGTTCTATTATCAGTCAAAGATCATACTTCTCTAAATTAATTGAGTTTTTAGTCCAGGTTCTTACTTATAATTGTGAGGCCATTGATAGTGTTGTTGATGGATTCATCACAAATGGAAATTTAATACTATAAATTCTTATACATTTCCATATTATGTTTTGTTAGTGTATTATTGAAATTGTAACCATGAAATTAGTTTGAGTTAATGTGCTTAATTTGGGATTTCAAATGTTGTAGGATGGGAATGAAGTTTTCTTCAGGATCAAGAGAAGCACTCAACTGAAAAAGCTTATGAATGCATACTGTGATCGACAATCAGTGGATTTTAACTCCATAGCTTTTCTGTTTGATGGGCGTCGCCTCCGAGCTGAGCAGACTCCCGATGAGGTTTGTGTTTGCTCGTACGTCTGTTCATGATTTTGTCTCAGTTTCCTTTTTATTCTGATTATTATTGAGTACATTTTTGGTTTCTGAATTGAAATTTTATTTTATTTTATTTTTTCGCAGCTGGAAATGGAGGATGGGGATGAAATAGATGCCATGCTTCATCAGACCGGAGGTGCTGTGGTCTGAAGGATGTGATCTACCTTTGTCTTGCACTATATGAGTAGAGTTAGTTTAACCTAGGTCTAGGCTAATGCATAAGATGCATCTTCTATTATCTACTTTTATACAGCAGTTGCCGCTGGACTTTGAAGGCGTAATGCTTCCTTTGTCAATATGATTGTGAGTGAATTATTATTTCTACCTGTGAAAGCCTATATCCATTTGTCTTAAGTTGCCTTCATTAGAGTGTGATATATATCTCAACTCTGAAGCATGTATTGGATATTTAGCTAATGTCCTCAGGGCTTAAAGGGATTATACTTAGACACGTGTGAATGGGCATGCGATTTTTTATTTCAATGGGTACAAATTAGCCAGGATTCTGATAATATTATCAAGGGGCATCGTTGTCTATAAAGATCAAGATATGGTTAGAACTCAGTCTTATTTATTTAAGAATAACAAGATATGGTTATATTGAAGAGGGAAAGACATGAAAAGAAAAATTAGATGACTAATCATGCTCGTCATTTTACCCTTCTCTTTTAATGTGACTCTATTTAATAAACCATCTTGTTACAGTAGAGCAAAGTAAGTTAATTTGTGCATGTATCTTGTGGAAGACCAAGGCTTTCAAGAGCTAGATCAAGCGTCAAGTGCCATCTCTCTCTCTCCCTCCCTCCCTCCCTCTCTCTCTCTCTCTCTCTAGTTCTGACCTTGATCATTGGTTATGGGAGGTGGACTCAAGTTGGTCTATGATGGTACTTGTAATGGAAACAGATCAATTGCCAAACTGCTGTTATCATACTTGCACCTTTCAGTACCTAAAGATTTATTTTGGAGAAATTTTCTGGTCTTACGGTGGAGTTGGAATCACTTAAACAAATTGGTTTTGCCAAATCAAACAGGTGAATTCTTTGGGCAAGGTTATGCTACTCATCCACAAATACCAAGCCCACGCATAGCATGTGCTATCTCGTTTCATTTATGGACCCGTGCACGACTTTATTCTTTACTTTCCTTCATTAAATTGTGAACTTTGACTTTACATTTAAGAACGCATTTCACTAAAATGGTTCAACATCAAGCAAACTAAACACTTGTTCAAAACAGTAAGTGTTTTTTATTGTGATCAGCAGTGAAACATTGCTCTGACGTTAACAAAAGATGAATCATTAGCAACTCCCAAAAAGGTGACGATCGAATATTATATTTGCCTTAGCTATGGCAGTAAAGACATCCTGATCTGTTTGCAGATGATTATCTCACCTTGAGAATGTTAGTATATGATTTTTACATTTTTTTTTTGTTATTGGTTAAAATATAATAAAAAGCTTAAAATTATGTGAGACTCACTAACAAAATGTTGTGAATAATAATAAATTGATTAAATCCTCGTTTTGGTCTTCGAGAGAGTTTGCATCTAACAATTTAGCTCCTGAAAAATTAAAAATATCATGTTAGTTTTTCACTTTCATCTTTGTCAGATATTTAAGTATCTAGACTCAGACGTTGTTAATAGTGACAGAATGCTGATATGTAACGTTAAGTAACACGTGTCATTGATTACGTGACAAAAATGACGTCATATATATAGTAGAATATATATTTTTGTTTTATTTTAGTCATTGAGCTTATAATTTGTCGGACATTTTAGTCCTTAAGAGAGCGAAAGAAGAGAAGGGTGATGGGGGTTCTATTGAAAGAGAATCTAGTGGAAGAGATGATAAAGAGAGTTCCTGTGAAACTACATTTGCAAGATAGTTAGTGTCTTTGCAAGAAAGAGAAGGGAAGGGAACAAGAATTGAGTTGCTAGGAGGAAGAGAAGAAGAGAAAGCAAGAGTTAGCATATGTATTTCTCCAAAGAATGTTCTTTTGTTGATGAGATGTAGATCTGAAGAAGAAGATAAATAAGATAATGCAAAAGAGGGGGGGTGAGAAAGAGGAACAAGAAGGAAGTGGCAACAAAGCAAAATAATTTCAGGGAGCAACGAGTTATAATATCAATGACTAAAATGTTCGTCAGTGATAATTTTAGGGACTAAAATATTTGTTAGTGACAATTTCATGGACTAAATTGTCCGACAAGTTATAATCTCAAGCACTAAAATAAAAACGAAAACATATATTATACCACATACGATATTATTTTTGTCACGTAATCAATGACACATATCACTTAACGTCACATGTCAACATTTTATTATTGTCTATTAACAACATCTGAGTTTAGAGACTTAAATACTTAACAGAAATGAAAGTTAGAAACTAACTTAATATTTTTAATTTTTTAAGAACTAAAATGTTAGATACAAACTCTCTTCAAGACCAAAATAAGAGTTTAATCCTAATAAATTTTATCTGAAAAGTGTTTTAAAAAATATGTTAAAGAATATTGTTAGTATTTCTTGTCTTACAATCGTTGTCTTATGCTATTTTCCATCTAATCTAACGAAGTTGATCCATTTTTGAATTACCTCACCTTTTCTTATTATTAACCTTCCATTGTTAGATTACTTTGTGGAGTAGAATAAGTCATAGTTATATTTTATAAAAATCTGATTGATTAGATGTCAATGAAAAAAAAAATTTGTTGGAAAAGATTTTCTCTTTTGACATTTCATCATATTTCAAGAAATTAATTCTTGGTTATAAGACACATTCTTCAAATTTATCACTTTTTATCCTGATTTCATCCAAAACTCATGATTATTAAAGTTTAAAAGGCACAAGAATTTGAGAGCTTTATGCGAACCAAAATTTATGAAAATACATTAATCTAACAATTAAAGAAAATCAATAATTAAATAAATAAAATTTGTTAAGATAAAAATCATGCACTATGAATTAAAAATACAACTAAACCTTTAACTTTTAATTTAGTGGCTCCCTGATCTGGATTTGAGATTTATCCTTCCTGGAAGAGTTGGATAAATGGCTTTTTCTAATATATGCCCAAAGACATATAGTAAAATGTTAAAAAGAAGAAAAATAAAAAAAATATTATTTTATAATCATAATATTATATATATATATATATATATATATATATTAATTTAAAGTATACAACAACATCAAAATGCCGTCTAGGAAGGAAATGATGTTACAATTTTATCATGAGGTAGCTTCTTGTTGATTCGAGTATTGACTAATAAATATGGCATAAACACATTGCAAAACACGTTATTGAGGTTTTAATTATTATTACTATTTTTAAAAAGACGCTATTGAGTTAGTGGTTCTTATTCACTATTGAGTTTCAATTGTTTGAATGATTTTGACTACCCATTAAATATGTAGTCCATCTAAGTGGAAATACCCATTATTGATTCGATAAGGACAACACGTATGCTTCATTTCCCCTCAACTCTTTTAACAAGAGCTTGCATTGCCATTTGAAACAATTGCTTGTTTTGCCTGTTGATAAGTATTATTGATAATAAAAAAAAAGTTTATTTAAATACATTTTAATTGGGATAAGTATGGCTAATTTAATTGTTCACAGATTATTATTTTTTAAATAATCCTAATCATCATTTAATAATGATGCGACGTCATGAGTAAATATTATTTCATAGTTTTAGAATGACATTTTTATATACTTTTTTAATGGTTTATTTACTTAAGGTTACTTCACATAGTTTTAGAAAATTAATTAGTGTCCAAATTTGTATAAAGACTATTATCTAATTTCTAATTTTACCCTTTTTTCTAATTAATTAAAAAAATTTATTAACTTTGTAAAGAGTAGGGGTATAATCAAAATAATAATTAATATTTTCTTGAGCCTGTAAAAAGACAAATAAAAAGGAATTTTTTTTTAAATGATAACAGATAAAAACGAATGGAGAAGCTATATCTTATGTCATTAGTAATGATAAGAATTAAGAATCATTTTAAAAAAAATTTAAAAATCATTTTTAAAAAACTTTAAAATTTTATAAAATTTAAAATTAACCAAAAAAACTAAAAACTAAATCAAATTTAATTATATTGATAAAAAATAAAATTTTATCTATAAAATTATTAATATAATAGTAAAAAATATTAATTTGAAGTTTCTTTAATGGATTTCTTTTATTTCAAACTCTCCATGATTAAAATTGAAAGTTAGTATATATCTAATTCTATCAGTTTGATGTTTTTTCTATACATAGGACATATCAGTTTGATTTTGAGATGTTTCTACATCACTGTCTCGCTAAGAAAAAAATCTCCATTTGAACTCTATCCTAACCTTTCTATGTAAATTAATTTTAAAAAAATTAATTATTTTATTATTCTTCCTATAGATAGTGATACCTTATACTTTTCTTACTATTGGTCTAGTGGTAAGAGTTTTTCGTTGTCGATTTCCTTGAATTGTTCATTATATTACATGGCTTCCTTTATCTCAATTTAAATCTTGTTTTCTTCTGGGTAAACTCTCATAATAAGGCAACTTTGCTGTCATCAATTGATGTTCAAGTTTTGTAAATTTTGGTTTAGATCAGCCCAATAATTCGTATAGTTCATTTTTGTACTAAATTTGATCCAAATTAATTATCATCAGTTTGAATTTTGAGTTTATGCCTTTAATTTTAGAGTAAGTAAAATATAAAGTTAAACACTTAGTTAATCTTTTATTGTTCTTGTTGATCCAAAGTTATATTTTATACTTTTAGTTTCTCTCTTTTGTTTCTTCATTTATTCTAACACACTCATTTCATCTAATTATTACTACTAATTAAGTGTCTTCAGTTATACATTTTATCATATCTTTTCATCATTTTTAATTAATTATGAAATCTAAACAATAAATCTGGCACTGTGATTTCCATCAATCTTCATGATAAAAAAAAATTGGCTAAATATTTTTAACTACCTAGTGGAACTACTTATAAAGGGTATCATATTTATTTTCTCAAATAAAAGTTCTATTTTTGAAAACATGCTTTATTAGTTATCTTTATTAGCAATTTGTTATAGAACTGTTGTCATACACTTCATTAACAATTAGTGATTTTTTTTATATAGAAAGTAAAGTTCTTCAACAAAAATTAAAAGAATATTATATAACTATTTTTATGTTATTTTTTTTTTCAGAAGTCCAACTTTGTCCATAAATTTTGTGCCCTCTTGGACAATTTATGTGCAATTTTCAAATTGCGCTCAACTTTTATATATATTTCAAGTTTTCACACAGATTTCAAAATTTGCATTTTTTTATATCTGTAAAAAATACTATTGAATAAGTACTTAATAAATAATGTTTCAAACACACCATTTTTAAAAAATATATTATATCACTAAATTTAATGTATTAACAATGGTATGACTTTTAATAAATAATAGTTCTTATCATATACTCTTGAATCCTATAGCATTTGTGAGAAATAAGGCCAGGTAGGTAGCAGCCTAACTTCCTACATGCCCCAAACCCTGTATGGTTTGGTTGTTTAACAAAGTACATTTCTATATGTGCATAATCATATGTGCATTTCTTTGGATAATAACAAGAGTGGGAAATAACATGATTTGTTTTATCATAAAATCATAGTATTCAAACTAGTATTGGGCCCACAGATTTACTTTTCCTGGTGCCATATATGTCATGTGGGGCTGTGATTGCTCTCTTTTGAATCAATTTCAAAATGGATAACAACTTACAACCGCAAAGGAATTGGATAAGAACATAGCCTAAGGAGGGACCCTTTGACACTTCTTTCACAATAAAAGACACATCTAACCCAGCTACCCTTAAGAAATCCTAGAAGAACATTAAAAGAGGAGTGCTTCATTGGCCCCATTTTTCATCCTTTATGTTTTATCACCAAAAAAGAAAAAAGCAAACCATCTTGAATACAAAGCGCAAATTCCGTAGATGTGTTTGGTTGCTTTATTTAGACATAATGCCCCACAAGCTGTACAACATATTCATGAATGATATACAAAACAACACACATAATCCGCCTAAAATAATGATAATATAAAGAATAAAGCCACAAACCTTTGGCCAGAATGTCCTTTATGTTTTTAAAAATATAATAATAATGATTGCACTCAACCTATAATTAAAAAAGCCTAATGATTCATGAAGTCTCTGTCAATCAACAAAAAAAATGGAGCTTAACTCCCTCAAACCCAGAATTTCAAACTAGGCGCACATTCATGAATCAATAGTATCATATTCATAATATATATACTTTTGAAAATCCGATTAGCCGACATGAATTTACTTAAATAAAGACAAACTTTCAATTGATTAGTCTCTTTCTGCTGTAAAAGCACTAGCAATTAACAAGCTTTTCAGAAATATGACAACCCTTTATTCTGGCTGCATATACAGCTATCTCAAGAGTTTCAAGTCAGCACAAAAGGTTCCTAATTACCCTTCTTGTGGTAATCAGATTCATGCTCTTTGAACCTATTCTTAACTGATTCAGCCTTTGAGTTGCCAATTGTAGCCTCTTCAGCAGCATCAATTGTCTTGCCAAGAGTTTGACTTGCCACCCCTGCTTCCTTGGCCTTCTCTTCTGCAACTCTCTCAAACTCTTCAGCAGTGGAAGGTGCCCTCTCTTCCATCAAGCGGCTATGCTTTCCCTTGCTTGCTTTCCCATAATTCTAACATGCATGTTCATTCATTCAATACCAAATAAATTTCAGCATTCATAATCCCTTTAATTAAAACAGTTCCAATATTTCCAATTTTGACATGAAATTTAACTTTTTGCAAGATTTGCATGGTTGATTTTGTAGCAAACCCATTTGAGTATAGATTGCATTTTCAAAACAACAAGGAAAAATCTTTCCTTTCTTGGTGGGTTTTGATAATTTGTTCAACTTTTGAGCCTTTGATTTCCACTTTCAAAAATGGAACCATGCAGAAAAACCTCATTCTTCAACACTCAATTTCAACAAAAGAACAAAGTGAAATTGGAAAAATCAAAATCTAACATTTGATTTCTCCAATTTAATTTTCTTACACAAGAAACAAAAATGTTCCATATTAAAAAAACCCAGCAATTCCACAACTAAGAAGCAAATAGTCATAGAATTCTTGGTAAGCAAAAATAAAAAACAATTGAAAAATTAAAGACATGCAAACCAAAGGGATTAAATTGAAGGATATATGAAACACCTTAATGGGGTTGTAGAGGATTGGCCTAGAGGGCTTGACCAAGGAAGATCTTGAAGAGGCATGGAAGAAAGTGAGGAATTGGGCACCAGCCATAGCGTCTGAGTTTTTCACAGCGTTGTCAAATGATAGTTTTGAGAGAGTCGAGGTTGTGAAACATATTAGAGTTGAGGTAGTGGGGACGTGTCTTTAGGTAGAAGCGAATGATAGGCACGTGGTGCTGTTGACATGCGACAGCTTCATGCAATCCAATAGGACAAGATTGCATACTGAGCAGATATGTCTCTACACTACATGTCCCACTCTTTCATCCTATAAAACTACTTATGTTAATATTATTTTTTATTGTTAGAAAAGTTTTATGAGTTTTATAATAATAAAAAAAGTTGTATGCATTATTGAGTCTCAAATGTGCTTTACTAAAGATAAATTATTAACGTATTTATTATTATTATTCTATTAATAAAGCACATTTAATAATATAGTAGATATTTAATTATTTTTTATAATTAATTCATAAGTTAAAAATATTAGTTTAATTAATTTTACTATATATTGTTCATATAAATACTTTTAAATTAATTAATTAAAAAATGTTTAAATATAATAATTTATATTAAGATGATAACATAAATTTTTACTACTAATCTCACTAATTTCTTAAAATATGATTACTTGATTTATTCTTTTTTTTTTTTTTTTTGGTTACACTGCCTATTAGAATGGCAGAACCAAAATTATCAAACTCTACCCAAGAATTCAAATTATATTTAGAAGTGATCGGTGAAAGGATTAAAATAATATTTATCTTTTTAATATTGAAAATTATTTTTAAAAATATATTAAATAGTTTAAAATTTCTTATTTAATTTTAATTATATAAATATAATTTAATTTTTAGTCAAAAAAAAACTTTTAGTGTGCATACATGTGCATATGAATGTGGGTGGATGGAAGTAGGGCCATTAAAATGAATTAAAGCCCACTAATTTATATTTGAAGATGATATGGTTAATAAGTTTATTTTAACTCTAAATTTTAATATAAACAGAATAGTGAACCAAGTTCAAAATTAATGATGGGTTAGTTCACTTATATTAAAAAATAACTAATAATTATTATATTATATATAATATTTATTAAATTATTTTATTTAAATAAATTAAAAATTTATTTAATGATTTTTGATAATTATGAATTTATTATAATTTAAGTTTATACATGATATGATTATTTTAAAATATAAATATAAATACATAAAATTTTAAATTATTATTTTTAATGAATTTTATATAAATATATAGATATAAATAGATTGTTTGTTAAAAATATTAAATAGAAAATAAATAAAAATATTAAGTTATTAATTTATATGTAATATATATATATATATATATGTTTTAATTTATTGTATAAGTAATTTTTTTCTATTACTTAATGCTATAGAGTAGTTAATTATATATATATATATATATATATATATATATATATATATTAGTTTAAAATAATAAATATAAAGTAAATAAAATTAAATATTTTATAAATATTTTATTTTTTAATTTAATTAATATTATTATTTTTATTATATATAATTTAAAAATTTATATTAATTTTTTATTAAGATAAAAATTAAAAATATAAGTTATTTTAATTTAAAAATAAATTCTATTAAATTGAGATAAGACAAAAGCTAAATCTATAAATATTCATTAATTATTACTATATTCATAAGTTATTTTTCTGTGTCAATAAATTTTCAAACATAAAGTATTTTATATTTATAAACTTTATGATACCAAGATTTATTCATTATTTTTTACCATATTATCTTTTTTTTTTTTTGTATTTATTATAATTTTATTTATTGGACATAAGATGTCTTTATAAAAAATATGATTTTAAAAAAAAATTAAAATCTTTAATATTTTTATAAAAATAAATCAAGAATATTTTAAAATTTGTATAATATGAAAAAATTTATAATTAATTATCAAATAATATTTTAAAAATTATTTATAAAATTATATAAAAAATTGTTACATTTATCTAATAATTATCAATTATATAGATAAAAAATTTTAAAATATATAAATTAATTTGATAATAAATAGTATAACTTTATTAATATTATTTAATAACAAAAATATTATAAATATTTAATATTATACACATTTAATTTTTCTTTATATTTTTTAAACAATTTTATGAGTCTACAAGTTTAAAATAGAAAATATTATATAAAATAAATATTTTAATAGATTATTTCATAAGATATTATATGATTATCCTCTAAAAAGTGAGTTAAAATAATTTTTTGAAGCAATAATTAGATCATGAGTTAGCTATAATTAATTAATTCTTTAAGTTTTTAGACTTATATACTTTTTATATAATGAGTTTTTTGGTTTTCTAGGTTTTTTTGCCCTAACTTATGTGAGTTAACTAAATTAATTAAGATTAACTCATTTGACAACTCTAGAATCTAGATGAAAGAGAAAATAAGAAAATGTGTGAATTATTACTTAAGTAAGAAGGAAAGTTTCTATTATATTTTTAAAATATAGAAATATTTATGAAATATAAAATGCTTCATTGCTTTTTTAATTAATAAAAATCATTTATCAAAAAGACTAATAAAATGAGAGTCTTATTGGAACACTTTAGTCTTTGATATTTTGTTCTTTAATATTTGTTTGAATATGTCAATAGAAAAAAATGAATTAAGATATAAATAATTTTAAAAATAGTTTAGATAATTTTAAAAAAATAGACAAACTTTTAAGTTATCTGAATTATAAAGAATAAAAGAAAAATGCAAAAAAAATATATATATCTTTGCTTATTTAATTAAATGAAAAAAAAAAAGCTAGTTATGTTAATAATAAATTCTCATAATATAATATAATAAAAAGAAATATTTTTTTGTCATTCGAACATAATTCTTACATATTATCGATTTTTTCACAAATTGAAAGGAGCTATAATAATAAAAGAAAAAAATGTGATAAAAACTAAAAAATAATATATTAAGATAAATAAATATATCATTTTTAAGTATCAAACAATGATATAATATTTTATTGTAAATTAAGTATAAATTATAAATTTTAATGAATTTCACCTGCAAATTTTCTCTATTTAATTTCTAGTAATTTGATTAACTTAGAACAAATCATTTAATAAAATTTGTGAATGAAGTGAAAACAAAAATTTCACTTCTTTCTACTCATACCAAAACAAGGAAATAACAAAACATAGATTCATAAAAAGTTAAGGAAGAGAAATTCACCTTTAATTTTACAATAAACTAGGAAAATTATATTTCTTTCTTTTTTTTTTTACCTAAAAATATCATACCAACCAAATGCATTAACTTCTTAAATTGTCACATGCTTTCTATTAGTTATAAGGAGAGGGAAGAAAGAAAGGTAAAATTCAATATTATGAGTTTTGTCAGGCCTATATATATATGTGTGTGTGTGTGTGTGTTGTAATTGTTTCAACTATGAACTTTTATATAGGTTAGTATATAAATGTATGAGTTATGTAGTTGTCGGATAAAAGTTGTGTATCTATAATGCTAATTGGCTACTTATTTTGATATAGTTAGTTATGGGTGTTTATAATCAATCATTAAGTGTTTTATGTATGTACTAACATGAGGATTATAGCAGAGGATTTGTATTGCCTTCATTCTGGGAAAAATAGAAGTTTTGGCGTAGGGTTTTTCACTCAAGTGAGACTGAGTTATGCTGAATTGGACATTCTGGAGTGATCTCGCTCAAGTGAGATAAGATAAGACTGCCCCAATTGTCCTCTCGCCCAGACGAGAAGCAAGCTCGCTCAAGCGAGAAGTTGCAGAAAGAATGGGAGACTCTCTAGAACCATTCTCGCTCAGGCGAGATGTTACTCGCTCATGTGAGAATAACCAAAAATTGAACAATTTCACTGTCTAGTTTTCTCGCTTAGCCGCAAATGATCTCGCCTAGGCAAGAGCAGAGCTCGTTTAATTGAGAGCACATGGACCTGGAGGGATATTTAAGGAATCTCAGTACAAAAAATATTCATTTCTCACCAGATAACTTTTCCATCTCATTTTTTTTTTGTTCTCTCATCTTCTTCTCTCAGAAAAAACCTTCTCAAAGCCGAACTTCTTCCCGATTCGACTTTAAATGTCTATTTCATACAGATCTAGATGAGTTTTCAGAGCTTAGTTCTCCAACCTCACTGCTTTTTCCTTGATTTATCTTCAAGGATTTTTTATGACTGTGCTGTATCATGAAGAAATGAAAATGATTATAATCATTCTAGAACCAATTTACATGTTTAGGTGGGTAGACATGTAACGATAAGAAAAACATTGAGCTATGTTGTGTCTAGATCCAGGTATCGAGATGGGTCACTCCCAGACCAGAAACATATCCTTTTAGATTATTTAAGTTGTGAAACCAGTTAGAAGCTGCTGTAATAGATGAGCTAGAAATTGGCTGAAATTGTTGCACTGTTTTGTTGAGATTTATGAAAGTTGTATAAACCTTTATGTTGCAATTGCACCCTATGATTATGACAATTTGTTATATAAGCTCACCTTTGCATTATGTCTATGTTGATAGCGTATTGCAATGATCGTACAATGGTACGTGAGTAGGTGTAACATTTGATGCTTCTATTTCCCATGATAGAAGGTCTGGCTAAGGGATTTTGGAGTTAGTATGCTTTTTGGAAGAATTATAACTTAATTTATTTTGTTAGTCTAGGTCTTAGTGGTAGATCTAAACTTTTTAGCTACAATTTTCTAGAAATATAATTATTAGATTGCATATATGTATTTTGAGCTACATGTTGAGCAACCTCTCTATATATACAATTTTTGAGCTGTATAAAAATGCCTTAAGAGTTTTGTTCTTCTAATGAAATGTTAGATTTTATTTTTAAAAAATTGCCTGAGTCAAGTTTTATTTATTTTATATTTTATGAAAAAATTTATACATATTGTGATTGAACAAAATATCATTAATCCTTACAAAAAGGGGTCGTGACAATTTTAAAATATTAAAATATACTTGTCCTATATGATAGTTTTTTATTTTATGTACCATATTAAAATATACATGTTTGGAAATTGTATTTCTATGTTGAGTGGAAATGACTTAGTTTTGAAGTACTTTATTAAGCATAATCTTGTGATTGGAGGATAACATAAATATGGAACGAGTATAACTTGCTAAATATGGAATGAATATAAAGTACTGGATAAATCTAGTGTGTATAATTACAGAGATACACTGGGAGTACAGAGTTCGGAAACGATAAAAAATCTAGAAATAACATAGGGTGGTTAGCGACATTTACGTATGTGTACACATTTTTTCTAAGAGTGAATGCATCACATAGTCTTACACTCGTTTTCTGACTGTACTCTTGACTATACTTTTGTTAAAGGACCCGTTATTGTATACGTTGTATCTGTGTATATATGCTAATCAATAACTATTTACCTAGTTGAGTAAGGTTTTAAGAAATATTGGACGCATCGTACATCTATTATTATAATGCATTAGGAGTGCGTATTGAGATAAATAAATGTATTGATTATGGTGGATTTTCATGTGTGTGAAATTATATGAGAATTTTTTATATGTTAAATTGTGATTGAAATTATAAAGTTATATTTGATTTCATGATTATGATTATGTTGTGATGTTAATCATTCAAATTGAATTATGTTATATGGTAAAATAGATGCTCATCTTTACTAACTATTTCAGGGAATAAGGATGGCGAGTCCCCAAAGAAGAATTAATCTTAAAGAATATAATGTACATAACAGACTGTATTATGTTTTTAGGGAATATCATAAGTTTGTACATCTTAGTTTAAATGTTAATTTTGGAGATAATGAATTATGTACTTTAGAAATGATTTTGAATTATGATGTACTTTTTGATTTTCTTAGAAATAATAGGATTCACCATGTTCTATGTTTTTATATTTATTGAAGCATTGTTAGGCCTCCAAAGGCTGTAAATAATAATATGTACACTTATTATGATCATGATCTTTTGGAGAGGCCTACTCAGTGAATTATTGAAAGCTTCACTAGTGAAGAGGTTGTAGCAAACCCTGGAGATGTCTATCTCGAGAAAGATGAAGAGCTGACTGCTGCAGGTATAACTGAGATAGAGAGTTGAAATAGTGGAGATAACTAGCACTATACTCCTAGTTTGATTTTGATGTTTGGATAGTAGTTGCTTATAGGATTTACTTTAGTTTGGTTATGTATTTATTTATTTTAAATCTTACAACTTTTAAATAACACTTTATAAATTATTATAATGTGTAAATAGAAGTGATACTTAGTAATTATTTTTAAATTATTAGCAGATACAATTTAATATGTATTTCTTCAATTTATCTTGTTTTATTTTATTTTATTAATAGAGTTTGAGAAAGATTTATATTCCGAAAATGTTTGCAAAAGTTCTCTCACTTTTACCTAACTAATTTAAGGAAAAAATTATTTTTATTTATATTGATATGAAATATTGTACATATTTTAAAAATGTAAAAAGGTATGATGTCACACTAAAAATAAATAAAATTTAATTTAGAAACAATTAAAAAAAAGTTATAAATTTAGAGATCAAAGACATGTTTTAATGTTGCTGCAACATAGTAAAATGTAAAAATTAAAAATAAATGTCATTCATAGGAAATTTTTTTATTCATCCGTGACAAGCTTTTTGTCTGTATATTTTACTGTAACTTCATCACGCTGGTATAAGGACAACCAGCAATTTGAAACAATTGGTTCATCCTATGGTTGGAACTGTTAATTTTCTGTGTGCTTTATTTTATTTTTTGAAAAAGGGCCAAGGAGTCAATGAAGTGGCAATACTGTCCAGTAGAATGTGCAACAAGTAGTTTCCCTCAGAACCAAAAGTGGATACCTTTATAATTTGAGGTAATAATGCACTGGGTTGTTATATGTCCACATCAAGCCCTGTGTATCTGATGAAACACTTTCTCCAACTGCTGCTTTGGCCCAAAGTACAACAAGTAAACCTAATTAAGAAATCTATGAAAAATTACAAGAATTGTATAAATAAATTTTTTAACATGTGTGGAATGGCACATAATAAAAACATATATATAGTAAATTTTTATTAAAAATTATAAATTATAAGATTCAGTATATTATTGATAATATTAAATGTTACCCTTATACATGTGTCATAGAAAAATTGCATTTTAATAAAATGAATGATTGGATATTCCATGAATCCATGCTTTGAAATTTTTCACTTGAAAAAAATCTATAATCATTTAGTCATTTTTTTGTCTCTATTTTACCTTTATGTATCACAAAAGAAGAATTAATTATATAAAATACGAGAGAAAAACTAATCAACGTCATTTAGGCTTTGGAAGTTATTTTTTAAGGAGAAAAAGAAAGTAAAGAGAAAGCCTATTTGATGATGACCTTTGCTTGAAAATTTTTAAAATGATATAATAGTGCTTTATAAATTCTCCAAAACTCTTCCTAGTCTATCAATTTAAGTTTCTCTATTTTTGACAATTTTTTTATTATCACTCATTCTTCTTCAAACCTTTATCGTAATTTAGTCAAGTATAGATATAATTTTCACATTAATGAAAAATTTTAATGATCCGTAGCTTTGGATTTCTCTTAGAATATGTGATAAATATCAAATTTTATAAATAAAATGTTATTATTTCATCTAAAATGAAATTATTTATCTCATGAGGCAATTTATACAATAGTTTTTCTAACGTGCATAAGGACACAATAGCAATTTATGTTTAGTAAAATTTTACTTAAAAACACATAATATTTCTGAATTCAATGCATTAATAACGTTAAATACTACAACTTTTAATAAGAACTTACTATTTATTAGTTTCTTGTCACTCCCCTTGAACATGCATTAAAAAAATCTAGGCAATGCATTGTTTAAGCAATTCTATTATTTGAATATAAAAATAAAACTAATACCATATGTGATATTATAACTATAACGATTTATCTCACTAACTGCACTCTCTTGCAAGTGTTCTTTGCAGGTTTGTCCATACAAGTTCATAACGTGTATCTTGCATTGTGTGCTTGTGTTAATTATAGTTGTTTGTAATAGTTACATTGCTCTTAAAGGAAATCAGATGTTTTTAATATCAGGATCAAGTCCACAAGTGGAACATGAAGAAGCTTTGCAGACTTCCAATGCTTTGGAAATTCACAACTAATATCCTTGGCACAATGAGATTCTTCGTTCTTTGATATTTCTTTCTTCAAGAGGACTTCCTTATGTGCTTACCCTTCGGAAGGTGATGTTAATATCACTTAAAATGAGAATTAGCTGTGAGGATTAGCACAAAGGAAAACAAAAATAGATGCATCAGTGAAGGTGCAATTGAACAACGTAACTATCCCCCCTTCCCCATCCCCATCCCCACCCCCAAAACCAAAATTAAGAAGGAATATTGTTGCTAGAATATATTTTCCATCGATACTTCATGGACTGTAAATGTTCATGAATGATGAACACAGCTGATAATTAAATCTTTATTACAGTTCTAACCTGTGTTGTTAAAAGAAGAAAAAAGGGAGGATTGAATGCAGCTTTAACCCCACACCATTGCGCTAAGGATCCCCATCTATTAAGAGAAGAGGAAAGATTCACATGCTAAAATGCAGCAAATAAAATGGTTGGACAAACATTGTAAACCAAAGTTGATATGCAATTGATGCGGAAAACAATTGTAATTCATATCACCATATACATTAAGGCAACAGAACAAAAAGACCAATGCATATATCAACTGTATAATGCTTCTAACTCAACTTCAGAATTTCTCCCAAAAATTGAAAGTTTCTAGTGTTGTTTACAATATGGATATTTACCTGCAGAATTATAAGTATAACAAAATCATAAAAGACACAACCAGTTCACTCAAATTTACCTGCAAAAGCAACAATGCATTAGGCTGGGTAGGCACATGAGTGATAGGTCTAAAAAAATAGCCACTTCAAAGCACTTCCATAAGTAAGATCATTGCAGGAGTTACAAGTTGTGGGAGACATCCTCTTAATGTTATGTACACCTTTGCAATTCTGTTCTCTTGTCATAAAGACCAGCACAGGTGCGTGACCTACAATGTCAGCAATAAAGTTGAATTTTAACAAGATAAACCATGTTACTGAATTATGAACAGCAGAACATAATGACTATGGAAACCACTGTAATAAACTTTAAACTGAATTTAACAAAAGGGTTTAACTGCATCAAGACCCACAATCTGAAATCAAGTTCAATTCAGTTTCAATCAAATTCCAACTATAATCAAGAAATACCTTCCGCCTGAAGGGAAATGTAAATCCATTGTTTGGTCTAATCTAACCCATTAACTTTTAGAAGTTAAATGAGAAGCAATTGACATTAGCAATGAATGCTATTATACCTGCAATCGTACTGCAAGAAAAATAAAGACAATTCCAAAATTAAAGTTTGCTGAAAGCTAGCTCAACACATCACTAAATGAACCCTCTGGTTATCATCTACAAAGCTCAGAAGTTCCTTGACTCCAATTGCCAAGAGCTTCATGGTTTGAAACCTTAATTTCAACAAAAATAATTCTTTCAAAGTCCTCCTATCATACACACGAAGCATCAGCAGGGTCTTTCATCTTAATATCTGATTCATGTTCTGCTGCAAATGCTAAAGTTGATAAGAGTGCCCTTTGGCCTGAGTTTGAGGCATGTTTATGAAAACCAGATATTATGCGTTCAGAATACTGGTTTGAAACAAATGGACGAAGAACCATAGGTGAGATCATATTTGAAGTGTGGGAATTATCAGATGACTTTTTTCCTTCTTGAACTGATTTCCTGAGGCCATGATCCCTTATAGAAGCGTCAATTGAATTTTTCCCTGGAAATGCCAATTTCATTCCTTTTGCTACAGCTTGATTAACGTTTAGAAACTCATTAGAGAATAGATCAGTCTGTGGTACATTCTGTTTTGTTCTGTCACTAACTTTGCTGCAATCATCCTTATATAGAGATGAACTTGGCTGCTCAGGCAAACCAAAATTGAGTAATTGAGGCAACTTGATACCAGTTTGCCTATTCACATCAGAGTGAATAGGACTTTTAAAACTGCAAACAGAACCTTTTCCAAAAGAAAGAAAGTTAATTCCCTTAGGCGTCACAGCTTGCAATTTCTTGGCAATTGCCCCATCCTTTTGAGTTGTGCCAAATGCTCTTTGATCAGCAGGGGTCCCAATTTGTACAGGATTTTCCTTGGTTGTTGTTACCATACCTTGTCTCGGTGTCCTAGGGCTGGATGATAATTTTGCAACATTGATGAAATTAATTCCTTTGGGTGGTGTAAGCTGTTTCTGTACAGTGTGTGTCACCTTATGTTCTACATTGATGCAAGAATGAACTCCTCCAGAATTGGTAAAGCGGCTTTGCTGGACTGAACTAGAGCTAGGATTGTTAAGCGGTGTACTGAAATTTGTATTTCCTGATTGGAGTGGGGACGTCAACTCTGGTTTACAAACTTTTGACGGTGTAGGGATATCTTGGTTTGTCGGTACCTGAATCGGAAGTGCCCATTTAATACAGATGCAGGCATATAAAAATTAAGATTGCTTTTGGGTTTATATTAAATTCGTGACACAAAGTCAATCACATGAAATGAAGTAAAATATGACGTGGTACCTGGTGTGAAAACATGCAAGTATCACCTCTGCTACAAGAGCCTCTGGACACAAAATTGGTGCAAGGATATTTTGAGAGCTGATGATCAAATGGGCAGTCATCCCCTTTCATGCAAGAGTGACGAGTAAAGTGAACACATGGCTGCAATTTCAAAATTAATACAAGGTTTAGTAAATTTCTTCTGAGTCTTGGCAGAAAAAATATAGTAGGGAGTGAAGTTTTAAATGGTCAATACCTTTGATTTTGTCAACGGCACTGTATCATGTGAAAACTGACACTTGTCACCCTGTAGAATTTGTTTTGGATGAGGGCAAGAGAAAAGGAAGTAAGGATGATTTGATATTTTTCCCATACAGATATCATATATATCATTATATTGCACAAATTGAAAAAATACACTACTCTTACAATAATGACCTGCATGGGCTACTTTAACACAACCATACTGAATAAATTTTCAAGGCCACAGCCCATTTCAAATGTCAATATAAAATTTGAAAATGAAGAAACTGCACAGAATATTTAATCTAACTTTTGAATATGGAAATATTTTCATAAAACAAATGCATATTAACCATGGGATTTCACTATCTTATTCTTTAAAAGGGACGGACTGTACCGTTAATCCCATGTATATTATAAATGAACTTCATGCAGGTTCTAAGTTAAAATTGTAAGAAGTTCTCATTTACTATGGCAGAAGGGTTTTACTGAAGACAAACATACATCTATCAAGATCTTAATTCAAGCTTGTGTGCACAAATGTTTTACTTTGCATATTGATTTGTATAAATGATAATCTTAAAAGAGTTTTTGATTTAAGTGTTCTCATGATTAATATTTAGAAGTAAAAATTTTTGTTTAACTCAATCAAAAATCAAAGTTTACATATTCAATTAACTCGTTTTCACTTCACAGACTATCTTAGTAATCAATTACTAGATTGGATAATAGATTACCGAACCATTGTGTTGATTTAAAAATTAAATTACTCAATACAGAATCATTCAATAATCGATTACCAAGAGCAATAATCAATTACCAAACGGGTCTGTTTGTTAAAAATCAATTTCCCTAACTCTTTTAAATTTCTGTTATACATTATTAATAATTCTGTGTGAATGATTTTATTGCATAACTATGTTTTTGGTTAAAATTATGTATCACATCTCATATTAATTAATTAACTTCATAATTCTTGTATTACATTTCTTCTATTAACTATTGTAGTTAGGAAAATTTATTGGTATTCCCTTTTACAATTTAAAAGAATTGTTAGAACCTAATTCACTCCCTCCCCCTCTTAGGTTTAGAAACCATAGAAACTATAAAAAATAAATGATTATATCAATTACTACATAGTTAAATGAAGTATCAACACCAGAATAACAAATTCGCTAATGCATCATGCAATGGCTCAATGTAAAATCATCACAAAAATTTAAAACAAGAACAAAGATGTCATTTTCCATAATTGGATAAAGTGAAAAATATTTCAGTGTAATATAATTGAATAATAACTACCTCATAGCATTTTCCTTTAAGATAATGGCGACAGTATGAGACAGTTTTTGGTTTCTGTACTGGCTGCAACTTCAACCTCTTAACACCTTGTTCTCTGTTCTTTTCGGCTCGCTTCTTTCTATACTTTTTCTACAAATAAAGTTTACCAAATAAAGAAATCAGTCACATGTTGGAAAAGCACAGATTTATGGATTGTTTGTCACAAAGAACAGGATATTAATTAACTGGTGTTGATGTGACTCCAAAGGAGGTTGAATTAACAAGATATAAAATCCATTTCAAAAGTTAACAGTAATACAACATCAAGAAAGAAAATTAACAATATAAGAACAATACCTTCTTTTTTTCTTTCTTCACTTCAGAAATAGGACCACGTTTTTTCTTTTTACTTGCATCAACCAACTGCAGCATATGATTGATAATTAACCAAAGGAAAATCAGCATAAATAGTCTTAAATCATTTCAGTCCGTCCACATTATGGACCTCCACACAGGGGGCCAATAGCTATGGTTGAACATAAAATAATTCTCATCATAATTCCAATTTTAATTAATTTTGCCCAAAAACTTGAATAGGGAAAATAAATTGGCAAAAAAATGGGAACTGAAAGCCAAATAAAGACTTGGGTACACTGACATTCAATAAAAAAATGAGATTAGACTATTCTTAAATGTTTAGGGGAAGGGGACTGCATAAAACATTTCAATCCTACCTAAAATCAATTCGAACTTATTAGATTAAATATAACAAAAGCAATGATCATAACAAAAATCTTCATTTCATCATTGGTAATGCATACTCAGAAAAATTTGGAAGTAACTAAAATAAATTGAAGCTCAACATGATCAAAGGTTTAGAACAATAATAGAACATCAAGAAAGAAAATTAACAACAGCATCAGAAGAATACCTTCTCTGTTTGCTCCTCCTCCTCAGAACCAGAACCATGCTTTCTCTTTCTACTGGCATCAACCAACTGCGGCAGATGATCAATAATTAACCCACATATAGTATTAAAATTATCAAATAGTTGGTCCAAATTATGGAACTCCACATAGGAAGCCCAAATCTATGGTTGACCATAAATTAATTATTATCACAATTCTCATTTTTAAGTAATTTGTCCAAAATCTCAAATAGGGCTAATAAATTGGCAAAGAAAAAAGGGAACGGAAGCCCATATAAAGAGTTTGGGATAGATATTCAACAAAAATAAGATTACACATCTTTCTATTGTCTAGGGGGAGGGAGGAGGACTGTAAAACATTGCAATCAAAACCTAAAATAACTTTGAACTTACCAAACTAAAAACAATAAATGGAAGGATCACCATGGAATAAAAATCCGACATCCATAGTCAGTGGTGCATACTAAGAATGATTTGAAAGAAACTAAAATAAAATGAAGGTCATTTATATAGTAGATATAATTCAGTGCAATTCAACAAGAGAGGATATAAATATTCAGGTGAAAATCATACCTTAACTGCTGATGAGTTTCCATGATCTGTGGTTACATTTTCTTCCAAGAAACCTCTGTGCAGGACTTGATTTTGAGTAAAATTTGTCAGCCAGTCATTGATACCTTTACATCCTTCATATCTGTCTTTGCTATTTCCAGATTTCAGCAAAGAACCACACTCACCTGTCTTATCGAATTCCATACATGCAATCCCTTTTTCAACACTAGTCCTAGGTTCTGCTTGTCCACTGTTATTGGCATCTTGAAATGCATTTACCATAAAGGAATTAGATTTAAAGCCCTTTTCACTTTCTCCATTCCCTGTCTTACAAGAATATACCATGTTTCCAGTTACATTTTTGGGCTTCTGAACCTCGTCTACTTTCATCTGCTGTAAAATCAAAGCATCTGAAGAAGACATATCAAATGAACTTCCATTCATTACCAAATCAGCAGAAATTTCTCCCTCTTCCATGTCTCCATTTTCAATGAGAATATTGGAAGAATTTGCTGTATTATCTACACAGATTATTTTTTCTGCTTTCTCTCCTCCATTCCACACTCCAAGATTATCTTTCAAAATAGAAGAATCCAATAGGCCACCCTCTTCACTTATATTCAATCCTTCGCTATTCATATCCATATCAAAAGAAATGTGCATTGCTTCAGCAACCTTTTGGCCACATTGTTCTTCCTTCTCACACTCACCCACTTCAGTTGTAGGAAGAGAACCCTCTGTTGATATGGACACATTAAACGTTGAAGACAAATCAAAACCCTCAGAGGCAAGTAGATTAAGCTTTTCAGGGTCCTGCAACAGACGTGCATTTCCAGATGATTTCACATCAGAATGCAAAAGTTCAAGATCATCAACTTGGAAATCCATCCCAACTTCACTGCTGCCATTTTGTTTCTCATTTGATTCCAAGTTTACGGGGATCAAACCATTATCACAAACTACATCTTGAGTTCCTTTCACAGCCAGCTCCAACTCATCCATTAGCTTCAGCTCCTTATCAAGACCATTTGCTTGTGTAGACATTTCCTCTATTCCCATCATAAGTTCTATATCATCAAGGACCATCTTATTGGAACTAAAATCCATATTCTTGTCTCCAACCCTCTCATTGGTCTCATGGACCTCCTGTATTTCCTCCTGGGGTGTTACAGTATCTTTAGGATCCATGTAATCAGAACCAACAAAATCAGAGCAATTATGCTCCTTTTCCTTGTTTTCTTGCCCCATTCTACCACTGCCATTATCTTGAAACAAGAAAAGAAATGCAATAAAAAAATAATTGTTTTAGCAGTAAATAAATATGAGAAGTGCACAATTAAATTGAACTGACAGCAAATTGATCCATGACCAAAAACCTAATCTTAAACTTCAATTCCTAACCCAACTTGGAATTTTAAAGAAAAGTTACCTTTCAATTCACCAAACACACAAATAAACTGAATTGAAACAGCACTAAAATAAATAAAAATGAGAGCGCTGAATTAAATTGAAATTAACATCAAACTGATCCACAATCACAACCAAATCTTAAAATACTTCTATTCCTAATCCAAATGGGAACTTGAAAACAGCTAAAAAAACATTGTTATGAAAAAAGAGTGCCCTTTTGATTTCAACTTAATAAAAATAAAAACAATCTGAATTGAAAAGGTACAGCATTAAAATAAATAAGCATGAGAACTGCAGAACTAAATTGAAACTAACAACAAATTGATCCACGACTACCACCCAATCTTTTAAAAACTTCAATTCCTAATCCAAAACGGAACCTCAAACAAGAAAAAAAATGTCATAAAAAATACCCCTTTTATTTTAATTTATCAAAACTCCAAAAAAAAAAAACTGAATTGAAATAACGTTCAAATAAACAAGAGATAATGGACAATCAAATTGAATAAAAAAACCAGAAACAAAACTACATACTAATAACAATGAAAATAAAAACAAACAAACATTGTTTGAAGCAAAAGGGTAGGGTTTTGAAATACGTACCAGAAACAGTGAGGGGTTGAGTTGAGGATTGAAGTGAAGCAGTAGAAGCAGAAAGGTGAGAGAGGATGTGAACGAGGGTGTGGTAAGTGTGGCTGCGCAAGTGGGATCGACGATAAGCCATTGGAAATTCAGATTTTGAGGTACCCAATTCCATTGCAAAGCAGAAAAAGGTTTCAAATTAGCGAAATTCAGATGGTGGGTTTATGCATATCATTTTCCCTTTTAGGCGCCAACGTCCTCATGCCATTGGTAAAAAGGAAGTGACCAACGCCAACTACGTTACAAGCCTTCTTGTATTGTGTGTATGTGTGTGTGTGTGTTGGGCTATTGGCTCTGCTGGGCTTTGGAGTGATTTAAATGAACTATTTTTCTGATATCTAACATTCTTTATTGGTGTAACTTTTTAATGCATAGGAAGAATTTATGTATAATAATTTTTATTTTAAATAACTATTTTTAATAATAAATATTTTTAGAAACTAGTTTTTATAAATTATTATATTATAATTAATTAATTAATTTTATAATAATTATTTCAGAAGTATGTATTTTAATTGGTTGATAATGTCAAACTTTTTTAAGTAAAAATACATTAAAAAATTAAATATTTCTATTATTGATTATGAATTTTATTATATTATATATGATTAAATTAAAAGCATAAGACTTTTAAAATCAAAGAGGAAAATTCTGAAAATATATAAAATTAAAATTTTAATAAAATGTTGTGTCAAAATTTTAAATGTAAACATCATATTCAAATTAGATCAATTAAAATTAGAACTATTTTAAAATTTAATTTATTTAACTAAAATTAAAAATATCATTAATTTGATGTAGTATATCAATATTTTATATGTAAAAATTAAAATTTAAAAAATATTAAGAAAGAATAAAAATAACTCAAAAAATATCATATAAAATAAAATTTCCAATTGACAATATAAGAATAAAATGTTTATTTTTCAAAATATCCTTTCAAATAACACAAACGATTGTAGCGGAATTAAATACATTGATAATAATCATTATTAATTTAAATTAGATTTACCTCTTTTTATTTTTTTTATGAATCATGTCGTGAAATATTGAATATATTTTATTAAATATTTTAAATTATTCAAAATAATATTAAATCATTTAAAAAAATTTATGTTTATAATTCAAAATTTTATAATATATTCCTATTTTGTCATCATTTGTTAAGAAATATATATTGAAAATTCCCATTTATGTATAAAGGGGGAAATTTTTGAAAACTATAATTATAAAGTGAACGGTTAATATAATTAAGGCTCTTACTAAAAAAAATCAATAAATACATTTTTTATCTATAATTAAAACATTTAGTTCAATAAATTTTATTTTAAACAAAAGTTTTTTTATTTAATTTTTTAGTATGTACTTTAAAAACATTACTTAACATCATTCTATAATTAAAATTTACAGTACGACTGAGCACAATGCACATGTCTTAGCTAGCTTCAATTCAAGGAAGGTAACTTTAAAAATTACAAAATTGAAATAGTTTATAACTTTAAAAATTAACTTTTAAAAATTTATTGAAATAATATTCATCTTATAACATTTCAAATACAATTAGAGAAATAAATATTGATTTTAATGGTTTAAATATTAATTTAATTTAAATACAATACAAAAGAGAGAGAAAATATCAAATATAATAGGTGATAAAAAAAATAAAATCACAAATTAGTTTTTAAAAGACATAGTTATTTAATTTTAATATCAAAAAATGAAAATATTAAAATTAAATTTTAAATATGTAATACATCATTCATTTAATTTATTCATTAGAATCATTATTTAACAATCACAACAGTTAAACCCATGTTAGTAGAAATCCTTTTCTGAATATGGATACAAGGGTATTAGAGTGGGGTGAATCATAGTGTTGAGATCAAAAGAGAAGGAGGGATGCTGAGGAAGAGCGGTTTGCATTGTACTATAAAATGAGGGTGAGAGGATTTGAGAAGGATTGGAGGTTTATGGTGGATGGAAGCTTATGACGGCTCAATAGAGAAAATCTCAAACAAAATTTAATAGTTATGTTAGTCATGTACAAACGTTATTAACATTTTTCTTTATAAATTTTTCAAAAAATCATAGAGTGTCAGCGCTTTGGGAGATATTCCAAAGATATAGGAAGGTTGAGAATTTATTTATTTCGAAGAAATGGGACAAGGATGGATGCAGATTCAAGTTTGGGTAGTTTGCAGAGGTCGAGAATGTCCATGACATAGAAAAGAGATTGAGTTTCATAATGATAGACAACATGTGAAATATGTTTAGATATAGCAGAGCTGACAATAAATAAGAAATCACGAGACAAACTCAGAATGTTGTGCGTGCAAAGGTAGAATAGAGCAACCAAGGTAGAAGGAAGAGGTAATGCTAATGGGCAAAGCTATACATATATGGTAAAGAGGAAGGATGTCGTTAGAGGACCAAACAAGAATGCGGTGTGGATATCAAAGAAAAAATAGTGGTGTCATAGCGAGTTCTATGTTGATCAGGATATGATTAAGAGGTACTACAAGGCAATGGTGGGAAGGTTACACTGGCTAGGATAGCTTAATAGTGTAACTGACTTTCTTTTATGAGAATTCATAGTAAATGTTAAGGCCATTACCAGGTGACGATATGGTTTTATTGGAATTGGAGGGTCTGGAGGATTTGAGAGAGGTTATAGTTAGATATAAAGATGACTTGTCTAAGTTGTTTTATACCATTGATTGGTGGCATCCTTGTATTGTGACCGTTAATAGAGGAACGTGGGTTTGTTTGTATAGCATGCCATATCATGCTTTGTTAGAGGCATTCTTTCAGAAGATGGTGTCACTGTTGGAAGATTTTGTGTGCATGGACGATGATACGACTTCTTGAAGACGTATGAATTTTGTAAGAGTTCACCTACAGACTCAAACACACGTTGATTAATGAAGATCTAAGGATTTATATTAATGATCTCGTGTTCTCAATCTGGATGGTTGATGAACTTGAGAGAGAATTCTTTTAAGGAGTGTGGTAGTATCATGATTCAAATACTTTATCGCTAGAGAGTTATGACGATGCTTTATTGGATTTAGACACTTTAGATGAAAGTTCAAATGATAGTGAGAAAGGTCGTGATCTAACGGCTAAAAGCGTAGCAAAGGAAATAGTAACCAAATATGGTGTGGAGAGCACAGAGAGGGAACAAGGGGTGGATTATTGAAAACAAAATTTATGTGATTCTGTGCTAGACGTTGCACAATATCATGAGGAGTTTGAAAGTACATAATTAAATTCGATGAAGAACGTAGCATATGCGCAAATGAAAGACAATTCAAATTATGAAGTGAATATCAATAATGACTTGATTTTCAATAATAACGTAGATGTTGTGCACGAGAATGCATTTGAATAATGACCAAGATGGGCCTTTGTTGGTCAAAACTTATGAGGAAGGAAATTGGTGGGACATAAGAGCTAATGAAGAATTATAGCAACTGGATGTTATTGATAAGAGACCAACAGAAGACAATGATGTGGCACAAAAAAAGTTTATTAGTTTCTCATAGGTCAAACGAGGTTAATCACATATTGAGTCAAAGACTAAATTTTCTTCAATTCAATGTTGTTGTTGAGACAATAATACATAAAAGAATTAATGTTAGAAGTGCACTTCACAAGATGAGGAGGAAGAAGCATGACTCCAAGTTATGCACTCTTTGAAGGGACCAAAGTCTGAGCCAAATGTTTGGGATATGTATCTTTGGAGTGGCTTGCAGCAGAGACTTTGGGAAGATCAATTGTATATGAGAATTAGATTAATGATCCCTTAACATGACATGTATTATTAATTCTCTTTAGAGATGATTCCTTGACATAACATGTACTGTTAATTCCCTTTAAAGATGATCATTTAACATGTATTATTAATTCTCTTTAGAGTTGTAACAAATTAGAGTACCTCTTATACTCTAAATTTATTCTTAATAAAATGTTGATGCTTAAAAAAAAAAACTATCACTTAATTAAATGTAATATAGCACATTAATCTATATTTAACTATATTAATTAAAATGTTATAATATGTAGTGACTAAAAGCACTTTATTTTCATCCTTTCTATCATATTTTATTAAGAATGTGTAAAAAAAATGAAGTACAATTTTTAGTTACCTAATATTTTATTATTTTTAATTGACAAAGTTAGACATACATTAGTGTGTGAGATTACATTTAACATGTCATGTCATTATCTTTATGAAAGTTAATTAATATTTAACAGAAAAATTAAAATAAATGACAAGCCATATATATTTAAATATAAATTTTAATATTTTCTTTTTGTAAAGATAGACCAATTTAAAGTTTTAATCTAATGTAACGAGAAGGAAAAAAAATATTGTAAAGAATTAGAATTAGTTATTATAATAGCATTACTCGTAACAAGAAAATGATCAACCATACCTATTCTCAAAGCAAGTGACCTTAATAACTAAATTATTCTGTAATTTGAATGATTAAAAATTTATAACAAGCATACGTAATACTCTATACAATTATTTCTATCTCTTGCTCACTTTTCACCTAGATCTGCATTCCAAAAATACTCTTAAAAATTAAATAAAACAACCAAAAATTGTCCCTAAAAATTGTTCAAGAAAAATTTGACCATATATTAATCTCATATATGTGTCATTGCACCGCTGGGTCTCCACTTGTACCATTGGCACCATTATTATTGTTTTGATGTGAACTTCCCATGACAGATGTTATGGCAGCCACAAGAGCTGCTGTTAATTTAGGGTCTGCAGTGATAGCAGCTGCTGCTGCATTTACCTTATCAACAAATGAAGCTGTTTCTGTTGCCTGTGACCCATATAACTTAAAAAGCTTAGTTTGGTCAAAAATGTTAGGACCTGACATAAACTTGTGTGCCAAAACTTGAGAGGAATTATTGGTAGCACTTTGAGTAGTGAGATCCAATGTGATGGTTGGAAATGGAGCTGAAGCTGAGAGTGTTGCCAAGTTGTGTGAGCAAGAAAGTGCTGCACTTTCTAATATGTTTGGATGCATTAGGCCATTATCTGAGCTTGGCATTGATCCTGAAAGAAGCATTGATGCAGCTGCTGATGTGGTTGATGCCATTGCCTTTGCAGTGGGAGAGAGCACATGATTATGCTGCCCCTCATATGTTGTGATCAACACACTTTGATCTTCAGCACACCTTTGTACCTGAAAAGAAACATAGGTCCACCAGTCAGTCCAACTTCTTCATGTTGGAGATAAAATTAAACTTAGTGCATTTTTCAGCAATGGCCTCAACGTCAAGTTACATCATTCATTTTAAGAATTGTATGTATATCAAATTTGATTCATATTAAGTCTAAGCTTTAATTATGATTTTAGTCTGTATATTTAATTATCTCTTAATTGTAAATATTTACGTTTAATTTTAATTTCATAAATATTAAATCTATTACCTTAATATTTTATCTAATATTAATACGTCTACCTATTGATATTAATGATTAAATAGAAAGTAATAACTAAACTCTCATTTTGGTCTCGAGAGAGTTTGCATTCAGTATTTTAATTCCTGAAAAATTAAAAATATCACATTAGTCTTTTACTTTCATCTCCGTCATTAGTTTTAGTCCTTAAATATAGACCCTGTTAACAAACAATAATGGAAAGCTGAAGTGACATGTCAGAAGCCCAATTAGTAAAAATGGCATCATTTTAAAAGGTTGAGAAAGTGAACATGGCAAAACAACGTCGTTTCTTCCTTCCTTCTACTATTAAGATTTCTTCATACCCACTAAACCATAAAAGTGGATTCCACCAAAGAAATGGAGTCTTTATGGTTGCTTTAGCAAATCTCTTTACAACAATCATAATTTCTAGGACAAATATAAGAAATTTAATTTTTTTTCATCAAAGATAGAAATCTCTAGTCCTATTGAGACTCAATAATATCAATATATAATTGAAAACTCTTATATGGGATAGAGAAAATGCTTCCAAATGCAAGGAATGAGATTGATTCAACTTGAGAACCTGGTCCAAGAGTCTTAAACATATCTTTCCTTCTCCTAATATATAATATTTTCTTTTTCTTCTTCAGTTGTTCATCAAGTTGAAATGAATCTAGCATGTCATCTGCATGACCATCTTCATGGTAAGTCTGCAATGGAGACATAATGCCTACTCCTAATTAGCTCAATCACATGATCCTAAGTCAAAATGCGAATACCCTTTGGACCCAGAATCCTAAACTTAGGGCAACAACATAATAATCAAGAATAGGAGGAACCACCAAAGTTCAATTGAGAATTTTGGCCATTAAAAGAGCTCAGAATGTTGGTTGCTGAAACCACTATGAGGTATGTACTACATGAATTTCTTCCAGAGCGGTGTGAGCATTGAGGATCTTCTTATGATGAAGTTTTGGGAATTACAAAATAAGGTTTTGTATGGAAGAAAATATGAAGAATGAAAAAGGAGAAGAATATTATAAGGAGAGACAAAGGAATGAGTGGAAATGTGTGAATGGTTTTTCTTGTAAATAAAATTTTGATTGGACTCATCACTGTACTTTTGGATAACAAATAAATTCCTTTGCATCAATTAAACAAGCAATAGAAAGTGAATTCTTGATTAATCATAAATGTATATGAATTGATGAATGGATTCAAACATTCGTATTGGAACAAAGGTAACAAATATTTTTGAGATAGGGAAATAAGGAGATAGAATGATTACATGATATATATTATCATTTCTCAACAGAATCTTTGTTTAGGAACTAAAATGAGTCCTAGAAATAAAAGTTAGGAACTAATTTGATATTTTAAATTTTTCAAGGACTAAAATGACAAACATAAACTCCCTCGAAGATCAAAATGAAGATTTAATCTAATTAAAATTGAACAAAATAAGTCCTATATAAAATAAAGTATATGAAAATTAAAATTATATTTAAATTTAAGTTTAAATAATAGTCAGTGTTTCACACTTAGGTGGGGTTATGTGATGAGTCACTAACTCATCTAGAAAATTAAAGGTTTTTAGGCATATTTCATTGAATTTAAATTATAAGTCAATGTAATTAATTGAGATATTCAATGAAATGTTGTATTTTCTGAAAAATTCATGAATCACTCATATTCTAATAGCTGACAATTTTATTTTGAAGGGATTAAAAAAAAATTCTACAATTGGACTTAAAAGAGCAAAAGAGGAGTGTTGCGGGTCTGATTTGTGGGGATACAGATTCCTGATTGTGGGGACACAATGCTAACTGATGCATATAAAAGCAAAAAAATTCTGAAAAGGCGACATCTTTTATCTTTCCTTTTTTAGAACATTCTGGAACACGTTTTTTAGTTTTTCATACAGTTTTACGTAGAATAGGGTAACTAGGGCAATTTTACTTACATCTTGGTAGAAGAATTCTCATGGAGAACTTGGATTTCCTTTCTTTCATTTGTCATTTGCTGTAAGTTTATCTACTGAACATGACTCTTATCTTTTCAATATATTTTAGTTTGTTTCTTTTCATTTCCATTATGTCTTGTTAAATCTCTTAGAATTGAGTAAAGATGAACTTATACTTTTACCCATTGCAATGAACTAAGCATTGTATGTGACTCAAGATAGAAGCTTTAATCTAACTTTTTAATTATGAACTTAATATCTCGTTGTTCTACGTGAATGAGGTTGATGAAAAGGAGTTCACTACTCGAAAGTTGTGAACTTTCTTGGACTAGGGTTAAAATGCTTATTATGAATTGTCTAGGAATAGAAATTTATGATAATGTGGTCATATGGATTTTATCCTTAATGCTAAATGTTTTTGGTTTACCTAAGGGATTAGAAGATTAAAAGTCGTTTTAGAACCAATTACCAAGGGATTAAAGTTGGATAATTTAGACAAACCATTAGATTGGCTATATTTTGAGTTACAAGCATATTTTAAGCAAGGAGAAAGGGATAAGAGATTCTAAACTTAACCCATTTATTAATCTTTGCATAAACTAATTTTCTCTACTTGAGTTATTTACATTATGCAGTCCTGTTAATTATTTTCTATATTAAGTTTTACTTTTGTTCATATATTAATTGTAATTCCAACACCTTTACTTTCAGTTTTATAATTCTGCTATGTTTAATTTCGTATTACTATATATACCTTATTTTTGGTGACCCAACTAGTAATATTCTTGTAGTTTGATACTTAATACTTATCCCTGTAGATGATAATCTTTGTAACTTTAACGATTTGGTGCACTTGCCAAAAAATTTTATCATTATGTAATTGAGGTTTAGGAAAGTAGGTTATAATTTATAATTTATTTTAATAAATTTTACAATAAAATTTATAAATTCGTATGAGATAAGTATTTTTAATTATTTAATTTTTCTCATGTATGGCCTCACCTTGTCACAACAACAGAATAAAGAAAAAGCTCTTGTGACATTCATTTTGGAACTAAAATAAATGAGTATTTTTAACGATTTTGAGTTAATTTTAAACATAGTGAATTTCTATTCAAAGTTTTTTTTTTTGAAAAAAAAAAACGCACGACGTGTTAAATCAAGCTAGCTACACTACAATATACAGATTGATAAAATGAAAATAAAAAAATCAAATTAAGAAATTATAAATCACATGGAGTTTTGCTCATACGACGAACACTGGGATTGGGTTATATGCACATTAATTTTAGCCTAACTTTAATTGCTGAAATGATGAAAAAAAGAATCATAAAAAGTAGAGAGGCGCACATACTTGTTTTCGAACTGGACAACCAGTCCCCATTGTACAACGATAATAAGCTCGTGGACAAGGATTTCCTTTCGCCATCTTCTGCCCATACTTTCGCCATTGACATCCATCTGAAATCTGTGATGAATTGATATGTACAAAGAAATTAAATTAATCTAGTAGATATATATATATATATATATATATATATATATATATAGAGAGAGAGAGAGAGAGGACATAAATTATTGCAGCACGTTCATTAAGTTATTATAGATATGCAACACCACATTATATTCCACTCCATTAGAATTGTAAGCCATTTTCTTTTGATAAAAATAACTTAATATATGATGAATTTGATTGGTAAGCAGCAAACAGAACCGACTCAATGCACAGGCAAATAAGGCCTGTTTTTTCAGGCTCTAATATAATTTATGCATGCACACACATATATTTATTTCTATATACATATTTAAAAATTTAATGTTATTAAGAATAACCACGAAGACGTGTGTCATTTGCAAACTTGAAAACTTATATATGTAGTTTATTTTATACTTACCATAGAAGAATCTGATCTTGCTCGAACAGATACACGAGCTTTCTTGATCATTGACATGGTTTCTGATGGTTGATCAACATCCCTAAAAGAACTCAATCTTGTGACTTCATTTGACGGCCACCCCATAATTGCTTTGTCGGATGGACTCTGGTGAATATCTCTTCTGGATTTTGCACTATCATCCTTGCCAGAATCCAACTCAACAACATCTCTAGTGGTGCAAGTCTTTTGAGTCTTGCTCTCCATTAAGTCAACCATGTTTTTGCTTTCTCTCAGTTTTCCCTCTGAATATTGCTGTGAAGGCTCTTCCTTAATAGCAATTCCAATATCCAAGAGTGGCCTTGGAATCATACCATCTTTCTTGCCCTCTTCCTCTTTGGCTTTGTTAGTCTACATAAATTACCACTATATTTTTCAACATTTGGATATGTTTGAGAGAGTAAAATTTTTTAAAAATAAAATAGAGACTAATTTTTTACTTCTAAATTAAGAGAGTTTCAAGGGTAGCCAAGTAAATGAGATCCCTGATGTTACTATTATTTTGCAAGTGGAAAGATTATTTTCAAGATTTAAACTTGTAATTTATTAATCGCAAGATGATAACCTTACTATTGTGTTAAGGCTCACCCTCTCTTGTTTTGGATAATCATAGCACCAACGAAAAAAATTCTTGGAAACTACTCTAGTCATTAAGTACAAAAAATAGAATATAAAGATAAGATCTCTTAGATTTTCATTCAACACAATTTCTTAAAAATATTACCTCATTCTTATGCTGTTTCTGCATCAGCTTCATAAGACGCTCGTGTAGGGCATTGTAGTTATTGCTCACTTCATCAATCAGCTCCCTCAAGCGTTGATTTTCAGCATTCAGCTGGTGCAATTCAGCCAGCAAAGTTACCTGTACCCAGAAATGGAAAAAAAAATGTTCTTACATATATTGCTGTCTTAAACAAACTATTTAGAAAATATAATTTGTTAGACAAAAACATGAATGATTAAATACTATATCGATCGCAAACAACTTCCATCTTAAAAGTGATATATTTGATCAAATTAAAAGTATACAACATGGACAAAATGGAAATTAAGTACCTTATTTCTCTTATCATTATCCCTTGCCACCGATGATCCAGCTTCCTCAATTGATTTGTTGCCAACTGAACTCTTTGTAACGAGATCTAAACGAGTCTACAAAATCAATAACAAGAAGAAGAAAATAAGATCCATTTATAAATTATACCACAAAAATATAAGAAAAAAAAAAACTACATGATCATGAGTTTGCCTACATCCACATAAAGCTCCTTTTGGTGCACCATTTGATCATCATCAACTACACTTTTCTTCTTCTTCTTCTCCACAAAGAAATCCATCTCATCCGCAACTAGTCGTTTGCCATTAAAGGACATCATTGGAGAAGAATGTGAAACTTCAGCAATATTAGAGCTGTGATTGCATGTAGCTTCCATGTTATTTATTTTTTATATAGATAAAGTCTCTATTTGCACTTTATAGAAGCAGTGAATGTGTGTTGGGTTTGAGCATGGGATCACAAGAAAGGTGTTTGGGAAGAAAGAAAGTGGTTGGATTAGTATCAAAGAGGAGTCCTCAAGTTCTGCCCATAAATTTCTTATAGAAGAAAGTGTAGAGAGAGAGAGAGAAGGGTTTGATCATGACAGGTTGAAGTCAGAGATAATGAGATGCAAAGGACTCGGCAACAAAAATGGTTTGGACTAAGACCAAATATTATGTGATATATGAAGGAACTCTAATGTTAATAATAAAGATTTGGAAACTGAGGTAAGATAGTGCGTAATAGTTCCACGTGGCAGTTTCTCATTGGGCTATAGGAGAAACATACCAAGAAAATCGCAAGAGCTGGTGTTTGATGACACAGTCTTATATAGTAATTATCAACTAGATCTGACTTCTAAATCAGCAGCAGCTACAATGGAAATAAATTAGACCCGTCTTTGGGATTTATGGTTTACTTTATATGAAGTTTATTAAATACATCCTATTAAAACTTTTATATGAAGTTAAAACATAAGTTTAGACTATTTAAAAACTGAATTTAACAATATAGTGATATTATTATGCAATTTTATTATTATTAGTAGTAGTAGTAGAGTGTAATATTTTGAAATTATATATTTATTTTATTTAAAAATTTAAATATATTGATTCACATGTAAGTTTAAGTTTATTAGTTTGTTTAAGAACAACCTTTTATTTTTTAAAAAAATAAATTGGAATTTTTTAATTAAATTTACAGGTTAAATTTTAAAAATTGACACATATTAGATTCATAAGTCAAACTTAAACCTTAAATTTAGGAGTTAAATTAGGATTAAGTCTTACAAAATTTAACCTAATTTAACTGATTTCCACCCGTATCAACAGCATCTCATCACTTGCATGAAATATAAAGCTCACATCCAATTTCTTATATTTTTATTTAATTAAAATATTTTATTATTAAATAATTTTTATTAAATATGTGTTATAGAATTTTAAAAAAATATCAACAGCACTTGACATCAACACTCAAAATATCTCCAAAATTCATTTTTTTTTCTTATCTTATTTTGATAAATTTTATTATTAATATTTTGAATATTGTTATGTAGTGAGGAAACAAATTCATGCAAACTCTTCAACAATTGATGCATTTATATTTTACAGGATAATCACTTAAATTAAAGAATAAAAAAAATTAAGGGACTTTGAAAGGAATCATACCACGTCTTCGTTGACAATTTTATAATATATAGTTAATAGTTAATGGCCTCATTAAATTGACTTAAGTGAAATGGATGAACCACTTCTTGATGGACGGTGCCAAAGGATGTAACTTGCAAGAAATACTTGAATTTATTGGGTACATCTATCCATTTAAGTCATATATATAGGTTTGAATTAAAATCAATCACAAATGTAATTAATCAATTAAACATATGATATTTCTTTTGGTCTTAGTTAATTTTTTCTTCTTCTTAATCTTAATATTCTTCAAATAAAAGACTCAGAAGCACCCATACCATCCATTTTTAAGCTTTTAAAAATTTTCCCCTCTTAATCTCAACCATTTGTTTCATATTTTATGGTCAAATTATATATATACAAACGACCATAGCATCTCTTACTGACAACTGTCGCATAGTTGTTTGCAAGTTTCTTTCATCTTTTTTCAATAATTATTTAGTCATTAACAACACTGATTTGAGACTATTGACTTTTTCCAATCATATCGTTACAGTACTTTATATTGTTAATTAATTATATAATTATTAAGTTATCGTATATATATACATTGAAAAACTTTGTTAGACTGAAGAAAGTCAAAAATGTTAAGCAAAATATATAGTATTGAGGAGATAGATATTGTTATAAAGCGAAAGTAGAAAATAGAGTTTAGATTAACACTATGCTGAATGTAACTTCGTACATCTATGTTACTTATATTGCTTAATCTAATACTGGTCAACCACGTTGACGACCAAGTTTGCCTCCATTTTCTCCTCACTGCATGTGAATCCCACTCACAACTTGATCTTAAAGGTTGAATATCAAGAACAACGGTTTAAGAAACCACACATTTTCATGGATCCAAAATTCAAAAAGAAAGAACTTTTCTTTATAGTAAGTTGTCATATTATAAGAAAAATATTTGTTTATATTATATTAAAATAAATACATGTTTAAATTAAATTGTTTTTATAAAAAGTGCTTCTTTTTGTTATAGTTTTTTGAGAAAAACTTTCAGAAAAAAGAAACATTATGTTTAAGAAAAAATATTTCCAAACCCAGCTAACTTCTTTTGTTTACATGCTATATAAATTTTCTCGTTAATTATTATAATATTATGGAATAGATTTAACGTATTTATATTATGTATTACCCTGGAGATGCCTTTGTTGAAAAGATCTATAGTAAGTATTAATTATTTGAAGGATTATTAGTCTCTTATAATCGTAATAATAGATATCCGCAGAAATTAAATGCCATGATTAAATGTAATAAATAAAAAGGGTTTTTTACATCAAATAGTAGTTTGTCGCGTTAAAGCTAAAGAAAAGTGTGTGTGGATATTTTCTAATAAATAGTATAAACTAAAGTTTTATTTAAAACTGACTTTTATTATAATTATAATTATTATTGTATGAAATAGTGTATTAAAAATAAATCATTCACAGTAATATCTAATTTAGTCGAGTTGCATACGTGTCGTGTTATCAATCATGAATTTTTCACGATATAACAAATCATGATTACAAATTTTGTAAAAATGTGGATCAATGTCCCTATTTAATTTTCAACTCAATCAGTAACCAAGTTTATGATAATCATTTCAGCAGGTTAGATATTTGTTAATTAAACTGTTGCATCATATCATTGGGTTACTCTATGTTTGAATGTAGTCAAAGGTGATCCGTATAAAATGAATCCTAAACGCCAGCTTCAGTCGAAAACTTTGATAATGTCGTATTTGGGTCACAATCAAACATATTTTCAACAACTAATTAATTAAATAATTGTTTTTTCCTTATCACAAAACCTATATTTAGAGATTAAAGTCAATTTATGTATGTTAGGTTTTAGAGAAATCAAACGATTTATTAAAAACAAAAATGTATCAATTAATCTTCACTACCTTAATAAATGCTTAAATTATATTGTCATAACCTTTTATCTTATTTTAAAAATTATGTTTTTCCTTTTAAAAAAATAATATGTAATGATTTAATTTATTTTAATATAAATAAATCTCTTAAGATAAATTTTTATGACTCTCAATATTATTAACAAGTAGTGTTAAATTGTTATTGTGAAAATGAGACTTCCGAAAATAAAAATGAAGATTTTGAGAAAAATTTCCAAGTTAATTATATGAGTATTTCCGCGATTAATGTATCTATTAAAGACCGAAAATTAATAATACAATGTTTAAAATTAATTTCGGTGAGCTTAAAAATTGAAGAAAATACTCAAAGGAAATCCAACCATAATTGTTCATTGTTATTAACAAATTAAAATAGACTATAGTATATATTAATCTTTTAAAAAAAAGTATTTTTAGAGAAATTAATTTATATATTTTAGGTTTTAAAGAAATCAAATATATATTTTTTTAAAAAAAGAAAAAGTGCATCAATTATATAACTTTTCTCAAATTTATATATATAAAAGTTAAAGCTAAAAACTTAAGCCTATCTTGATTATCTTTGTTTTATATTAGTCAAAGCCTTCTCATGAGTAATGGCTCCCACTTTCTACACCCCCATTAATCTTTCAGTTTAATTTCACGGAAAAGCAAAATATTGGGTGGTCATAATCAATCATCACTCTAATCAAGTGGAGAGATATTAGATATCACGAAACCAAGATCATAGAAAATGTTGAAAACTAATTTTAGACTTTCAAATTCTTAGCTAACAAAATGAATAGCCACGATTCCCACTTTCAGATGCTACCAACCTCTGTAAATGCATTATTTCTCTTTAATTTTATCTAAAAGAAGAATGGTTCATATAAAACTTCAAACGCACCACTTTTAATGAAACGTTCACACCTCTTTTTCTTTAAGAAAAAAACTTTGGTCAAAAGAAAATAAATTGTAAATAAAACATACGTTATACATGCTTATTTATGATGAATCCGTAATATTATAGTAAAATACATAACAAAACACATATTAATTATAGTAAAATATTTCCTCATATCACAAGAAGTGTGGATTTTGCGAGATTGTCAAAGGTGAATTTTAAACCATAACCTTTATAAGCTATGATTTAAATTTAAAATATTTAGTCCACTTATATATATTTTTTAGGCTTATTTACTAAACAAATATACTCTAAAAAATAAATTATCAAAGTAATACCTTTATTAAGAAAAGAATAAAAATGATAGAAAGAAGTGTTAGGATCTCTATCTCATGTTACAATCAAAAGTAATTTTCCTTCCACCCATAACATGCAATATATTCTTTTACTAGTTATTTATCTTAAGTTTTAAATTTTTTAATATTTTATTTTAAAAATTTAAACACATTCAATGACACCTGTTAATCTCAAAATAAAGTATTATATATAAAAAAGAAGAATATTTTTTTAATAAATATTCCATTTGGAAGATGGTAACGTGACAAAAAGGAGATTTTTAACAAAAAAAGAAATAGTTTTCAAATGACATTAGTTTAGAAATTTATTTTATAAATAAGCCTTTATTTTATTACCACCCAACATGGAATAATTTTCTTTTCTTTTTTTAATTCCTACGTTAACTAATATCAAATCACTTGTACAATTTTGAATGTTTATAAACATTAAAATTATGTCTGTTCCCATAAATTCAATGTATGAAGGAAGTGATCCATCGTCAATGTCAACAAAATTTCCTCTTCAACATTGAGCTCACACTCTATATATATGTTATAGGTTATAGAAATGTCAAGCTCAAATCTAATTATATAGTTCATTCTTTTCCACTAAACTATAATTAATCGTGTAGTTGTGGTCATCTATGCTTTGTAAGATGCATATATAGGGATATATGTATATCACTTTTTTTATTATTATTAATCCATGGTCTGTTGTATCACTGTTTTTATTGTTTTGTTTTATTGACTAATGTTGGCTTAACTATAACGTTGAACATCAACAAAAGGTTGTGATTTTATTTATGCATTTCAAAATAGTAGCATTTTTGCTTAGACTTGTAATGTTTTAACTTTGAAATTTGTTGGAAGGTCTATTTCAATTCGGATCATTCTATATTAGAAATATAAATATATATTTTTAAACACACTTTTGTGATTAATCAATTTAAAAAAAAAACTAAAGTATTAATCTTGTAAATTGATGTTTTTTATGAAACATATTTAAAGCATATATTTAAAAAATATATTACTAATATTTCACCGTTAAAAAGTAAAGTGTAGTAGTTTTTCTACTTAATGTGTTCATATTTTTTTAAAAAAATTGTATTTGAGCCATTTCTCTTAATAAATTCATTTTATTAAATAATAAAATAATATTAAAATACGCAACATCAAATCTCTCCAAACTTTTATTATACTATAAAAGTTTAATTTTATTGCATTGTTAATGTAAAAAAAATTACGTTATCAACTAATTAAAATATATTAAAGATATTTTTCTATTAATTATTATAAAAATTAATAATTCTTGCTGATATAAATTCATGGTTAAATTTGTATTAAATTATAAAATAAAATATATTAGACTTGTTAATTGGTATTTTTCTTTTGGCCCCAAGTCACCAAGTGGATCATACATGTTGTTATCCAATGAGTTAAGCAATGAAGAAGGTGTTTACTGTGTTTATTATTGACTTCAATGCTCTTAGCAAACTAATTTTATTTTAGACATTGCCATTTTTGGAGCACCGTTCCCATTAGTCATTTGAATACAACATTGAAAATCTTTATTTATTTTTTCAATAAGATATATCTGTCGTCATACACATTGAAAATCACCACAAAGTAAGTGGGTTCGACATGTATAAAATAATAAATAAATAAAAGAACTCAAGAGAACAAACCTAGCCGCCTAGGGTTCAGGTTTTTACCTGTTGAATGAAGGAGTTATGGACAATTAAGACCAATTTTGACCTTTATTTGGATGATCATTGCAGCAGATAGATAACCTATTTGATCACATTTGTAGAATGGAAACTTTTTTAAAAAAAATCATTTAGGAGTGAAATTGGATTGAAGAAAAAATAATGTTCTTTGATTTAGATTCTTCAATTTTTTTTAAACCTAAAAAATCTTTAAAGAAATTGTTTAATTAATAAAATTTTAAAAAATTTTAATTTTTGTCATATTTGATGATATTATATGATCCATGTAATCTATTTCACTAAATAAAATAAAGTTTGGGTTGTTGTTATTTTCTAAACCCAACTTATTTCTTTTATTTCAAAGTAAAAGGATATAAAAATATATATAAAGAGATCTAAAACAATTATTAAATATTATAATTCAAAAAAATTACAATTTATCACAATTCAATAAATTTGTAAATTAATAATGCTTCAATATAGCTAAATACATTACTAATAATTAATAAAAAAAAAAAACTAACAATCATCTAGAGTAATGCTCCTTTTATGAGACCTATTTTTATACATAAATCTTGATTTTTTTTTATATGTATGAATTTGGTTTGAGTTATTTAATTTTCAATTGTTTAAATATAACACTTAAATTAAAATTTTCATTTTAGATTTAAATCAATCTAATTATTTCAAATAATTCATTATTTATCATCAAATACATGGATTAACTAGCAATAAGTTATTTCAACTTAATCTATAGTCTTAAATTCAAGTTCTAATAAATATACAATAATTTTGTTCAAGTTAAACAAAATTGTTTCTAATAAAAAAATATTTATAATTATTAAATACTCCTACTGAGAACTTTATTGCAGATGATAATCTAAACACACACAAGTCTAGTTATTTCATTATAATTTGTGTTATTATTAATTTGAATTAGACTCATTGGGTTTTTTGACAAAGCAGCTTACCACCCGGCAACATCCTCTTAGGCTTCATTTTAGCAAGATTCACCCTCCAAATTTTAGCCCAACATGTGAGGCCTAAGCCCAAATTAACTTCCACAAATATTGCGACTTCAGCCCATTAATATCACTTTTTTTTTAATTTTTGTGGTACTAATAGTTGATACAAATTGTCCACTTTATTTGGTTCATAATGATCTCTGTCGTATTTTTACTGGTTCACAAAAAACAAGAGTAAACCTTCAATTTGGTTTAATATACATATAATATACCATAGCATTGATTTTACTAAAATATTCAAACACATTAAATAAATATAAAGAAATACTTACTATAAAATGCACTAAATTTTAATGGTTGAACTATATTTTTAATTCTTTAAAATGTCAAACTTTTCTCACTTGATCTTCCTTTTCCAAGCTGTTATCCAGTTCTAAACATAACATTAATCACTTTATTAGGCTTTATTGATTTATTCATTAAATAAAATGATTTTAAAAATATGCACTAAATAAAAATTTTATAATATTTATTGAATTAAATATTTAAAAGAAAACTTTACATATATTGTAGTAATACTTATAATTATTTTTTGTTGCACACTTAAGAAAAAATGTGTTAATTAACAATTTGATATTGAATTAACCTTTAAATATATCCTTTAATTGAAAAAATACATTATTATTAAAATTTTATACTGTAATAGTGTAATGTTATTGGGGGGGGGGGGGGGGAGTCATTTTCTTTTGAGAATTTCCTCCATAATATAGAGAAAAAAGATATATTAAGAATAAAATTACAACACAAAAATTAACATAAAAACTTTAAAATTAGAGAAAAAAATGATAGTAGTTGTATTTAATGACAGACAAAAAATAAACACATTGTTTTTTGCTCAACTACCTCATAACTCTTCTTTTACAAACCTGGATAATGTAAAATTTTACTTTAAGATTGTTTATTTTAACCAGTTTTAACAAGTATATCATACTAATAAATAATTTTAGTAATTTAATATTCTGGTACAAAGAAAATTATGAGACTCAAAAAGCGTTTACATTCTAAGAAAATAAGTGAGAGTTCAAACTTGCCACATATTATATACAAGACCTTATTTTACTCTACTTGATAACCCTTCATAGCTATATTAATAATTTTTATTTATATTTGATAAAAATTATATTAACAAAAATAATTTCAATGTCTAATATTTTTCCCAAAAATAAATAATTTTTTAGGGGCATTATACATGTGCACTCTTTTTGTCTACTTTAATATTATTCAAATAAGATTATTCTCATTCACTTCTTAAAGGCTGAAAAGACTTCAAATTGTTAGAATATTACAACTTGTACAACATATGTCATACGTAAGAGGGTACGTGGATTTTTGTAATAAACTAACAATACGCGTTTAGCATATATTAGAATATTTCTTACATATGTAAGTAATAAAATTAGGACTATCATGTCAACACATTAGTCTTGTTTACATTTTACGTCTTTCTTTACTGATAAAACAAACTATTGCAATAACTAAGCACAAAGACCAAAAAAATTCATAGGGTGAAAGAAAATTAAAAAGAAGCTAATATACTTTTTAACATATTTTTAAATATTATTTTTACAATTTTTAATAAATTTTAACCATAATTTAAAATATATTAAATAATGTATTATTGTTAGTATTGAAAAAAAAATTAAATAATATTATCAACATACTATTTGTAACACACTCTTCAATAAAAAAATTCAAAGTGTATCAAGTATCAACAACTTATTATAAGGCGGCATTTGGAGTTCTTAGTTGCAAATCAAACCCTCTTTTATTAATTCTTAATTGCTCATGTTTGTGTAGGGTTTACACAGTCGAGGTGTAGTAATATAGTTTAAATTCTTGAAGCTTAGTTAACTTACTTGCATAATGCATGTCTTAGTTGGCCGACAGAGGAATTAATTGGTCAGATGAATAGCATGGGAACTAGCTAGCCTTTGAACCTAAGTTTGTTTTAATTTGTTGTGCATGTTAAACACAAGAAACGTAGCAGCTGGATTTTGTGAGTTTTGGTTTTGTTTAATCAAATGCATAATATGTATGATAAAGCCCTTTGCTTATCCTAGCAGCATGGGTGGCTGAAAGTGTTCAAAAGTCATTATTACCCTTTGACCTTTATGAGTACGAGATCAAATATGATTACATAATCTCATTCTATTTATAAAGCAATTTTTTTTCCCAAAACCCATCTATAAAATAACCATGAAACCAAGGGTATACTAGAGCATAAAGAGAATAATGAAGTTTAAAATGATGGATATTAGTATTGGAGTGCTCAAGTTATATAAGTATATGAAGCTTTTTGAGGTCAAATAATAGAATATGCATTAGAATTCCACCACACTCTTTCATTTGCATCATACAGCATGCAGCTTCCTTACCTTTTACCACTTTTGCGGCGTCAACTTCTCCCCCTAATCCCCTTATTATAAACCCTAGATCATCCCCCTTCATTTTCTACCATTTTCCCAAGAAACAAACACACAGAGAAACATATTCTTCTTCTTCTTCTTCTCTTCCCTCCCTCTCTCTTTCTTGAGTCCTTCAAACTATCTCTTGCAACTGGCAAAGCCATGGGGTTCCTAAAAGTGATATTCATCATAGCAATAACCATGGCTTTGTCCATCACACTCACAATGAAAAGCATAACCCAAGAGGAAACAAAACCAACTTTTGTGCACCATGATTTACCCTCACATGAGCAACAACCCTTGATTCTACCATTATCCCATCATCAAAAAAATGTGCTTCTTCCTCCTAAGAGGGTGAATCGCTTCCTGGCTCAAATTAAAAATCCAAACGCTGCCGATCATTGCCACAAGGACAATGAGATTTGCTCCTTAATCGGTGTCAAGAACTCCACATGCTGCAACAACAAATGCATTGATGTGGGGTATGATAAACATAACTGTGGTGCATGCAAGAAGAAATGCAAGTTCACTGAGATATGTTGTAGAGGCCAATGTGTTGATATCAACTTTGACAAGAGGCATTGTGGAGCTTGTAACCACCGGTGTGAACGAAGTCAATATTGTATCTATGGATTCTGCGATTATGCATAAGATTAATATTGAGTCTCGAAATATAGAAGGGTCTTATATTATACGAGGTTTGTGATTTTATTCAAAGTATTCAATAAAGTATACCACATTTGTCGTGGTTCTCAAACAAAATATATACCATCATATATAGTATACATATAGTTGTTATATAGCCCTTAAAGTTTGCAGTCTTCCAAGTGTCTCCTAAAGCATAATGCTATTCCTAACTCTAAGAAAATTAATAAGTACTACCACAAATTATGACATGTTTTTGTAATTCTTTTTATCTCTGTTTCTTTTCTTTATGTATATTGGATAGAGATAGATAATTAAGACAGGTTTACAAAATGTAACGAAAGATAATGGTTTTGTGTCCTCAATATATTGTGTAATTGAACATTAATTTACTCTCATGTACACCAAAGTTAACCAAAATTTATTATCTCAAGTATCATATTCATTATTCTCTTTGATTTTATATATATATAATTTTCTTGAAATAAGTTCTTATATTTAATTTTCATATAAAAAAGATTGTCACTAAGAGAATTAGTTTTATATAATATTGACATTTCTAGCTCGGGTAAAATTATTTATCTCTTACTAAAAATGAACGTGATTTTAAAAATAAAAATAAAATCACATCGACAAATTGGAAGCACCGTGCATGTCTATAATCAGCACAAATTTTGGTGGCTTTGCAACAAATTCTAAACCGTGCATATATTATTAAGAGTGTTTTGGAATCAAATGTGTTAAAAAAAAGTGATTCACTACTTAATTTTTCAAAAGAGAAATTTCTCAATATGTGGTGTGCAGGATAAATAATTAAAGTGCCACGAATCTGAAAACTTGTAATTAAAGTTAACATATTGACCAGAAAAGCTACCTTTAACTTAAATTGTTTCTGCAAAATGAAGTATCCAACTTATAGATTAGAATCAAATTAAAGTGCCATGGGATTTTTCCTCGAAAGCCGCTAGTATTCACATGCTTGCAGGCAATACAAACTCCGTGCATTGGATTTTCGTGCAAATGGGTTTCGTGCATTTTCATGAGAAGGGGAAAATGTTGATCTTCTAGGGTTTACATCACGGGACTTAGAAACACCGAGTAAATCTTGTTAATAGGTTATGAGCAAATCTTGCAAGCAAATTTCAACATCATATATAAATTTAGGCTTAGGCTGAGTAGATTATTGTGAGTTATATATATTTTATTATTATTTAATGTGAGATTTCTTCATTTATATTACTTATATTTGTTACTTGAACAATATTTTTTTCAAGTATGAATCTATTTCATTGTATACTACTTTTTTAGCAAAAATCTTTCAACTTTTAATTTTAAATATTTATATTTACTTAAGAAAATCAAAGTCATTGTATTCACTAATGCTACTTTCAACTTATTACCATTATTAACTCTCATCAATGGAATAAGTTGTCTTTTAAGAAGATTTTCAATATAATAATCTCATCATATATCAAGAAAATTTTCACTATAATGATCTCATCATATGTATTCACCATCAACTTTCAAAAATCATTTGAGAGGATTACTTGAATAAATTATTAACTCTAATATATATCACTGTTAAAAAAAAAGAGTTAAATGCATTTCTTATCTCTAAAAGTATCCACATAAAAAGAAAAAAAATACACAACTTTAATATAATTCAACTTTTTTCTTTGCATATATTAACTTTCAACGTAATTTTATTATTTTGCAACTTTTTATAAGAAAAAATTGTCAAAATTCTACCTTACAATTTTTTTATAGATAAAATTATAAACTTTTATCTAATAAATAAGACTAGTGTTATATATTGTTGTGAGTAAATATAAAATAAATTATTATATTTATAATGTTTTTAATTTTTTTTTCCAAATTTTTCAACGTTCAATTTGAATGAAATTCAATTTAGTCTAACGTAATAGTGCTTGTTTAAGAGATGATGGTTTATTTAGGTATTTATATTAGAGTGATGTCTTATCAAAATTTAACACAAATAATTAATATAATATAATTATAATTTAATCATTAAAATAACCTCTAATCAATTGATTTTAATACTACATTTGACTACTTTAGTATCATGTAAAATGTATAAGTATTTTATTTTATAATATATAAATAATTAAAAAAAATTTCACTTTATAAATAATTATGCATAGTAAAATTATTTTAAACAATAAAATTTTAAAAATTATTTTAACTTAACTCTTTAATTATGAATAGTATGTATTAACTAGCTAAAAAATTAGCATGCATTAAAATGATTAAAAATTAATAAAATTAAGTAACTTTGAAATATAATCTATTTTAAAATATTACTTTTATCATATAATATAAAAAAAACTTTAAATTAAATGTCAATTATCATTATAAATTAACAACTATAAATTTAAGAGATAAAATTGTTAATAGTAAATTTTAAATTAAAAAAACTTAAAATAAATTTTATAAATAGAAAAATATTTGTATTTATAAAAGCATAAAAAATTATGTAAGAACTTTAATTTAATAAAATTTATAAATATGTAAATAAAAAATATTTAATTCACAAATATTTTTCATGGTGTGAAAGTACGGAGAATATATTCACTTTTATGTTTCATTTCTCAAATACTAAACTTTCTGTGACACCTTCGCCTTTGTTTTGTGTTCATTGTTCGACCACCTCACCTCAACACAGGCGGAACACAACGCTCCACTTCTTTTCTCTTTGTGCGAGAAGCCAAACCGCAACCCATGACTTCTCCGGTGGTGGCGGAGGCCGGTGCCGTAGCGGCGTTCCGGTCGGTGATGCTCCGGGTGCAGCAGGCGGCGGAGAGATCCCGGTCCAAACCGGACCGGGTCCGGGTCGTGGCGGTTTCGAAGACGAAACCCGTTACTCTGATTCGGCAACTCTACGACGCTGGTCACCGATGCTTCGGCGAAAACTACGTTCAGGAAATCGTAGATAAAGCTCCTCAGGTGCTGCAATTACTGCTGTTGTTGGTGTTATTATTATTATTTAAATTGATATTTTATAATTCATTAAAAAAATGCTACGTTAATTTCATCCATTCTGGAGAGAAATTTCTAATAATTTGGTTTTGGGGCATGCCTGCAGCTTCCACAAGATGTTGAGTGGCATTTCATTGGGCATTTGCAAAGCAACAAAGTCAAAACACTTTTGGGTATTTATTTATTTATTTAAATTTTGTTTCTAAGCTTTTTTCATTTTTGTTATATTAATGTAGAGCTTTCAGTAGAATTTGAATTGAAAATTGAGCCTTTGGTTGCTTTGAATTTAATATTGACATCATATCAGTGCTTCTTGTTCTTCATGTATAGGGAAACAAATGGGAGTGTGGTGTGTGTGTATAATTCATTTTTATTTGATAAAATTCACTTTTGATAAAATAAATTATTGAATGTGTCATTTTACTTAGTTTGACGTCTGGTGTTGTTGGATCCTGTCCTTGTGTTTGTACTGTATGTATGTAAATATACAATTGTTTTTAATTTGATTTCCTAATCTATTATAAAACTATAAAGTGTATGGAATAAATTGATAATAGTGACGCTTGAATATTATTTTTTGGTCCCTATACATGATGACTATTTTTATTTTGGTAGCACCATACAAATGTCGCGTTGTTATGGCAACAGCAGAGATGAAATAGGGACTAAAATTCACATATAAAGGTGTTTGATTGGTGATACCAGTTCAATTTTGCTATCTGAGCTGGGTTCAAAGTTTTTTACATTGTTTAGTTGGCTTTTGACTTGTTGAAAATGTTGTTAGACTTCTAGTATCTTGTTTGAACTTGTTCGGTTGTTCCTTTCATCAACACCTGGTGAATGTTAACCTTGCATACTTTATGCAGGTGGAGTTCCAAATCTGGCCATGGTTGAGAGTGTGGACAATCAGAAGGTAACCATGTATAATCAATATTACTTTTAGTCCTTAGAGATGTGAATTTGTTGTTATTTTAATTTTGATTTTGTGCTCTAATTTGAAGTAGTCTGGATAAAAATGGTCTTCATGTTGTTCTCAGTTATTAACTACTATTTGGTATTGCTGTTGCCATTTACTAGGTCTATAGCTAGTAAACAAATAGCTAAAAGTTCAAATTGTGATTTTAATATGGCTAATTTTCTGACAAATACCATTTTGCCATTTGACAAACCTTAGTGTTCTTGTGCCTCTGGAACTGCAGATAGCAAATTATCTTGACCGCATGGTATTAACCCTTGGAAGAAATCCTCTGAAGGTTTTGGTTCAAGTAAACACCAGTGGAGAAGAATGTATGTTCAGCTTAAACTAATGAGTTACTCAAAATCCTTGTTGCAGTTTTCTGTTATTATGAGGTTTACCCACTCCCTTTGGCATTGATGCTAATTCTTGCTTGGGGTATTGAAAATCCTGATTGTGTACATTTTAACTTGTAATTTCTGTGGTTTGGTAATTTGGGGACCTTGTCTTCACGTGCTGAGTCTTCTTAATTTGGCATCAGGAAATAATTATTCATATTTAGTTCTGTAATGTTTCCCATGTGATTCCATAAATTATAATATAGATAATTCAATTATTCATTTTAGACAATGAAACAGTCATGTTAATCAGTCACTCCTAAGATAGTTGTTAACACAATTTACAGTTATTTGATTCTAGAATTGCAGCTGTCCTTTCATTGCTTGTTAACACAGTCTATCATATTCTTCTATTATGTATTAGCAATTTAGCATTGTTCAAGTATGTTGAAGTGTCTTGTATGTCAGAATATATGTTGGATTTTTCTACTTTTGCAGCCAAATCTGGTGTTGATCCTTCCAATTGTGTTGAGCTTGCAAAACATGTGAAATCGAGCTGCCCAAACCTAGTGTTCTCTGGCTTAATGACAATAGGGATGCTTGACTATACCTCAACTCCACAGAACTTTCAGGTGATAAATTCTATTCATGTGTTTTGAGCATGTGGAGAACTTCTCGAAATGATCTGGTTCTTATTTGTTAGAACTTTTCCATTTTAGAATTATTTTTTATTTCTTGTCTTAGTATTGTTTTATTGAAATTTAATCTTCGCTTTTACAATCATTTTGTAGTTTTGTAGTGCAGTTTTATGTGCCTTGCATTCCAAATTATATTTGTCTATTTGCTAAAGTTTTCTCTTATTGTGAAAAATCAGACCCTATCAAATTGCAGAACTGAAGTATGCAAGGCACTTGAAATGCCAGAGGAACAATGTGAACTGTCAATGGGAATGTCTGGTGATTTTGAGTTAGCGGTATGGAATAGTGTGCTAAAATTTCAGTTTTAATTTTCTTGATAGTTGCATTTATTATTGCATGTGTGATTATCTCACAATTCTGAATGCTTTTTAGCTGATAAGGGAATGGATTGACAACTGCATTAGGAATGGGATTCTATGATACTTGCAGTGATCATAATAGTTTATGATAAATGTTAGGAAAACACTCTTACATGCTATTGTTAAATGGAATTCATGCGGGTCCACTAAATCATAAATGAAACTCATTCTATAGGGGATTGAACCCACATTATTTAGTGAGCACTGCATAAATTTCACCCTGTAATAGAGTGTATTGTTAGCATTTTTCATAGTTTATAGATAGAGATTGTTATGATGACACTGCCGCACTGGCACATTTCTTTTAACTAATATTGGTTGTGAAGCATTTTGGAAATACTTTTTGACAGATAAGTTACTACTCACTAGAGTCTTTTTTGAACTTTAAGATTCTCAATAAACTGATATTCTTTTACTCTAAATCCAATTGCCTTTTCAGATTGAAATGGGTAGTACTAATGTGAGAATTGGGTCCACAATATTTGGACCAAGGGAGTATGCAAAGAAACAAGAGTAGAGGAAGTTGCAATCTCTCTCACCCTCTCTCTATAAATAGACTGTATACATTCACGCACAAATGTCCTGAATTGTATTGTATTCCTTTACCTTTGTAATTGATGCGTTGAATTGATAACAATAAAGTTCATAGTTGGTCTCTATAACAAAGAATACACAAATAGTCCTTTTTCTTGTTTTCTTACAGAATGCTTGTTCATGCTAACTAGAGAATGTGTGTGTGTTTGTGTGTGTGTGTGAGAGAGACAGAGAGAACAGCAAATAAGATGGTATGTAGTTGCAGCATGCTATCATCATGTTTTTGGTTCCTGTTTCTGGGCTTATTGTGGTTTATACTTGTGCTATGGGATTTTTTTGATTTTAATATCGTCAATGTTTTTATATTTAGTAAGAAATAAACATGTTTTGCTTCAAATTTTAATTTGCAAGCCAATTTGCACTGTGATTCATCTTCTCATTGATCCTGTCTTAAAGCAAGCATTTTTTTTATTCTGCTAGCTAACTGGATTGTAGCTAATGCTTTAGAAATTTTAAACTTTGAATTATGTTTTGCAGGCCAATACATGATGTGATTTATACTCTTAATAGTACATTCTTAAGCAACCAATATTTTATTCTCCTAGCTAACTGGACGCTACTCAATAATCAAGTGGTTAGTTATCAGCAGAAAGAAAACAAAATAATTACAGCTAATGTTTGAGAATTGTTTTATAATAATCGCTTCTTCCATTCAAACAACCTAGAGGCGTTTGAATACTATCTATATTTTGCATGATAACGAAGTATCTGACGTTGCGTTGTAGCTCAATTGAGATCTCATACAAACAATTTAGCTAGGAAGCCTGGGAGTATTTTATCTGTATAATATTATGAGCATTACTATTAGAACAAAAAATGGCGTATTGCAGAACTTAAAAGATTAAGGATTTAGGCTTATAAGTGGTGAAAATGCAAAGATAGAAAAATGGGTTATACGCATAATTTGTAAGTTGTGATAGGTCAAGAGTGAAGCAGGATAAGTTGACTCATAAGTTTTATATATATTACTTTTGCAAACATAAGATTTCTTATTTTTTTAATTATATTTTTCCTTTTTTTATTGTCTATTTTTGTTCAATGTTTCATTATTTAAGCAGATTGATTTGTCAATCCTCCATTAAGTGGAGTGGGTTGGGTTTTCCAACTCATTCTCACAAATAAGTTAACCTATCCTCCTACTTTTGAGATGGTGGTAGGAGTACAATATTTTGTCATCTCTAACTATAAAATGTTTGAAAGAAGTTATAAGCTTACGAAAGGGACTTGTGACATTTTTATAAATCTTTTTTAAAACTTATTTTAACTTTCTTTTGCGGAAAAAATTATAAAAATAAACTAAACTCTTTTAGCTTATTCCTATAATTTTTACAGTTAATCTCACATAACAAGCTCTCATTTGATAAGTATTTAATCAACTTTTTATCCCAAAAATATTTTTAAAATAAGTGATTACAGAGGCAAATGCATTTGACAAGGTCAAGAAATTAATTCATCTTATTTACTAACCTTTTTTTAATATGTGAGGATGACTAAAAAGCGAAAAAGTGAAGAGATTAAAATTTCAAAACAAAAACGTGTCCATTATTCTCATTTGTTTAAGTCAATCCAAAATCAAATACTGAGGTATAAAATTGTCTCTTAACAATATGTTGCTAGGCCTAAAGTCCCCAACCTTCTTACAAACAAGCTAGATAATTAGTTGCATTAGAGTCACCTTCATCTGACCATCCTAACTCTTGTGCTATTTTCGCTATCAACCCTAACAAAGGAAAAATATATTAAAACAAAAAAATTATCTTGAGGAACTAAAATTTTGGCATGTTATCTCAACATTGAAGTAAGCAAATAAGAAGTGGATTAAAGAACAGTTGGAAGATGGAGTAAGGCTTCTCTTGGAGTTGGAAAAAGCTAGAATAGATGACTAAAAGTTTGATTGGCTAGAAGAGTAGGAAAGAAATTTATCTTTCGGATTGAGATTTGGTACAGTTGACGCGGAAACTGCACTATGCATTTAGACAAAATTTTATATTTTTGTTTAAGCAAAAATTTATTAGCTTAAATGAAAATACAAAATAACGTAACGAGACGATGCAGTTAGGAGACTGAATTTAAATCCTTATCTTTCAAGCATAAAGACAACAACTGTTTTTGTTTCAAGGCTTCACAAATCCAAGAAAGAAATGTAGCAAAACATTAAAAAAAATAATGGACTCGAATGAAAGCAACCAACAATTGAAATTGAAGAAGATTTTTGAATATATTTTATTAATTACTAAATAAAATATTTATGCCTTTGTACAAAGAGATAAAAATAAAACTTTAAAAAAAATTAAAAAGAAGTTAGCGAGAAATAAATAAATAATAAATAAATGATCTGTAAACATAAATAAGTACCTTGTCTAGACATGATAACTCATATTTTACAAGAAAAACTAACATAATCTAAAATATCAATAATTTATGCATGAATAATTAAAATGTCATTGAATGATAACAAAAGAAATAACAAATCAATGTCACATAAAAATGAGAGATTAAATATATAATATAGATAAGAAGAAAATTTAAGAATAATTGAAAGTTTTTTAAACAGTGGAGGATAAATCAAAGACTAAATTTGGTGATTAGAAGTTTTAAAGAAATAGAGGAAAAAACTTCCTTTAGAAATGGAAAGAGATACTAATATGTTTGGAGTTACATAGACAAGTAAATAAAAAAGACATTCATATGAAAATTGATATCATTGAGAGTGGACATGGAGTAACTTCGTAGAGAATTAGAATAATCTCATGTGTTAATTTCACATTAGAGATGTGTAGTGTTTAATTTGACCATTCAAATTTATCAATATATATTATTTAATAAAAATTTATATTATAATAATATATTTTTAATGGTTGTGATCAAATGTAGTAATAAAGTCACGTGAGAGGATCTCTTTCCCTTCCTGCAGATTTTATTAATTACTACTAGGCACACTAACGTGTTAAAAATATGTCATCAAAGTGCTCCAATATATTGGATAAACCAACCCAAGCAAATCTCAATGTAGAAGAAAAGAAGAAGCAAATTTGCCAGGACTAGACAGATTATTACAGTATAATAGAACTCCATGTATAAATATATAAAAGGAGAAAAAAAGACCATGCAAATTATTACTAATGATTTTACAACAAATCACCGAAAAGTCATTATATATATGATTGAGCAAGAAACAAAAATTCAGAAGAATGACAGGTGACAGTTAAATGAACAGATTTATTATATAGTGAGACTAGGAATACTAAAAATGAAAATCTCTTAATATTAAATTAACATTACACTAAATCTTAACAAGTCCTCTTGAGGTTGGATATTTCTGTATTATTATAAATTTTTTAATGTGTCAAAAACATATAATAAACAGTTATATATAATAAATTTTTATTAAAAATTATAGAATATAATACATCGAATGAATAACATTAGCTATTGTAATTTTTAATTAAAAACTGTTATTTATTAATTTCTTATTATATATTTTTAAATGTTTAAAAATGATTTTTATATTATGAATTATAGTATATAAATTATAGAAAAATGATTATTATACAGTGAATAGTTGGATGACGATTATTCTACAGTATACAAATAGAATTTTAATATAATCATTATAATGGGATAGTAAATATATATATTATATTTAAATTGGAAGGTAGAAAATCTTTGTTTTCTTTTTCAGATTTTTGCCGGTTCACTTCTGAGTCAACTCAAAAACCTCTCTTAAAACTCAACACAACACTTCACTCGTTACTTGGTAGGTGTTCTACGCTGTTATGTTTTCCTTCTTCCTTATCTGAAACAATGACAACACTTTCAATCCCACTCAAAATCTGCTTCCACCCAACCACTACCACCCCTTTCCTTCATCCCCAAACCCAAACCGTTACTTTCCAACGCAGAAGAACCACAACAACAACGGCTTGTTCTGCCTCTGAGAACCCCCACCAACGCCAAAAGCAGAAGCAGAACCATGCAGAGTCCAAAACCAAGAACAGCCCTTCTGATCACGAAAAGGGTATCGACCCTGCTGGCTTTCTCGCCAAACGCGGCATTTCCCACAAAGCTTTTGGCCAGTTTCTTCGTGAAAGGCAAGAAAATTGGAACATAAATGAGAAAAAGTTACATGGTGCTTGATGGAATTTGCGTTTGGTTTTTCTGGGTCTGTTTTGTTTTATTGTTTATGATAGAAAGTTGGAAGCTTTAGTAAAAGGGGTAATTGTTGAGTAAGACACAGTTTTAAGGGCTTGCTATGATTGGTTGAAGCATCTATTAATAAAAATTGTGTTTTTTTTCCCTCTGGCATGAGTTCATGACCATATGCTGATACCCAACACCATAATAGGATCCAAATCCATTATATTATATCACTCTACATGATGTTATACACTTCACATAAAATAAGGGAGTTGATAGGTACCAGAGGATAAATAGAGAAAAGAGATGAGATTTGAGACAGAATACAGAACTTTCATGATGTATCGGGATATCCAACTGAGATACACAATAGGTCTTTTACACAAATAGATTCTTAACAACATTGTTATCATTTTACAATCGCAATACTAACCCTACTAACCTTTTTAGTCGTGTAAGAAGTCATGTGCTTTTTCTTAATAAAGAGCGGCATTGAGATATAAAAATAATATATAAAGTAAGGTGAAGGAGGTGTAACTTTTCATTAATAAGGGTGTTAGTGTAATGATTGCTAACTATAAGGAGGTAATTGTAACTATCCCTGAATAAAATGGGGAAAACTTGTTTGTTTTCATATTTTGATGTGCAAGTGAACGACATGGCTAATTTAGGCACTTTTTTTTTCCTAGGTGGATTGGAAATTTGATGTGTGGCATTATAATTATTATTGATTTTACAGGTATAAAGCATTGAAGGACCTGAAAGATGAAATTTTGAAACGGCATGAGAACTTGAAGGTTATGGCTTCCGGGTTAGTACCGCTTGGTGGCATTGAGTTTTAAGCTTTTACTTTGTTGCATTATTGTGCATTTTGGTTCTCTCAGCCATAAGCTACAGTCCTTGTAATGAATGTCTTTGAATATTTTAGCTCATTACCAATTCAATCAAACATAATTTGGGGAAAAACTGTGATATGTATTATGTTTCCCATGTGTTTTTGAAATTATTTATGTAATGGAATTATGATATTTAAAGTTACTGTTCCACTTTTCAGTATTCATCTCACAAATCTGTGCATGTGTTGTTGCTCCAGGTATGAATTATTGGGTATGCATCGTCATCCAGAACGCCGGGTGGATTATATGGAATGGGCTCCAGGTTTGACATTATCCCTAGTCTTTTGTTTTAGGCTCTGTCTGATTATCTAATCCCAAATGTTGAATGTGTAGTCTAATTTATTTTGTTTATTTTGGCCAGAATCATTCCTCAACTCTTGTCATATTTTTCATCATCTTTAGTTTTATATTATTCCTCCCTAAAAATTTGAATCAGTATGTTTGATATATCTGAGCTATACCTGTGGATGGTCTCAACTAACTTGAAATTGTCTCTTCTCTTTGAGAAATGTAGTTAGGTCTTTTATATCTGAGCTATAACTGTATCTACCTGTCCCTTGTTATTAATGTAAAACCTTATCCTAACTTGTTGCTTCTAGTAGCTAACACATGGGTCCTTGCCAAGAAGTGTGACGCAGTGAAAATGTTATTTTGTTAAGTTGCCACCAAGAAAAATCAGTTGTTTGAACTTGCTTTTTATCCATCCTTCTTGTTTTATTGATAAGCACATAAATGCAGGGGCTCGCTATTGTGCAATTGTTGGTGACTTCAATGAGTGGTCACCTACAGAAAATTGTGCAAGAGAGCATTACTTTGGTCATGATGATTATGGATATTGGTTTATCATTCTTCAAGATAAGCTGAGAGAGGGTGAGCAACCAGAAAAATACTATTTTCAAATGTATAACTATGTAGATGATTATGATAAAGGGGATAGTGGTGTCACTGCTGAAGAGCTCTTACAGAAAGCAAATGATGAGTACTGGCAACCAGGAGAGGATCGTTTCCTAAAAAATCGCCTTGAAGGGCCGGTGAAGTTATATGAGCAGATATTCGGTCCTAATGGACCTCAAACCATAGAGGACATACCAGACATACCAGATGCAGAAACAAGATATAAAGCATGGGCAGCAGAGCATGGGCCTTCCCGTACTGCTGTGATTGACAGTGGCAAAGGGTATGACATATTTAATGTGATAGTTGATCCAGAGTGGCAAGAGAAGATTCGTGCACTGAAACCTCCTATACCATACTGGTTTGAGACACGTAAAGGTAGGAAGGCATGGTTGAAAAAATATACTCCCGGCATTCCTCATGGCAGCAAGTACAGGGTCTACTTTAACACTCCTAATGGACCATTGGAAAGGGTACCTGCTTGGGCTACATATGTGCAGCCAGGTAAATTTTATGTCAATTCTTGGAAGTCAGTTAATTATCTGTGAATATATACTAGAATTATATTTGGTCCTGTGTAGTATCTTGTGGTTGCTTCTTTTGTAAAAGCTTACCTATGCATTCTTACATGGTATTTGTTTAGAGCTTGTTTGATGTTGAAGGAAGTGATTTTTGGTTTCGATTACTAAAAAATGGTGCTCAGTCTACCAGTAAATGAAAACTTCATTGAACATCCCCTGCAGAAGCTATTATTGTCATATTGATTGTTTTGACTCTTTAGCATTATTATTTATACTCTTCAAAGAAATTAATATATTATTACCACTTCCTTTATATTAGTTTTTGTTCAATTTCCTATGTAATCTAATACACTTCTTTATACCAATTCCTATTTTGAGTATGAAAAGCACTTATGAATCTATGTTGTAGTTGAAAAAAGTTTATTTTTAATAGAAAGTCAATATATGAGGTATTTTTATGCTATGCCAAAATACATAACAAGAAGGAAAAAGGTCTCTTTGCTTAGTTCACTTTGTGTTTGGGGCTTCCTTTCTACCAAGATGTGCAATCTATGTTCTAGTTGTTATACATATATTGTAATTATACTACTTTTGTGTTATCTGAATGGAGTTGATTCAATGCATTGCAGATGTAGATGGAAGGCAAGCTTATGCAATCCACTGGGAACCACCCCCTGAGCGTGCATACAAATGGAAAAATACACGTCCCAAAGTACCAAATTCCTTGCGTATATATGAAGCTCATGTTGGAATTAGTGGATCTGAGCCAAAAATATCCTCATTCAATGATTTCACAGACAAGGTTTTCTTCCTTTTCTTTGGGTTGGGGCAGGGGAAGAGAATTTATAATTTAACTGCTATATATATCTTTCATTTCATGTCTATATATTGTAACTGGTCACCTTGAAATTTTATTATACATACACACAATGCAGGTTCTTCCTTATATTAAGGAAGCTGGATACAATGCAGTCCAGTTGATTGGAATTGTGGAACACAAGGATTATTATACTGTTGGTTACAGAGTAAGTTACATGTTGTCATGATTTTTAATTAATTTTCTCACTGTAATTATGTTGTGATTAAATTTCTCTAGAAGTTCTTCAATTCAAGTTACTTCAACATGACTAGAAGGTTGGAAAATTTGGTAATCTCAGTGTCAAGATTGTAAATCTGGATGTGAGGCTTCTGTTCTAGGTTAACTTAAAAGGGGGAAGGGTAGTCTTTGTTGACTTCTGAATTGGGAGATTATGGGGAATTTACCTAATATATCTATTTAATTAATTATTGTTAAATATTAATGTATATGACAAAGTTGGGAGCAATTGATGCCAAATGATTTGTATAACAAACTCAATTGTAATGTGCAAAAAGCATACACGCTTTATCTTGTAATTCATGGCGCAAACAATGTGCACATACCTTGTACATGCTGGCATTATGCTTATATCTGTTTATAACTTTTTTAAGTAGCTTATTGCTAACGTGACATTTAGTGACATTATCATTTTTCACAACTAGATTTTATCTATGTATAAATTTGAAGTTCGCTACTTTAAGCTAGTTGAGAACATGCTCAAACTTCTATCTGTCGATGCAGGTTACCAACTATTTTGCTGTTAGTAGTCGATATGGCACTCCTGAGGATTTCAAGCGATTAGTTGATGAGGCCCATGGTTAGCATTTTTATTTCACAATGATGACCCTTTTAAGGAGATTACTTTTTGCACCACCCTGTTTTGCTATTCGCAATACATCACTTTTTTTTACTGACTTTTGGAAATTATTTCCAAAAGTGTTTGTTTAATACCTTCTAGAAAATAAGTTTTGGAAGTCATTTGCAAATCACTTCTAGAAATTAAATTTTGGAAGTGATTTTGTACCTTTAGAAAACTAAATTCTAGAAATCATTTGCAAATCACTTCAAGAAATTAAATTATGGAACTATAGAAGTAGTTTTGTACCTTCAAGAAACTAAATTATGGAAGTCATTTGCAAATCATTTCAGCAATTTACTTTTCAGAAGTTATTAAATACACTTTTGGAAATTAAATTTTGAAATTCATAATAAAAGGGTGGTGTGCATTGCAAAAAAAGAGGGGTGCAGAAAGCAACCCCCCTCTTTTAATTTTTTGTACTGACTATATTGACCTCCTACTTTATTAAGTCTTTACTGCTATTAAGCTATTGGAGAAGTTCTTTGTAGTTGTACTTACAGTGAAATGTCAATGTTGTTATTCTGACAAGAAGATAATGCTAGAGAAATGAAATGCAAGAAGACGCTGATCATATGTTCTGTGAATTCAATTATAGACCATTTTTATTTTGTGGATAAAATAATAACTCAGTTTGAAAGGGTAGAATACAACAGAATATTTTAGAGATAATTTAGAGAATGACAGTGCTTTATTATTCAAGACATCCATCTATATAGGCTTTTAATAGACTTAGTGGAGACTTTTCTGGGCTAATATTAATTGAGTACAACTTGCTAGACACTAATACCCATGAACGCTAAGTGCATGTTAATTTAACATGAGATACATCAATATACTATTTCACAAGTACATTTATTATTAATATTTCCAATTGAAGATCTTGGAATTGGAACTTGCTTCAGCCAAATATGCGAAAATCCTATAGGAAGAGCTCAATGCCAAGCACTTTGACATCCTTTATATCCCTGAAACCACTTTAGTGAGTAGATTTTAATCTTAACTGTTACCATTAAGATTTGGAGACAGAAATAGCATGATAGAGTAGGTTAGTTTCATTACTTGCCTAAGTTGCCTTTGTCACAATAGAAGGATGATCTTCCTAAGACTGTCAAGTCAACTGGACATGTAGCTAAATTAAAGAAGAAATGAAAGAAAAAAGCAAGCAAATTGAGTCAGAAATTGTAACTGCACTAGTTCACATGTTTCCGTATTTTGCATTAAAGGCCAAAATGATATATATATATATATATATATATATATATATATATTTAGGATCTATTAACATTAAGTGTCAAACTTGGACACTTACACCATTTAATAGTTTTTCATAAAATGTGAGATTGACTAATTCAACCATTGAATCATCTTATATTATCTTTTTAATCATGTATAATAAATTTTGCATAATTTGAACATTTGTAAGTACTAAGTATGTTATCCAAATTTTGATATTTCCTTATATTTTAAAAATTTATTACATGTTGAAATAAAGTAATTCAATGAAGTGTATTCATTTTGTTTTGTATGAAACTTTACAAAGTTGATCTATTTGATAAAGACATTCAAATCAACGGTTGGTTGATTAATCTCGTGTTTTATTATTAAGCAGAGTGTAAGTGTTTAAGTTTGACACCTGGTATTGACGGATCATAATATTTCTCCTCTTTCATCTTTTCTGTGCCAATAGACAATTTTGCTAACTCTGCTTTTGACTGCACAGGACTGGGGCTGTTGGTCTTCTTAGAAATTGTCCATTCATATGCAGCAGCAGATGAGATGGTTGGATTATCAATGTTTGATGGATCTAATGACTGTTTTTTTCATTCTGGTACCTGTTCATGCTGCTGGAACCTCTTTATTTAGTCACATGCAAGTTGGTTTTTTTTTCCTTGCCATCCTAATATTAATCTGCCAGTCTGACTTGACATCAATTATTAATCCATGAATGATGTCTCCTATGTTATCTTGATGTCTGTTCTTTATATTAAATTCATCTCTGCAAAGTTATTGAAATACATATTACTACAACACTATCCTCAAAATGGTTTTTTTATTTATATCTCATTGAATTCTTTCTGTTTTTGTAAATTGTTTTGTCGTGTTTTGATGTTTGCTGTAGCTCTATTGCTTGTGAAATGTTATCTACGTTTTTTTAAAAGTATTTTTCTGACTTTTAATGCCATACAGCCTATTATGTTGATTTTAGCATTCCTTGTTGAATAGGTAAACGAGGGCAACACAAATTTTGGGGAACCAAAATGTTCAAATATGGTGACCTTGATGTTTTGCATTTCCTTCTATCAAACTTGAGCTGGTATATGCAATTGCAAGGCAAAGAAAAGTTTTATTTGCGTCTTTGAGTCAATTTCTCTATCTGATAAGTCTATTGGTTTTTTTTTTTTTATACAGAACTGTGATTTTGTTTTTGTTATTTGTTTATTACTTTTTCTTGCTTCAGCATTTGGCAGGAGGTGTTGGTAGTATATGGTTACTTACTCATCAAATGATGTCTGAACAGGTGGATTGTGGAGTATCAAATTGATGGTTTTCAGTTCCATTCAGTTTCATCTATGATGTATACTCACAATGGTTTTGCTTCTTTTACTGGCAACTTGGAGGAGTAAGGCCTTTTCCAAAGTTTATTTCTTCTTATAGATAAATACTTTTTAGTTTCAGTTGGGTTTTACAAAGATATTTTAGTTCCAAGACATCTCTTGAATCCTTAGGTTGTTGTGAAGGCTTTAAGGTTCTTAAAGGTTTCCTGTATCATTGACAACTTTTGTTTGTTTCTCCTTGTGATACAATTTGAAATTTCAAAATTTCAAGTTAACTGAATTGTATTGGTTATATTGCTTTTAAAATAGGATACAAAATGACATTGAAAACTATATAGATTACAAATGCTAGTTTCGTTCAGGTACTGCAACCAATATGTTGACAAGGATGCACTATTATATCTTATCTTGGCCAACGAGATACTACATGTTCTATACCCAAATATTATCACAATAGCAGAAGATGTAAGTATTTTTGTTCTTTTCAATTATTTAGAATCTTACACACTATGCATACTTATGTGCATAGCTCCTCTTGAAAAGTGAACAGAAAAAAAGCAAATAGGCCATTTATTGTGAATTTGAACTATGTGCATGCTTCCAAACTGCTAGCTGGTTTGATGCTAAACAGCCATTATCCTCTTTCCTTCACTTAACTCTTGTGTGTTATGTTTGAATCCATTATTGTTCAGGCAACATTTTATCCTGGATTATGTGAGCCAACTTCTCAAGGTGGATTGGGATTTGATTACTTTGTCAACCTTTCTGTGCCTGATATGTGGTCAACTTTTCTTGAGAGTGTTCCTGATCATGAATGGAGCATGACTAAGGTTGTACTTGATATCATTCCTTCAAATAAATCAAATGTTTGGGTTGGTCCTGTTAGTCATTTTTTTTGTTAAATTCTTTAGTTTCATTGTTGTTACTTCTAATGCTGTAGATTGTTAACACATTAATTTCCAATAGAGAATATGCTGATAAGATGCTTATGTACGCTGAAAATCACAACCAGGTAACCTATCCTTTTTCAATTTCTAGAACAATGAGATTTATTTATTGGATATTGTTTTAAATGTAGTTTTTTCTTATCTTGATGACAGTCCATATCAGGAAGGCAGTCATTTGCAGAAATATTGTTTGGAGAAATAGATGAGAACTCACATAACTACAAGGAATCTTTATTGAGGGGATCTTCATTACATAAAGTATACTGTTCAATACACCTTAAATTTGTTATTTAGAAATAAAAGAAGTATTGGTAATTGTGCTGTAAATTTTGGCATAAATAATTATGCAAGTTCTGTTTTTGAATTTTATTTCCAAAATTTCTTCCTCCCTTTTCAAAATAAAAAATAACATGCTTTTGGTATAGAAATAACATGTAAGGTGGCTTTTCCGTTCAATTTTACCACTTTTTATTAATTTCTTGGCTTTTGGGCTAGATGATTAGATTGATCACGTTGACAATTGGTGGTCGTGCCTATCTGAACTTCATGGGCAATGAATTTGGGCATCCAAAGGTGAGGATTACTTGCATTAAATATGCATATCTACTTCCTTGTCTGTAACTGATAATGTGTTATTGTTTCACCTGTGCCAGAGAGTCGAGTTCCCAACGTCAAGCAACAACAACTCGTATTCTCTTGCTAATCGTCAGTGGGATCTTTTGGCTAAAGATGGTGTTCACCGTGATTTATTTTCATTTGATAAGGTATTAATTTGGTCTCTTGGTATAAAAGCTGTGTTCTTGGAAATTAATTGGGATATTGAACTGGTCAGATCTTGAATGCATCAATTTATATAGTGTTTGGAGTTTGCTAATTATTTTTTCTCCATATACTGCTAGCAATTAGTTGAATTCAATCTTTGTTTATCATATTTGACTTGCAGCTGCCTTTCAGATTCAGACTTCACATTTGTGACGGGCTGCCTGTAAGCAAACAGAGAATATCAAAATGCTTAGTAATGAAATTACTTGTCCCCTTCTTTTCAGGACATGATGAAGCTGGATGAAAATGTGAGAGTACTCTCACGAGGTTTTCCAAACATTCACCATGTGAATGACAGTTCAATGGTATATTGAATTTTTTTAATTCCTTTCTCTCCTTTTAGATAATTGGTGTAATTTTATTTCTGCCATATTCATTGATAGTTTAATGGTCTATTCACTCTGTTGTGTGGAGCTGTTGGCCCAAATGACCAGTTAATGGATTTGATGGAGAGGCCCATAGCATGGAGGGTGTATGTGAGAAAGAAAAAGAGTTAGAGGGTAGAAAAGGAAACGTAAGGTATGAGTTGGTTACGGGAGAAAAGAGTATATGGTGTATGGGGGAGAGTTACTGGGGGATAGGCTGAGATTTTGTTTCATTTGTCATGGAAATCTTGTAGGAGCCTTAGGCTCTGGTGATCACTGTTGTGTTTGTTTTCTACCATTAAATTCTGTAATACACTGTCTTTTTTTTATTGAATTTCTATCATATTGTATGCCCTTCATTTGTTAGATGATCATCATGCATTGCTTTCTTCTGTTTATAGATACGTCCATTACGAACCTGACATATTTGTATTATATATTTGAAGTGGTTTATTATACCATGCCACCTGTTGTCATTTAATGTATGTAGTAATTGACACTTTCATTATTTGCAGGTTATATCTTACATCAGAGGCCCCCTTCTCTTTATTTTCAATTTTCATCCAACAGATTCTTATGATAGTTACAGCATAGGTGTAGAAGAAGCTGGGGAATATCAAGTAAGTGTCAGATCATCATGAAATTTGTACTATTTATTTAATTTTATCTTTTCTTTTCCATGCACTGGTTTCCTAGCTTAATTTAATCTGTCTGATTGCAAAGCTTTTAAGCATTTGGTTTTACCCTTTGAAGGGATAACTAATTTTTGTTGGCACAGAATATCCTGAACACAGATGAAATAAAGTATGGAGGTCAAGGGAGCCTTAAAGAAGACAAGTATTTTCTAAAAACTATCAGCAGAAGGTAGTCATACTTATTGAATCTCATTACCTTCTATCTTTTGTTTGCTCTTTGTTAAAGGGGATACTGTTGGAGGAGAGATCTCTCTCCTTTGTTCCATCAATTCGTTCCATTAAATCTTTCTTTTCTCCTTCTTGAATCTCTTCTCTGTTGTTATTGTATTATTTTTTGTCTTTGATGTGTGCTAAATATGTATTGACAGAGTTGATGGCCTTCGAAACTGCTTAGAGGTGTCTCTCCCCAGCAGAACTGCTCAGGTTGGTATTTTTGTTGCAACTGTTACATATTAGTATATTACCAAGGACCATATATCTGCATGGTTATGTGAAGAAAGCAGTGAAAGATATCTAAGTCACTCATCTAGGTTCTCTCTAGCATGTATTCAATATCAACAACTATCTCACCAATAAGAAAAAAAAAAAAAACTAATCACATCACATTTTCTTGAGACACTATCCTTTTGGTAAAAAGAAATTGTTCTCTTTTTGTTGTGTGGACTCATACAAGCTTCAAAAAGTCAGCTTGGTTTCTCCTTGAAATTTTGAGGGAAAATTAAAGGAATGACTTTTTCATTCAATTTTTTTATATAAACCCTGTCCTTTGAAATTTTCACCAATTTTTTAACCAGATTTCTGAAAGTTTAGTTTTTGACTAAGTTCAATGGCGTCATGTGAACATGAAACCAACTTCATTTAGTGAGATAAGGCTAAGTTTGTTGTTTTGTTTATAGGGACACCAAACTGATACTTAGTAATGATTTCCCAACAACTTGGCCACAATTTTGATCCCAAAAGCCAACTCCTGCAGTTTGCTGTCATTTTATCCATAATAAATATATGGATTCAAAGGGTTGTGATTTCTGAAGCTCAAAGTTTGTGCATAATATGGATATAATATGGCAGTTAATTAAATTTTATGATGTTATTATAGGAGGAATATGAAGCAAATAATGATAGTTTCAATTTATACGTGTGTTGTATGGACAACAGAAATAGATAGAACCATATCTACATTTCAGCACTCAAGTTCCTCCTTTCCAAGTTAATAAAATCTGTTCATTTTTATAAATATAAGTTGATCTATATTACTCCTAGGATTACTCCCTGCGAAACTTATCTATATCACAGACCTTCAATCAAATATTATGCACAGATTTTTTTGAAGCGTATGTATATCTTTTCAGGTTTACAAGTTAAGGCGTATTTTGAGGATATGAGGCACATTGAACTTGATGACATTTTACTATTGACACCTCTTGGTATGTCTAGCAACGTAAGAAAAATGAAAAGGTTAATATGATCTTCAATATACCTATGTACAATGAAAGGGTAGATGTTAATTGAACGGCTGATAGTGAACCACTTTCCAAGGTTAAACACAGGTGCTTCACTGGTTATACTATCATCTTTCTGAAAGCTTTCAGTCAAGTGCTAATGGATCCTAGATTTATGAAGATGTAAGATACTGAAATATGGCACTGCAGGTTGTAGTTGTATAAAGCCATGATGATGCTTGTAGACCCTGCTGATCCATATACCACAAATGTGCTAGATTCTGTGCAAAGAGAGAGGTTGTTTTTATAAGGAGGAACTTATAGGATAGGATTTTTATTTTTTATTTTTAAGTTCTACATTATATTCATATGAGGAGAAACTTATAGGATTGGAATTTTTTAGTTTTTATATTAAGTTCTACATTATTTTTTATTTTTAAGTTCTACATTAACTAAAGTCACTGGTTGCACTGGACTCAATTGTTGATTTCTTGCACCTTAAGCTACAGTTATACCTGAATTGTCTGTATATTTTAGTCTAATTATGCCACAGGCAAAACTAAATTTCCTACATGAAAGGAGATTAAATTAATTAGAAGTTGAAAATTGCTAATAAGGTTTCTTCCCAAAGATGAAGATAACATTTGAAAAATGTAATAAATTTATTTTTATGAAAAAAGTTAAATTTCTGTGTGTTACTGCTATTATATGTTACAAGAAAGTGGTCGGTGAATATTTAAATTGAAACGAAAGATTTTATACTTTAATTGTTTTTAAATTACTGTCAAAATTAATATTTTTTATAAATTAAAAATATCTCATTTTCATATTTAAAATTAGTCATTTTTAAAAAATAGAAAAATATTTTCTTCTCAAAATAAAATTTTTCTTTTCAAATATTAAAAATGTTCTTCATAATTTTTAAATACAATCTATAAAAAAAATTATCTACTTTTAAAACATTAAATGGACATTTTCTCTCGATGGTTAAAAATGTTTCCTTTCTAAATTTAAAGAATTTTAAAAATTAAAAATATTTTTAAATAAATATTTTTTGGAAATTTGAAAAGGTATATCTTTTCTATCATCTTAAATAATAAATAAATATCTACATCATAAGTTTAAAATTATATTTTTTTAAAGAATAAAAAATATTTTTCAAATAAAAAATGATATACAATTTTCTTTTAAATTATCTGTTAAATTTGTCTGTGATTAAAATTTGGTGACTAAATATATATAAAAAATTAACCACCAAATTAGTCATCAAATTTTAACCACTAAATTTTTTTTGACTAATTTAATATTTTAATTTTTAACCTTTTAATTAGTTATTGATTAGTCATCAAATTTTAACAATTAAATAATTAAATGACTAAAACTGGTCGTTAATTTTTTATATTTTTATTATTATAAATATTATCGGTCATTAATACAGTTGTTATTATTATCATTTATTATCATTTTTTTAAAACATAAAAGATAAATGTCATTAATTTTTTTATTTTTTTTATAACATTGATTATGAAATAATAAATAGTTGATTATTCTGCCTATTTGGAAAAAATAAATGACATTCACGGTTATTCCTCGACCACTTATAATAAATGCGTAAAATACGTAAGAATGAGGTAAAAAAAAAATAACGTAATTAAAAAGATATTAGCTTTTATTATCTTAAATTTCTAAAAAGGCAAATAAACAGAAATAATATTTTAGCAGAAGTAACCAAATAAAAAGAAATAAAAAATGTACAACAGAGCAATGAATTATCATAAAATAAAATTGCATTAATGATTACTTTTGTCAAAATGTATTGAATGTCGTAATTATTCAAAAGTTTTTTGTTTTATAATTTCAATATACATTTATTGCTCCGTATTTTGTGCCTTAAAATTATTAACTAGTACAACTCACTTCATAAATTTTTATATAAAAATCTTATCTAAATGTATCCATTTATATTAAATAAGCATAATATAATAGTTTTTTTTTAAAGGATATTAATTAGACGCTATTTTTTTATGAAATAATAATACACTGTTTAACACTATATTTTCAATACTTTCTCAGTTATCAAATAAAATATCCATCATGAAATTTTATCAAATAATAATATATAATTTCAGTACATGTAAGCACCCACCCTTGCAGTGTTTATTAGTAATAAAAGAAGACATTTATTAACTAAAAATATAAAATATTAAACCGGTTTTTAAGATATTCAAATTATTTAATAAAAATGTATTAAATGTTTATGAATCAATATATGTACAATTGGTTTAATAATACATTTTTCATTTAATGAATATAAAAGTTAAGGTTTTCCCCTATTAATTAATTTTTGTCATGTCATAGAAAAAAATATAAAAATAATTATAGTAAAACCCATTATTATGTGTACAAGTTTTAAGGTGATAAGATAATGCTTTAGTCAAAGATCCTAACTCAAAGTGATTAATAGAAACTGAAACTCTAACTTACCACCTATATTAAATTCATACAATTTTTATTAATTTTATTTTTATAATCTTACTTATAAATATCCTAAGATCTAATATATAACTCTTTCAAACACCTAAGAGAAACTAAACCCTTAAAAAAAAAGCATAAATTATTATAAGATCACCTTATACATTTACATAACATCATCTTCATTTGTATAAATGCTATGTTTTTTCTATCTTATATACATTAGTTAAAAGGGAAAAAGAAAAAACTTTACTTAAAACAAAATAATTTATTTACAACAAAATTATAAAAATTATTCCATACACTTTTTCTAATATTTATACTCTTAACTTCACAAGTATTGATAATCAGTGTCTTGAAGATATTGATTAAAAAAATTAACGAATTATAATTTTATTAAAAATTGTATTAAGATTTATTAAAAATCATTTAAGTGGTTAGCAATTTCTTTTATAACTTATTTACTCAATATAATAAAAAAAAATTGTAATTTTTATCTCTTTGATTTTTTTACTTAAATCACACAAATTAAGAAGTATTGTTAAAAATAGTTAATATATTAATTTTTTTTAAAATATAACATTCAAAATTTATCCTTTTTTAATAGTCAAACTTTTTCATTACCTCATTTTTTATGTAAAAAAACAACTACCAATATTTTTTGTTTTAATTGTAAAAATAAAAAATACATCTCAAAGACATTAATTATTAAATTCTCTTTACACTTTTATTTATTATAAAATTTAAGTTAATGCGACATTTACCTATTACTCGTGCAGGTGAATATATTTATTATTTAATATAAAATTTATTAACTAAATTATTTAATATTATAATTATTTTTAAAACATAATACATAGTAATGACATGTTACTATTTTTTTTTTAATTTTGATGATTTATTTATTTATTATAAATAAAATCAAAGATAACATCATATTAAATGCTAAAAAATTCAAATATATGAAAAACAATAAATACTTTTAAAATTTATCTTTTTTTATATTAAAAAATTATAAAAAATATTAAAAAAAGAAGAGTGTTATTAACACACTTTTCCTAACATATTCTCAATTATCAAACTCTATATATAAATTGCAAAAACTAATTTTTGAACAAGGTTGATTAAAAAAAAAATTTAAGAGTGTTTTTAAGTGATAGTACTTTTGGATAATTTTTTATATAATGTATTTATTTTTAAAATTTAATATTATTTAAAATTTTAGTAATTTTTCAATATTTAATATCATTTCTCATGAAAATTCCTTAACTGAACATATGAATTTCAATATAATTATATCATATATAAATACTTAAAATAAGAGTTTTTCTGTCATTAATAATATTTTTCTCACTGAAATAAGTGTTTTTCTGTCATAAGAGCATCTGAAGTGCTTGAAACACGCACGAACGGAAGGAAGAGTTATAAGTGCATTGAGTTTGCATGAAAGGCACGTGTCTCTTCCCAACGCAAAACGGTAGCAGAAGCCAAACTCATATTCTTACGGTGTCTTTGGGTGCGTTGTGTTGTCTTTAAAACGAAGAAAGAAAAAAATACAACAAACCAAACTGAGTCACTCTGTGAAAACCAGAAACCCAACTCACTCCTCAAATGACCAATTTGCCCCAGTCGCTGTCTATGGGCGCTGCCTTCGGCGCCGGCGCTCCTCCGCCGCCCTCGCCCAATGCTTCCTCCGCCCAAGGCTCCGCCGCTACCAAGGATCGCAAGATGGCTTCGGCGGAGCAGCTTGTTCTCGAGCTCAGTAACCCTGAACTCCGTGAAAATGCTCTTCTCGAACTCTCTAAGGTGAATCATAACTTTTCCTCTTTCTCTTTCTCGTTTTAGTTTCGGTTTTTCCCTCGGTTGAATTGGTGTCAGGGTGAATTGAACAACTGCGATTAGTGTTTGTGGAAATTTGATGGAAATGGAAACTGAAGACTTTTTTGTTTTTATGAATATGTGGTTAGGGTTTTGTTAATTAATTTATGAATTTGTTTAATTGCTTATTTGTGTGAATATGTATATTGAAACTTTTTTATTTTTAGTTTTCATATGTTAAATTAATCGATCAGATATGGTGCTGATGGCGTGTTTACTGTTATTAGGCTTGCTATGTGTGTAGAGAGTTAGATAGCTTTTTTCTTAATTTCTGTGTGGCTGTTCTGTGCTTATTGAAGAGAAGCTTTGGTTCCCTTGTTTGTTGCTTCTTTCTCTTATATTTTTTTGTCATTATTTTTTTGTTTTCCTCTTCGAGAGAAAAGTAGAAAGAAGTGAGTCGATTTCTATGTGTTCGAGTGGTGTGGGTGAGAATTGGTTTCATGGCTTTGGCATGTGTGTTGTTATTACTTACTTTTGTTAAATTCTGCGACATGTGAATGGTATGACTACCATTTGTTGGTGGTGATTCAGTTCTTTAGTTTTGTTTTTACCTTCTAAAAGTAAGCAGAATTTTGCGCATATTTACCGGATTTGCTCCTTTACTCCGTTGTCTCATGTACTGATTTCCGGGCTGTTGTTAGATTGCTGTACTTTAGTGATCTGGAATATGATCTGGATTGCCAAAGTTGGAAAACTTCAAAGGAAACTAGATAAAAGACAACAGTAGAAAATAACTGGTGTCTTAGAAACCGGACCGACTGGCCTTTTGCCAGATTCGCTTCTTTACTCTGTTGTCTCATGTACTGATTTGCCGGTCGGTGCCAGATTTCTGTACTTTAGTGATCCGGAATATGATCTGGATTGCCAAAGTTGGAAAACTTTAAAGGAAACTAGATAAAAGACAACAGTAGAAAATAACTGGTGTCTTAGAAACCGGACCGACTGGCCTTTTGCCAGATTCGCTTCTTTACTCTGTTGTCTCATGTACTGATTTGCCGGTCGGTGCCAGATTTCTGTACTTTAGTGATCCGGAATATGATCTGGATTGCCAAAGTTGGAAAACTTTAAAGGAAACTAGATAAAAGACAACAGTAGAAAATAACTGGTGTCTTAGAAACCGGACCGACTGGCCTTTTGCCAGATTCGCTTCTTTACTCTGTTGTCTCATGTACTGATTTGCCGGTCGGTGCCAGATTTCTGTACTTTAGTGATCCGGAATATGATCTGGATTGCCAAAGTTGGAAAACTTAAAGAAAAATATATAAAAGACAACGGTTGAAAATGACTGGTGTTAGAAAAACCGGACCGAGAAACCGGTCCTTTTGCCAGATTCACTCCTTTACTCTACTGTCTCATGTACGGATTTTCGGGCAGTTGCCAGATTGCTGAGCTTTAGTGATCTAGAATATGATCTGGATTGCCAAAGTTGGAAACTTACTTAAAGAAAACTCAATAAAAGACAACAATTGAAAATGACTGGTGTTGTAAAAGTCTGACCGAGGAACCGGACCTTTTGCCAGATTCGCTCCTTTACTCTGTTGTCTCATGTACTGATTTTCGGTCAGTTGCCAGTTTGCTGTACTTTAGTGATCTAGAATATGATCTGGATTGCCAAAGTTGGAAACTTACTTAAAGAAAACTCGATAAAAGACAACAATTGAAAATGACTGGTGTTGTAAAAGCCTGACCGAGGAACTGGACCTTTTGCCAGATTCGCTCCTTTACTCTGTTGTCTCATGTACTGATTTTCAGTCGGTTGCCAGATTGCTGTACTTTAGTGATCTAGAATATGATCTGGATTGCCAAAGTAGGAAAACTTAAAGCAAAATAGATAAAAGACAATAGTTGCAAATGACTAGTGTTGTAAACTGGACTGAGGAACTGGTCCTTTTGCCAGTCTGGTCACACCTTCAAAACTGAAAGGGAAAACCTTGGAGGTTGTTTGGTCTATGAAAACATTTTCTATTTTCATTCTTCATTTTCGCTTCCACAAAACTATTTTCAATTTCAGATTTTGAAAATTTGAAAGCATGTTTGTATTTTGCATTTTCTTTTAACCTCATCCCCAATTATTCTTGTTAAGATGAGAGAAAACGAGAAGGTATGAGAGGAATTCTTTGTGTTTTAATTTTACTACGGGATGTATATTCATATTAATGATGGTAATAATAATCATAGTTACAAAATTTAAAACAAATATACTGTCACCGAATTACTATAATTATATGAATATTATTTTCCTAAATAACATATTTACATATTTTTAACACTCTCTTTCAAGCTGGAGCATATAAATTATATGTACTAAGCTTGTCACATATGTACTTAATATAAAGACTCCTTACAGACTTCGTGAATGCGTCTGTGAATTGATCATTTGAATTGACAAAACTTGTGGCAATAATTTTAGATAAGATCTTTTCACAAAGGAAGTGACAATCAATTTTAATATGGTTCATTCGATCATGAAAGACTAAATTCAAGGCAATGTATAAGGCTGGTTATCACAAATGAGTGTTATTTGTATATCTTCTTTAAATCTCAATTCTATAAGTAGTTGTTTCAGCCATATAAGTTCACATGTGGTTGAAGTCATAACTCGATATTCTGTTTCTGTACTAGAAAGAGAAACCATATTTTGCTTCTTACTTTTCCAAGAAATTAGATTATCTCCCATCAAAATATAATAGCCAGAAATGGACCTCCTATTATGAGAGCCGGCATAACCTGCATTAAAATATCCAATAATTTTATCATGACCTTTGTCCTCGTAGATGAGCTTTTTCCTGTAACCTTTGATATACTTCAAAATGCGAATCAATGCATCTCAATGTCTTTCACATGGAGCATTGAGAGAACCAGAAGAACATGTTAGGGTTTCCTCCTTATTGGGTTCTTGATACCATGTTAAGATGAGAGAAAGGGGAATTTCGTGTTTTTAATTACACCACGGGATGTATATTTATGTTAATAATAGTAATAATCATAGCTACAAAATTAAGAACAAATATACAGTTACCTAATTACTATAATTACATGGATAATATTTTTTTAAATAACATATTTACATATATTTGATAATTTGAACCATGTTGCGTACATTGATGATGGTGGTGTCAAACTTCCAATGGTGGAAGTGTGACTTGGTGATGAGTTTGATGGATGATGGTTATGGTTCGAGCATGGTTGTTGATTTCTGCTGGTAGTGATGGGATTGCTTGTCTTGGTGGTTCAGACAAGTAGTTCAATAGACTTCGCCAATGATGGCAAGTCACACAATGGCTGAGCAAGAAATTCCAACATCTACCCAACAGATTCAAATGGCATCTAATGTGAGTTCAGAAACAATGTCGTCTTGCCTGCAACACAAGCTCTGGTCTTCATCCATTATCAGCTGGTATACCATAGTTTCTAATGGGTTCTGCAATCAGCTCAGAAATGGTGTGGTTCTAGTATGGTGGTTGTCCGAAGTTTCTGTATCTCCATCATCTCACCAAGACCACCTCTTGTTCTGCTTCCCATGTTTGTCCCACAAAACCCAGGTTCCATTTTTCTCCCAAATGGAATGGCAACAATTTCCACTCCAGCTTCTTTCTTGTGGAAAAACAGCAGTGGTGTCAGGATGCATTTTGTCAATTCAAATCTGTTGGGGCTGATGGTGACATTTATGGAGAGATAGTGCGAATAGTTTTGGGTGGGGAAGAAATGAAAGTATACAAATTTTCAAAATTGCCACCACATGATGATTGGAAACGCAGGAAACGCTTTCTTTTTGCTTTCACTATATCCAAAAATGGTGAAATCATTTCTTAAAATTTAAAATGAAAATATCTTAACAAACATTTTTTCTTTATTATTTTCTATTTTCAATGAAAATGATAAAAACAAACAGGCCAACCTGTACAAACTGGATTCAGTTTTCAGGTTTTGACTGTTATGGCTCTTCTCCTTCACAAGGTTCTCCATATTGTTTATCAGCCTTTGGTAATGTTGGGTATAGGGGAGTGTTTTAGGTAGAGAGCCTCACAAGGGGTAGGACACCATAATACAACCCCAAAACCTTAAGGCAATGGGTGCATGAGTCCATCTCCTTAAAGATCCTTAACTTGCTCATATCTCATTCCATGTGAGACTAATTCATACTTGACTCTAACATTCTCCTTCAAGTGTGAACCTATCTATTCATATCAGCTCCCTCTTTAGTGGAAATTTCTTTCATCCACGAGTATTCATGGTCTACACTAGAGCAAGTCTTGCTCTCTTCTATGTGAGCTACCGTCCATTCAACGACATTTTTTGAGCTTCACACTGTCCACACGTGGGTGCTACCAGCTCTCTACTAAGGCTCATCTAGTGTCATCGTTTCCTTTGTGGTGTATTTTCACACTGACCATAGGTGCCATACCATTGACACTCTTTGCCGTAGTTCATTTACTCGTCTTAGCTGATCATCTGGATTGACCTAACTCTAATACCACTGTTGGGTATAGAAAAATTTTTTAGGTAGAGAGTCTCACAAGGGCTAGTATATCACAATGCAACTCCAAAACCTTAGGGTAATGGATGCATGAGTCCATCTCCTTAAAGACCCTTAACTTGCCCATATCTCATTCCATGTCAAACTAATTCACACTTGACTGCAATAGATAAAAAATCTGTTAGGTTGAAAGAATGGAGAGTCATTATTTTATTGGAACAATGTCAGCCTGAAAGGGTAATAATCTGAGTAGAAGCAGGCAGGCTGGATGGAAGCACTAGGGGAGGGGATGGTGGTCTAGTGGAAGTTCAATACCCCACTCTTAAAGATTAGGGTTGGAACCAATTGAGCTTCAAGCTATTGGTATTCTATGATAGGTATAAGGTAGAGTAAATTCATGGAGAGAAAATTGAACAGTTAAAAGGTAAAGTTGACTTGTGAGTTATTATTGCTTTACACCATATATAGAATAACAGAGTGGAAAATTCCTAAGGCCTAATTCAGTAATGGTCTGTTAAAGTATGTGGTTTATGATTAGTTATATATAGCAATAAATAGTTTTTTGTTATAAAAAAATATTATGACTTTTTTTCACACTTTTGATAATTTTTAAGTTTGGCCTATATGAACAAAATTTTAGTTGGTTGAAATGTCGAATCTCAAAACTTACCCCCAGCAGTATGTTCAAAGGTGAAGGCTAGCAAGATGTCATTGACTAAGGGTGAGAGTGGGTAATGAATTCATCCACAACCAATCGAACCCATTCCCACCCAATGGGGGGGAAAATTGGTTCATGATGGGAGGGGAGATCAAGCCTGGTCTATGATGGGTTGAGTCCTAGGTTAGAGAATTTTAAAGCCAACCAACCCAACCAGATATATAATTTTAATCTTTTTTATTCACTTTTGTTTTTTTTATATTTTTAAGTAAATTTAATTTTTAAAAATTATAGTCATGCCCCCAACATAATGACCCCAACCTGAACCACTTGAATTTGATTGGGTTGGTTAGGGTTGCCCAAAATAATTTCCCAAACCCAAAATGAACATTTTTAATTAGTTTGGATTTACTTTCCCTCAAACTCAACCCAATCTGGTTACACACCTATTGCTAGTGAGAATTTCAGTCATAGACTATTGGTAGAGAGACAAAGCAGTTTTTACAAACTAGAAGACACTTTTTTTTTTTGTCATGATTGATCTAATGGTCTATGTGCCCCCAACTAAAAATATGCCTTTACTTCATGCATTGGATCTCCTCCTCCTCCTCTAGTAAAACACCTCGGCATAATCAGAAATACCATGATGGAAACTCAAACAATTATGATTGTTTAGGAGAGAAAGTGTATGTGAAACACTTAAAAAGTATTGTCAAAAAATTATATGTATTTCTCTCACAAGAGTAATTTGTAATTTGCATATAATTTATATCATATTTTAAACATTATTTGTTCCATTTCAAATACAAGATGGTGGGATAATATAAGGCTAGGTTCAAATAGGCTTTGAGTTCATGCTGTGTTGAACTTGGGTTCAAATTTGAAATATTAGAAATAAAACCCAAGCAGAATGCTAGGTTCAAAATAGGCTGAGTTCATGCTGTGTTGAACTTGGGTTCACAGCAGCTTTGATCAATTAGCAGGAGATGGGTTCATCATAGCTTCAATTGATTTGCAAAAGCTAGGTTCCAGACAGCTGGACCGTGGGTAAGCTGGGTTTGTGATGGCTGGATGCTGGGTTCACGAGGGATTTGTGTTCTTCACAACTTTCTTTGAATTTCATTATCAACTGTATGATAGGGTTTCTTAGCAATTTAGTTGTTTTGGCAATTTGGGGAAGATATTAGATCCCCATTAAGACCTGTTCTCCTACAGCTAAATTTCCAATTTTTTGTGCAAGTTTGATCAATTCTACTTGAGTCTATGATGAAATGAGTCTGTGCTTTGTAGGTGAGTTAACTTGTGAGTTTAACAATCATGGCTACCATTTCACTTCAATTCTTTCTTTATTTTTTTATGCGCTGACTACTGTTTACAAGCTCTTGTCTGGTTTTAGATTTAGTATTGCAATTATATCGTGATTTGGCTTTTCTTGCTATTGTTTGGTATTGCTTAAGTACTTGTATCTCAGAGTTCTTTTTATTTCATGTTTTTTTTTTATGGTACTTTAGAAAAGAGAGCTGTTTCAAGATCTTGCTCCATTGTTATGGAATTCATTTGGTACTATTGCCGCACTTTTGCAGGTATGCTATCTGACTTGCATTACATATTCCTTGTCTCTAGTGTTTCGCATAGTTTTCTTTATTTAATCTTTAGTGTGAACTTTTACTTAATTTTTATGATTTTGATGTTATACATTTCTCTTTTATCTTTATGCTTTAATTACCTACCAATCCATTATTATCTGTTATAGCTTTTGACAAGATGATGTCTTACTTACTTTCAACTATTTTCCTTTGTAAACCAAATTTCTGTCATCATAATTTGTCAAAAAACTGACAGGATGATGATGGGGAGTTTGAAATAAATGGTAATGGAGTGATTTAATTTAATACTTGTTTAAAACCATTAATACTAAAAATTTGTCGTAATACATAAGCCAGTCATTCTCTTGGAAATTAGTGACCTTTTAGTCACTCCTCATACTCTGCATACTCCACTTGTAGTTGCTCCTTATTTAAATTTTGTTTTATATTTGATAGTCTGAGCATGCTATGTACACTACACCTTTATGGGCTATTTGGTTTAAAAAAATATTTTTCATTTTCAATTTCTGTTTCAATTTTAATAACAAAAACGTTATGTTGTTTCCATTTTATTTTATTTTTCAAATATTTGTATAGGAAACAATGAAGACAACTTTTATTGTTTTGATTGTTTTCTATACAATTTTTCTAAAACGGGAAACAAATTAAAGAAAAAGGTTCCATTTTTGTGATTAAAAGTGAAAACGAAACATTTTTCAAACCAAACAGCCCTTTGTTTCTCCAAATTTAATTTGTATTGATATTTTATTTTTTATGCATTATCCTCAAATAAACTATCTCATTTCATTCTTTAAGCATTGGATTTTATTAGGTAGTTGTTTTCCAATATAAAGTTTTCTCTCAATTGTCCTCCACTTAGGAGAATTTGGTACTTTATTTTGTTTCAGGAAATAGTTTCAATATATCCTGTTCTTTCTCCACCAAATCTTACCCCCGCACAATCAAATCGAGTGTGCAATGCTCTTGCTCTTCTTCAGGTTAGATAACTTTGTCCGATTGAAGTTTTGTCCAGTATTTTACTGTGACATTCATTTTATTTGTTGATGAATATGTTCCTTATATGACTTGTACTTTAGATCACCAAACTATGCAATTGAAATTTTAAATGTTTTGTAATAAATAATTAATAAAAATGTCAAGGAGGCAAGACAGTTGAGATATAGTATAGACAAGACAGGATTATGAATGAATGCAATGGAGAGGAAGTTGAGGTAACATCTAATGTAGAGAGAATGGTAGAAATCTTGCATTAGGTGGTTTGGGCATGTGGAGAAGACCTTTAGAGTTCTCAATAAGAAGAGTGGATTAGATGGAGGATAGCCCTATAACTAGGATGACTGAGAAAAACTTTAGGCAACCATTGAGGATTTAAAAGTCAATGATTTGTCTATAGACATGATTCACTATAGAACATAATAGTATCATTTGATCTATGTAGCCAACCCCGCCTAGTGGAAAAAGCTTGATTCTTGTAATGTCATAACCTAGATAAAAGCATACATACATACCAAAGTTGTTTGAACTTAACTGCACTCTAGTTCTAGTGCATTAGATTCTGTTACTTAAACTATGTGAACTGTGTGGTGGGCCAAAAGCTGTAAACTATTGCCTATAAGATAAAATTATATCTACATCCAACATGATTCTGAATCTGTGAATTATACATGACAAAAATTCTCTACGTAAGCATCGACGTTCACATATGCATCTGTCAAATACATTTATACCTACTGAAATCAAAAAGACTTTTAACAGAATATATTGTGCGAGTCAGGTGACTGTTTGATCCCTGCTTTTGTAAAATACAACCAAAGAGAAGATGACATTGATGAGCAGTGTTTTTTAAGTTTTTTATTGCTTAGGAAATGAACGAGCCATATATATTATTCTTTAAGTGTGATCTTTTTGTCTCCTTCTCTTCTTCCAAAACATGCTAAAATGAATCAGAAACTGATGCTGCTTTGTTTATTTTTTCCTTGTAATTTTCTTTCAGTGTGTAGCATCTCACCCTGACACAAGGATGCTATTCCTCAATGGTAATATCACTTTCCTCATTCTCTAAAGGACTCTTCACTTTTGTCTGATTTTGTACTTATAACCTTTGCATTATACATTCTGATTGTGGTAGAACTAGGAAGTTCGTAAAATAAGCATTTTCTGTTTGCTCAAGTTCTTTGGGAGATGCTATCAGCTCCTTTAGATTTGGTTGGCGCCATCTGGGTAAAGGTAATATGATGAATTGGAAACCTCTGGAAACAATAAGATCAAGATGAAAATGGGTGTAATATGATATAGACCATGTGAGCAAGATAAGAACTAAGAAGCAAACTGAGACTCAGTGGGCCTGAATTATTAGGGTTTGTGTCTTCAGGTAGTTCTTTGGGTATTTGTGGATTTGTATTGTTATTATTGTCTATATTTTTTTGTCTTTGTGCAGTTATTTAGGCAGTTATAAAATGGTGTGACAGTAGAAAAGGATGGGATATGAGAACTGGATAAAAATAGGATAGGAGAAGAGTACTATAGGTTCTTATCTTATTTTATGTTTGATGCATACCAAAATATCGAACTAAATATGTTATGTAATCTTATCCTGTTTATTTTTAAACCAAGCCCCTCCACTCATATGATAAAATTTACACTACAGAATGATAGAATAAAGTTATTGATTAAACAAACATTAAAAATAGGATAGATTAGAAAAAGTTATTCTATCCTATACCTTTATCCTATCCACAAACAAGCTAACCTAGAAGCATTTAGGTTGTATTACCTTATTTATATTGAATTAGGAGATTTCTTTGATGCAACTATATCCATTATGACTTCTGCTCTAAATAATAGAACATTAACTGTTTGATATTTCGTGCAACAAATTGTTGCACTTGCTTTTTCTCCTTTGCAGCTCATATACCTCTATATCTGTATCCCTTCCTTAATACAACAAGCAAATCAAGACCATTTGAGTACTTGAGGCTTACCAGTCTTGGTGTCATTGGTGCATTGGTGAAGGTACTTCCTTGCTGATTCTGTTGTTGGATGCAAATAGCTACAAGTAAAAAAAAATTCATGCGGCAATATTTGTGCGGCAAAAACTACATTTTTTATTTCTAAAGTATTGTCACAAAAAACCTGTCAAAAAGATTTATCAACAAAATCCTTGACCAATAAATCTATATATAATGGAACAGAAACCAACCTATTAGGATGAGTTCATCACTAATATAAAGCAACTAATTATAGTCCCCCCTATTTATGTTACACTACTGTCGTTCATACATCATCTGTGCCTGTGTTTTTGTTAATGATAACAATTTTTTCTGATTGATTTTATTTTCCAGGTTGATGATACAGAAGTTATAAGTTTCCTTCTTTCAACAGAGATAATTCCTCTGTGCTTGCGCACCATGGAAATGGGTAGTGAACTATCAAAAACAGTTGAGTTTATCGAATCTTTGTTTTTAGTCTTGCGTAAACTTTTGGAAATTGGACTCAAGTTTCTATTTCCTTCTTAATATTTATGAGCTACAATTCTCTGGTCTACGCTTCGTTGGCATTAATGCTTGCATTTTTTGTCTGATGGGCGTGTATGTGTGTGAAGCTATCTTGCTTCTGCCAATACAGTGCTAAACATACGTATGATTCATCTACTTATGCGTTTGTACATTGATTAATAGTAAATATCTCAATTCTTAACCACTATCATTTTCTAAAGCAGAGAGAGGTTCGAAGCTGCATCAATATGTCTTGTTGTTTCTGCAATTTCATTGAGATGAGACTTGAGAACCACTTTATCTTATTCTTCAACATTTGTATTGATTGGGAATTCAGTGTGGTGCTGCAGTGGTGTGGTGCTGGTGTAATGCAAGTGCTGGTGCTAGTACTTGTGCAACTGCACTAGCACTGTATCGTATCAGCAACTGTACTTGTGCAATCTATTAAAACTTGTTACAAATTTTCTTGCAAAAAAGGCCTAATTGCATTTTATTTTATTTTTGTTTGAAATGCATGTATGAATAGTGCTATATGTAGTTATGATATATCTGCTTATGCATTGGTACCTTGATTAATAGTAAAGAGAGCAGTTCCTAACCACTGTCATTTTCTAAACCAAAGATAGGTTCTTAACTGTGTTAATCTGTCTTCTTGTTTCTGCAATTTCATTGAGATGAGACTTGAGAGCCATTCTCTGTTATTCTTCAACATTTGGATGACTGTGAACTCAGTGCAGGGCTGGTGTGGTTTCTTTGCTCCAGCCCTGCACCGTACTAGCAACATACCAGCACCAAACCTCAAATTTATTGAACTTACAATTTTTTTTACATCAAATTTTTTATATGTATAATAGAACTTATTTATATTTTATAAAATTCCAAAAAATTGAAACTAACCGTCCTCTGACTTTTATTAGCATAAGATAAATTGACACATGAGCTGCTTACTAGAGGAGACTGCTTGTGTTATGAGATTCATGCTTTGCCTTTTGAATAATTTGCCTCAATTTAAGCTTTTAGCTATAGTCACCAGACTGTTTTAACTTTTCCCTGGATGTTTTTTCATCAAGATATAATTTGCACACTGGCATCCTGTACTGTATTATGGGTTCAAATACAATTCTTTATCGTTAAGCCAAATATTTGACATAGATTCACGGGTGTGTTGTGAATGTGGAAAGATCTTGTGTCCTGTGGATGTTGAGCTTCTTGATCATTTTAAATTGCCAATCTCAATCATCTATATGTATATTAAATAGAAATGGATCATGGATGTCTAATCAGAGCTCTACCAACACAGGTTGCAACATTTATTGTTCAAAAAATTCTGTTGGATGATGTGGGCTTGGACTACATTTGTACTACAGCTGAGCGCTTTTTTGCGGTAGGTCGAGTTTTGGGAAACATGGTGGCAGCTCTTGCTGAGCAACCCTCATCTCGTCTTTTGAAGCATATCATTCGATGCTATCTTCGCCTGTCTGATAATCCAAGGTTGGTTAGTGATTTGCAACTCAATGCTTGTTCCTTCTCCCCTTCCATCTTATTTGCTCTTGTCATGCTCTTTCCTTTCTTTTTAAGTTTCAAATGTCATCTCTATTTAAACTTTGGGGTCCGGTTAAAACAGGGCCTGTGATGCATTAAGAAGCTGTCTGCCCGACATGTTAAGAGATGCTACTTTCAGCAGTTGCCTTCGTGTAAGTACTTACAGTTCTCATGATATTAATAGCATACAAATTTGAATTAACCAATAGAATGGATGGCTAGATTAAAGAAAGGTTGATGAGAAAGGTAGTGAAGTGACTAGGCACATGTTTCAAAGAGCTTATGAAAAATAGCTTACGACTCCTATGAGCTGACATATTTTAATAAATTTTTTGATATATCTTATCAAAATAAATTATTTTCAGCTTATTTCAATAAGTTTCATTGTCAAATTTATGGCATAGCTCATCATTTAAAAAGCGCTTATTGAATAAATGTTTAAAGAAACTATCTATTCAAACACACCTTAGAAATGTTCATCCTATTCACCAAATCTGTAGCCAGAGATTTTCCATGATCTCAGAAGAATACTCATACTTTATTTTTACATTATCTGGTCTTTGTTGTACTTATTCAGGAAGACCCCACAACTAGGAGGTGGCTACAACAATTGCTTCACAATGTTGGAGTGAATCGTGTTCCTGCACTGCAAGCTGGAGGAGGTTTCGATCATATGATTGTGACCTGAGTATAAACTATAGATCATGCTTCATTGCTGGCCTTACCATCATCGCTTTTTGGGTCCTGTTATATTTATATTTCATGAAACTCGGGTGTTAAGAGGAAAAGGAAGGTTGTAATTATTGGTGCATGGAAACTAAAGACTTTCTTTTCTGTATTTTAATAATTTGTATGTAGCCAACTAGGTGGTTCTCTTTACCCCCTTGTATTTAAGACATTTATATGGTTTTTTCACCTTAATCAACTTTGAGTAGGTATATTATGGTATCAAATATTTCGATCGAGGCATTCATGAAAGGTGGCCTTTTATATTACTCCAACAAACGCGATCTTTATTTATTACCAATAAAGTTTGGAGTACCTTAGGGTAAAAATTAAGTGTTTATTCAATAATAGTTTTTTTTCCATTGAAAGACTTGTCAATTTTGCTATAAAATTTATTAAAATAAGTTAAATATAACTTATGAGTTATAAGCTATTTTTATAGATGCTTTATAATTTTATTTCAAATGTTCTATTGAGAGGTTTACAATAACTTTTTTTAAAGAAAAAACAACCTTAATAAGAGAAGTAATTTAATAAGTTCATTATAGAATTCTATGATTAGTTGCTGCCGTAATACTACTAGAGGTCTTTTGACAATCATCTAATTTGGTAATGGCTTCAATAAAGCCAATGAAGGGACACTTGATATATTCTTAAGCACATGTGGAGAAACTTTTATGTATACTTTTTTGTTGGGAATATTTGAGTGTACTGGTAGTATTATTCCGTGATGCTAAGGCCCTTCTAAGTAGTTTATCCCCTTTCCCTCTTTTAGGTGCTCACGCTTCCACTATTGAATGGAGGAATCAACCAAACTCTTAAAATGAATAATAGAAATAACTGTTAGGTGACAACTAAAGTTAGTTCAACTGAAATTAAGATATCCTTTTTAAATAAATTAAAATTTTAAATTGGCAATTTTTTTTTAATATTATTCAGTTTAATTATATATAATTGGTTGAATGAATTCAATCATTGTAGCAAGATATGTCGATCAGTCTCTAATTTCATTTTTAAAATATTAATGTTAAGTCTTAAAATATTGATGTTAAACTTTTGAATTAGGTGATTTCTCTTTGAATTACCATTGATTTATCTTACTTTGGAGACATTATGACCAAGACTAAATATATGAAACGTCCATAAAGCAAGAGATGTTCTCTTCTACAAGGCCACCACCTAAGAATATTTCCTGAAGCATGAATTAAAGGTGTATTTCCCCTTTTAGTCATGGGAATCCACAAAGGGACCATGATGTGCAAATGCATATCACTCGGCTAAAGAGGTAGTTGGTTAATTACAACACTAACTCCACTAATTCAAATATTAACCTAATACTTAGAATTAATTTGCCGACAACTCAAGCTTGTAAGCAATTTAATTTTTATTCACTTAAATAAAAATACTCATCAATATGTAATAAAATATTATTATTGAATATAATGCTTACTTACGTATTTAATCCTTATAAAAGTTATATAATTTAGATTTATTCTTATAAATTATTTTGTTAAAATATAATTCTTAATTTTTTTATAAACTATTATTTTAATCCTGATGTGTTCCAACAAGAAGCTAATACTCAACAATATTTCAATAAACCATATCAACTAGAGATAGTAAAAATAATAGTTTGTAAAAAAAAGTATAAATTATATCCTAGCAAAAATTGTAAGAATTAAGTCCAAATTGTACAACTTTTGTAAGGAAGATTTGTAAACTTATCCCATGAGTAAATAACTTTATCCTAGGTGGAATAATACATTTTTGGCTATAAAAAGTTAAATAAAAAATTGACATAATTTCTAAATTTTTAAGGTAATCTAATTAACTAGGGTTAACAAAATGCATTGAGGTACATGCTCACCTCAATAACCAAACTATTAATGTTTAACTTGTTTTGTGTCATTTGTGAGTAACAACAGTATTAAAAAACGACAAATCTTACGGCTACATGGAAAACACCCATAACTTGTACAAGATATGTTAGCCAAACCACGAAACATCGTGGTTTTTTGTTCCCTTGGATTCAAACTGAGCTTATCTTAGAAGTATTTCCAATAATGACAACGAAGATGTATTACGTAGTCACGTCTACTTGTTTTGGAAGTTGATATATTTATGAACGTCATTCATATCGATCTTTATATTAGGTAGCTACTTGATGTGTCACATTTAAGTAAATTTATAAGTAAATTCCTAAGCATTTGTATAAAGGGTTGTTTGTTTATTGAGTTGAGTGTGCACTTAAACTATCGATTTTCTATATATCAAAGATTGACAGCTTGCAATGAACCTTCTATAACGATGCAAGTGGAAGGGTATAATTATAATTAATATTTTGCATTCCCTTAATTGTTTAGAAACAAAGGTTAATTATAATTAATATTTTAGCAACTTGGAAATCAATTTTATCATAAAATGACATAGTAGCTCACATATGTAAAAGATTTTGAGGTAAGACCATGAAACTAATCAGTTAAAGAATAGTGGGAATAATATTCCATGAAAAAATAAGATAAGGATAAATGGCAACCTCTCCATGTAGCCCACATATCAAATCAAAAGTGAAATTTCTTGTCTGAAAGTAAAGAAAGAATATTCTGCATTTTGTTTCATGACCACATCATCACACTAATGTACACAGATCATGAAAAGAAATAAAAAGGAATTCAACCTTATAAGAAACATATAGCATATGAATAATATATATAAATATATGCATAACGCCATAGAAAAAGAAAATCTGGATGAACATTCTAGGCATTTGACCCCACTAAAACACCAAAATAGCTGATTACTTAATATCTTTCCTTTTAGAGAAGAGAAAAGGCCAATTCTGCATTGTTGTGACTCGTCAAATTAAGGTCACAACTTACAAATCTGTTTGAGAAAGGGAAATATTGAAAAAAAAAAAAACATATAAAGCAAAATTTAGAAATGCTTTGAATTAAACGATTTGATTTAATCTGTAAAATAAATTTGAATTAATTAACATCTTTATCTAGTTAAAATGTGTTAGTTCGAGTGAAAGGGACTTGAACCCTTAACTAGTCATGTAACTCTAGGCTCTAATATTCAGAAGGAGTTCTTGCAAGTGATTAGACATACTAAAATTAATCTATTATTTATAAGATAAGATTTTTTTTACTTATGATTATTTAGTAATTAAATATTAGATTTTTTTTCATTAAATCTAAATTTCATTCAAATCGTGCATCTACTAAATGTGGTGAGAAACTCTACCACCAGAAACACTTAGATATGGTAGATAAGTCTATTACTAGAGATTTTACAATGTTAAGTTGTTTGCCACTCAAAACAATAAATACTTAAATATATATATATATATATATATATGACTAATTTAGATTAAGTTGAGTAAGACTATTATAAGGACTAAATACCTTCTTTATAAGAGAATATTCTAAAATAATAATAAAAAAGTTATAAATAAAATTAGTTAATTTTATAATGTATCTTATTTTGAAGTTAATAGGTAATTAAAAAAAAGATAGGGCAGAGAAAATAGTGCAACTATTAAAAAACAAATTCTTACATGATAAATTTTTTAAATATAAACAAGGTCTAAATATTGTAGGTTTAGTTTTCATACTTTAGCCTATTTATAATTTTGATACTTGCAATTTTAACTATTTGTGTTTAGTATTTATAATTTTTAAATACTAAAGTTTTTTTATCTTAAATTTCATTCAGTAATATATATATATATATATATCATTGATATTTAGCAGCTTGTTCTACAACCAGGGTTTGTAGTGCACCTACTACTGTTTTTCTCTATCTTATGAACGGTAGATCTCGTAACGTGTTTACCTACGTCAATTACACCAAACATTCTTGTGTTCATCGTGGGTTTATGCACAAATTTATGAATGGTGAATACAATATAGTTCTCTGTGAACCAAAACGAATACTTTAAATTCGATTTTTATTTTTACCTTAAACTCGTCTCCATTTCATGTTAATTTTACAAGTTCAGATTTTTCAAATTAGATTCGATATTTTTTAAAGAAATGTTCAAGTTATATTTTGGATTGACCAAATCCGGTTCGATATGATGTTCTTTTATCATGTAAAGCTTTTTTTCAAAAAAAAATAATTATATATTAATAATAAGATTTAATAGATAATATTTTAAATTATATATACTGTAAAATATATTTTTATGTTATACTTCATTAATTTTTATGATTTAGTTATAATAATATTGTGTTGAACTGGTCCTGTTCCACCATTACTGTGTCTTAATCGCATCAAGTTCAAGTCCAAAAAATATTCTTAGCAAATATTTGAGTCAGATAAGGACAATCAAAAACCCATTCTATGTATGGATGAAACTTTGTAAACTTAAATGTCAGTCAAATTTAAGTATTTTACCTTCAATCCTTCGAGAATAAGGTATTTTTTTTAGACTTTATAAATTTAAGAAGAACTTTTGATTTAATAGATTCTAAAAATAATATAAATGAAAGATTTAGTGCTTGTATCCACTTTGTGTTCAAACAAGCATGCATGCTGTGTACATAAGACGACCTTGGAAACAAAAAATCAAGCAGATGAGAGCTCTTCTCCAATTGTGCCAATGGTTTATATTGAAATACATATAGGGACCAGAACATGGTCCCCCATCAGATTAGGACACTGTCCCCTGCTTAACATTAGAGGCCATATATTTCACTCTTAAACTATTCTAAGTCACTTACATGAATGTGACAGATTCTTGACACTTGTATCACCCCAACAAGCTTGAATTCTCTCATTGTAAATTTTCCCATCTTCTTTTCTTCCCATGAAGCTGCCTCCATACATTTATTTCCTCATCTTTATTTTGGGTAAGAAGTAAAAATTGTAGAGTTATTTAACATAATTTTGTAAATTAATCCAATTGCATCATGCTTTTTTAAATGTAATATTTCTCAATTTGGTCACAGGACTTTAAAAAAAGTGGCAAAGCAATTCAATTAGTCCTAAAACAAGTATATATTACTCTGACATGCTTTTAATAATTAATCAATCTAACAGACACTAAATACAATATCATATACACAGACCATATCATTCATAACATCTTCCTTTTCCTCTTTCTCTTATGTATGAAAGAATCTAACAACACCACCAAACTAAAACCCTCTTAACTAGAACTTTATCTGATGATAATACAAATTAGGAAACAAACCTGACCCCTCTGAACTCAAAAGTTGTAGATATGTACAAAATGGAAATTAGAACCGTTGTTTTTAATTTAATCTAATCTAATCTAACATTAAAGAAATCACATTATTCTATAGTAAAAGCTAATGCATCTTCCTACAAGGCTTTCTGATAAATCCATGACTCCTCTCTCTGCATCTTCAATTGCTTGTAAAAGTTCCTAATAAAGGCTTCAGCCTTTGCAAACAGCTCTTGCCCATTAATTCCTCCAATGTCCTCTTCAGCTTCAAGCTCTTCTTCAATCATAACATCTTCCTCAGCTTCTCCACTCCCTATGAAGAAAAGGCTAGGCACTGAAGGACCCTTTTGCACCTTGTCCACTTTGGTGACACAAACTCCACTATCAGATGCACAATTTTCAGCATGATCTGAGACAACACTAACACATGTTGTGATGGAATTGGAAGCTTCCCTTTTCTCAGGAGAGGCTTCTGAGGGCATCACAGGCTTAATGGTAACAGAAGAAGATTGCTTTTTATCTTCTAAAGGCTTAGCAAAAACTGAAAGAAGGCCTGCTTCAGCACCAAGTGCTATGATGAGGAAGTTTGTGATGAAGTACAAATAAGTAGGCCTCAGAGAAGAAGGTAAAGAGGGTATGATCACAAGAAGAACAAGTAGAACAAAGAGCACTAGAACTTGAGATTTCTTAAACTTGTTCATGGCTTTGGTGAATGAGAAAAAAGTTAGCAACAAGCAAGGATAAGATGAACTAGAGGTATTTGGGAGTAGTAGGAATGAGGGTGTGGTTCTGTATGTGCATATATAGAGATATAAAAGTGTCATGAGTTATATATATGAAAAGAGAGAGAAGGAAAAACCATGGAAATTGTGTATTAAATGTATAACATAAGTCAACAAAAAGTACTAATAAAATTGTGGGTGCTGAAAATTCTAAGAAAATTCTCACACAAAAGAAATATCACTGTCAAATTATGAAAAGTTAGCAGCAATATATATATATATAGAATATGAATTACTCAATGATCTTAATATCTATGCTATTGCAGTTGTTAAAAAGGTGTACTACGTGGATAGCACAAACCAGTAACTCTTGGTCAGTCATAGTCATGAATGAAGTCAATTTTTTTGAAGTTTCAAACTTGATTAACGTGTAGTGAACCAACTGTTACTTGCTACATAAAAGTGGCTCTACATTAATGTCATCCAAATTAATCATATGGTGAATTATTTTGACTCAAAAAGAGAGATTACTCTCTTTTTATTTATTAATATATTTTTAAATTATAAATTTGATTTATAATGCCTAAAAAAAATTAGGAGTTATTTTTCATGGGTACTAAGCCACATGGCTCCAATAGTACTAATCAGTTAATTTTGTTTTTTCTTTTTCAATAATATTTTTAAAATTTAATTATAACTTAACATTTTGATACCCAATATTAAATTAAAGTAATTTATTTTTTAAGATAAATTATATTTTATAATTATTGCTATTTTAACCAATTCCAGCTTAAATTTATTTTTTAAAATTAAATATTGACACGTAACAATAAAAATAACATGTCTTAATTTTTATGATGTATTTCTGTAATTCTTACCTCAATTTGAAAAACAAATCCTTTTTAAGTTATTCTTATTTAAAAAAAAAACTAAGTCTCTAGTTTTAAAATTAAGTAAATTTTCTTCTTTGATCATTTTCTTTTACTTTAAATTCCCGTATTATTATTTTTATCTAAATATTTAACGTTGTAAGATGAAATTAGGATATAAAATAATTATAAAAGTTTATAATCAGGAAATTTAGTTAACACTCGATAAAATTTGAGGGATATTATATAAAATAAAATAAAATAAAACTTTGAAGACTGAAAATTTGGATAATATTTTTTTAATTTTATATTTTGATTACTAATTCTGTAGTAGAAAATAATTTAATTTGTAAAAATTTAGACTAAAAAAAATTATGAATATTAAGAAAAAATATTTATGGGAAACTAAATTTACTTAATTTTAAAAATGAAGAAACTTAATTAATTCAGGAAAAAAATTAAGAAACAAAAAATTACACGTAATCTAAAGTAGATTAAACTAAATACAATCAAACATTGTTTAATCTTTGTGAAAATGAATCAAATCCTTCTGAGTCAGAGTCAGCTAAAACCACTCACATGACAGATAGCAATTTTGAAGCTGACTAAGATCAATATCACCTTCTTTTGCTTATCAATGTGTTGGCTAAGGTTGTGATTAAGTGATTTGTGCATCCATTACCACATCAGAAAGAGAATCTTAAGCTTGGCAATTGGCATTTGGCTCTAAAGTATGAAAAAGTGACGTTTAGACACTTTGATAGATGAGGTAAGTAAGCAACACCAGAGAATTCAAAGATCATATGACACATAAAATGTTATGGGAAATGTTATTAAAATATTTTTAAAAACATTTTTAACACTTTTTTTGTGTTATCACTAAAAATTATTGTTTAATTATCAAGCAAGTATGAGATATGGTCCAAAATAAAAATAACATGTGATGTGTAGTTAACAATATATGCTTTGTTTTGTTTTATTTTGAAACACAAACATAACTAGAACATATTTTCTCATGTTTACTATTTAACCAGGAAATATAATTTTCTTGTGCCAACTCAAAGTTTAAACTTGAATAATTTAAAGTAAAAAATACATGTTTTCTAGGGTTAATTGGTTCAAGAGATATAATTAACTGTACCACATAGGTCATTTATTAATGGTTGATTAGTTCAAGTATAAATGTTTTTTATTTTAATTACTGAGCTAACTCCTTATATGAATTTACATTAATTTATTGAACTAGAAAACCCTTTTAGATTAGAGTATTGTTTTATTTAGGACTTATTGAGAATCTTTGAAGCCAAATTTGCATTTCAAAGACACACTTGAATTAGTGGTGGTCCCCCAAAACCATTGATTGGGTTCTGTTCATTGTCTGGAGTATAGAACACGGCATACCCTCAAGAACCCTATCTAAATGGGAATCAACACCATGTTAATTGAAATGCACATCAAATTCTCATATGTTTTCAATACAAGAGGGAAATGAAAATATTCATTACGAAAAATATAATTTTATTCTCAATATATTCATTTATTATTTAATAATAATTAGATGCAGTAAAAGTAATCAACTATCATTTTAGACATAACTATGATATTAGATATTTGAATTTTGGAGCAACTTTCAACTTAAGAATTAGTTTCACAATTATATTTATTAAACTATTCAACCAAATACACAAAAAAAAATGTAAAAATACAAACAAACAAAAACTATTTATGTCAATCTTGAACAGATAATAATTAATTGAAAATTAAATAACTTATATTTTGCATTAACAAATTAAATATACAGAATGTTAGCTAATAGTTACAGTAAGGGATGTATTTGGGAGTCGGATTTCTGAAGAAAAAGAGAGTAATTTTTTATCTTTAGACTAAAATAATTAAATAATGTTTAAAAAACATAAAATTGCTTTGTAAAGCTTAAAAAATAACGTTAACCTTAACTCTTAATTAATGGCTATATGGCTCTTTTCAACCCTTATATTTGTCCTAAAAACAAAAACAAAAATCTACATAAAGATTTTCAGATTAACAGGAAAAAAGAAAGGATATGATAATACAATATTTAGTTTGCAGTCTAGTTTCCAAATTGTGATCCAGCCAAGGAAAAGATATAGCAATGGTTCTTTTATCTTCTATTAATGATGAATGATAATTTGTCATCCATGCTTTTCACCTTTTTAATGTCAATCAAATTACACCTCCTAATAGATAAACCCTCTATCAATTTCATTAACTGATATATAAATGGAATTGAGTCATGGTAAGCACCAAGCCACAAATTATAGAAATGATCATCACATATCCATAATAAAGTCAATCACAATTAATAAAAAGTTAAAGCTTTTAAGTATACTAAATCAGCTTTAATGTTTAGTAATGTAGATAAAAGAAGATTTTATTGAAAGAAATAAAATCGATTTTAATGACATATACACTTAAAAAGAAATTGATATTTAATAATTGACTAGAAAATATTGTTTGTGCACATTAAACCCATCCAACAAAAAGAATGTTATAAGAAAGTCAAATTATATACATTACTTTTGCATGCACTAATCCTAATCCACATCTCAATGACAATTCATACTATGCCATAATTTGCACAATATGCATTACTTGTGTATTAATCTATAACTTTTTTAACCATTTATATCCAAGAAAAGTTAGACACCTAGAAACTTTCAAGTGATGGCTATAGCTAAGTGTTGTATATTCAAAACACCACTCCACTATATTTGTTTCAAGGCACATTGGCCAAATAAGGGTGGAATAACTTGTGTGTATTTTGCTGACACAGATAGCAGAAACAATGCCCTCAGATTATCCAAACTTAATATAGACAATAGTCAATCATGGCTGCAGAAAACCATTTTGATTGGCCAAATACAGAAATCAGATAAAATCCATCTTCATGATGCTTTACCTAGTTAAGTTTAAATTTATTTTATTTTATTTTAAAAATGAAATGTCATGTAATTTATTTATTTTTTTAAAAGTTATTTAACAGTAATATTGATTATAAGTTTTTAAACTTAAAATTTTAATTTATTAAGTTGATTTAAGTATGAGTTTAAAAACAATCAATTCTAATTAAAAATAACTTTTCCAATTTTTAAAAGAGCTTTCTCTTCTTAAAAATTAAAAATAAACATACCTTAAACATCTATATTTTGATAAAATGTAATCATATAGTATTTTATTGTCCATCCAAACATGTACAAATAAAAAAGTTTTAAAAAGGTATTAAATGGTTTTCTACTTTTTAAATAAAATTGAGTTAAATATATTAACAGTGCAAAAAAAATTAATACTGTCACTAAATTATGGATTGTTATATCATTAATTTTCAGAGTATTTTAATTAGCTAAAAGTATAAGTTTTTATGTTAATAGTATACTAAAATTAATTTTTTAAATACTAAAAAAATTAAGGTAAAATATGTTGTTATCTTTAAAAAAAAGGTCATTTTTATCTTAATTTCTATGTAAAAAAGTTATTTGATCCTAATTTTATAAAAATACATGCAACGTCAAATTAATAATGGGACATAATTAAATCATGCTGTATGTTAATAATTCATTTGTCACCTCACTGCTTAATAAAGAAAAATTTAATGATAAAAACTACAACATGTTATTCATAAAATTAAAAATTAGATACAAATATTATATATTAAAATTAGAATTCAGAAATTAAAAATATATTTAAAATATTTGTTAATTCTTTTATTTTCACTAATTAAAACGATTTGTTAAACGGGTACTACATTTTAAAACGAATAATTTATTTTTTTTTCATTTTGCTTTACCAGTATATAGTAACTACTTAAAATTAACCATATAAGGCAATCTTCAAAATTAGTATAACTTGTTAATTAAGGAAGATGTGGCTTTGAGCCATGACTTTCTTGAATATTTGTTTACAAAGACCCAGCATAAAACATCAGCATTGGACAAGCTAGTCTTTAATAAATTTAATCTCTTTTGACAAAATTTTAAGAATAAAATTATTTAAATATTTTTTACCATTTATTATTTTTACCACCCCTCTTCTATCTAGAAATTTTACTGTGGAATATTTAAAAATATTGTTTTAAGAAATTAATTTTGGAGATAATATATAAATCATTATTTTAGGATTCAATATTTAGAATGCATTAAATTTTCTTTCAAAAATTAAAAATTGAATTCATATTCACTTTTAAAATTTAATTTAAGGAAA